TTTTTTTTATTTTTTTTTTTTTTTTTTTTTTTTTTTTTTTTTTTTTTTTTTTTTTTTTTGGTTGTTTCCTATAAAATCTACGAGCCCCAAATGTCATAAACCTTCTCCAGAAGAACCTTTCCCACCTTTTTGTTACCAACTTGACTCTTGAATTCCTCAGCGAGTAGTTTCTTCTTACATTCTACAGAGGCATGGCCATGTTGTATCTGGTAATATTCGATCAACTTTTTTGGAGTAGGGAATCGATTTTGTATGACAATAGCTTTCTCTAGAGAACAACCTTTAATCGTCATTAGCATCAAAACAAAAAGTTCCTTAACAGTCATTTGGGTTGTCTTACCCATCATATCTTGAAAGCTAGAAAATAAGTGACAACATTCATTTTTTGGCCTTTGTTCGAATTTCTCTCTGAAAGTAGTCAACAATTGATTATATTGCGCTTGATTTGGAATATCTCTAGGTTTCAATATAATTAAATTAGTGTTCGAAGTTCGCTCTTCAATGGTTTTTGTTAATGACGCTAGAAAATCGGTAGTCTCGTCAATATTTTTGAACCGTCTTACATATATATTTGCATTGGTCATGGTTTGGGCGATTCCTGTTTGTATTGCATCGATAATAGAGAAAACTTGATCCCTAACGTTTGCAGAATCTTCAACAAGGTAAAAGCAATGACTTATACCGGACTTTTTCATCCTGTTTTTTTGCTCCTGAAATCTACCATCCTTGATTGAATCACACAAATCATCAATACGCTTTCTCTCACAAAGATAATTGAGTATTGCCTCCCTCCCACTACGCAAATTTCTCGCAACCCAAAGCGCATCTCCACAAGATAAAGATTTTGCTTCGCATTTTACACCAGCAGTTTCCAATTTTCTTTGGAAAAAATCACGCTCTTGCTTAGATCTGATTTCCCTATTATCAATATAGAGCACAACTTCATACTCTTCTTCTGTCCATATTTCGTATCGCGTGCCATCATAGTTTCTGTTGGTGGCATCGTGCACTGCTTTTTTGGATAAAGTCTCCAAAATCAACCGGTTGTTATGAGCTGGGTTGTGCGGTCTTTGAAGAGAAGAAGCACCACCAGCAGTAGGGTTGGAGGATATGTCAATGTCGAGATTGAGATTTTTATATGAAGTTGGGGATGAATTTTCAAAAGTTGAATCTAGTCTCACTCCGTTGTCATATGAAGTATTAGCTATTGTTTGTGATTGAGCTGGAGACGAGTCAAGATCCACTGCTCCTTTCAATTGCTTGGCCAATACAAAACCCTCATCGGTCAAGAAGTAATATTTGGGAGACCTTCCCGTCAGATACACCAATTCCTTTTTCAATAGTGTTTTGATCGAGTCCCAAGCAGAATGGAAGGCCGTACTCGAAACTGCAAATGTCTTATCACAATACAAAGAGGCCACTGCCGTGATTTGGTCTCTGGTCATCCCATGGCCGTCCCGATCTTTAAGATACAAAGTTATTAATATAGCAAATGCTCCTGACCTATGTTTAGGTACATAGTTTGCCGTGTTTCTCGCCTTCTTCTTTGCTGGCCCCTGCCCCTGATCCTGAACCATTGACTCTGCTACCAGATCTACATTCTGCAAGGCTTTCCGATGGGATTCAACCTCATCCAAAAATCCCCGTGGAGGTTCCCAACCATTGTCATTACATAGTTGTATAATTCTGTTGCGCAATGATTCAGCCGTTTTCACACCCACATATTTAATCAGTTTCAATGTACGTGTATCTGAAATTGGTTCTTGAAACCTTCGCACCTGACCCAAAATCTTATTGTACAAAACAGCCATTTTCGACCCACGTTTGGTTGCTTGAATTGCATCCTCTTCTATCCATTTCACTATATGCTGTTTGTAGTCCACGGGAGCTTCACTAGACATACTATTATTATTATTATTATTATTGCAAAATGATTGATATGAAAAAGATAAACATAATTAACGCGATTCCCAAGTTTTCTTTTTTTCCTTTTTCCTTTTTCCTTTTTCCTTTCTCCTTTTTTTTTTTTTTCCCTTCTTCTTTTATCAACTTTATTCATCTTGCACATAATATCATCATGTCATCGAAATCTATAAAAAGGACAAACCTACCCCCAATAAATCTCATATTCAAATACCTACAACAGCAATCTTTAGTGACGGTGTGGTTATACGAGCAGAACGAGTATCGAATCCAAGGCAAAATACAAGGATTTGACGAATTTATGAATCTAGTTATTGATGAAGCCGAGGAGCTATCACAGGGCAAAAGAACCAGCTTAGGACGATTACTTCTCAAGGGGGATAGCATTACTTTGATTTCAAGTTTAGACGTATAGAAGTAATAAGAAAGTAGTATGTACATATGTATATATATCATGGTGTTGGTGAAAACGTTACTTTTTTTGGCAGTGCCAACGAGAGAGGTGCTTTTGGATATTGTTCTTTTTCTCTTCGACTTAGGATCCTTTTCCTTCTTTCTTCTTCAGATATGAGCCGTTTATACTTGCTGATCTGATATTCTCTCTCTGACAAAGCCAATTTCTTTTTCTCAGGGGACTTTGTTTTTATTTGCGACAAGTTGATAGCTGATAAAGCCTCACTTGATAGCTTAATAGTAACAATATACCGTAGACTGCCATCTGTTTTCTCCTCCTGTTTTGTCATATCAACAAGGACTTTCTAAAGAAAATCTTCCTTGAAAAATGTAATCTGTTTCATTCCAATTTTTTAATTTTTTTTTTTTTTTTTTTTCCTTTCTTTCTCTCAAGTAGAAATAAGAAAAAAGGAAAAAAGGATAACCTTTTGCAACACGTCTTTTCACTGTTAACATCGCATCATTTTTAATGAATCAAGATAGACGACAGCCGTTCCCACCACAACAGCCGCCGCAGCAACAACCTCGCAGGATCGAGAAACCACCATTACAGCATGTTCGGAAGCATCCAGCGAAAGCACACCAGCCCGTTGGGTACACTGAAAAGGAGCAGATGCTTATACAGTCGAAATTGAACAAGGCGTTAGGCCCGGAATATGTAAGCTATCGACCCGCTGGTGGAGGGTCAAGAGTGCAGTATATTGAAGGTTGGAAAGCACTTAATCTTGCAAATGAAATATTTGGGTTTAATGGGTGGAGTTCCGAGGTGATATCTTGTGAGATTGATTATTTTGATACTCATGGCAATAGTGGTAGATTTTCATTGGGTCTTTCGATTATTGTTAGGATAACGCTCAAGGATGGAACTTTTCACGAAGATATAGGGTACGGATTCATTGATAACTCAAAGAGCAAGGCAGCCGCGTTTGAAAAATGTAAAAAAGAAGCTTACACGGATGGGATTAAGAGGTGTTTGAGATGCTTTGGGAATGTATTGGGAAATTGCTTGTACGATAAGACGATAACAAGACAAATAGACAAATTGAAGGAACCTCCTGCTGAGTATGAGGCGAAAAACTTTCATAGGGATCCATTATTAGTGGAAAGGGAACGTAAAAGGGTGTTGATGGAACAGAAGATTGGGGAACAAGAGGAAGAGGGGAAGAAGGAGGAGTTGAGGCAAAGAAAGCAGCAAGACAACACGGGTTTGATAAACGAGACTCGAGAGACGAGTTTAGTAGCGCCCCATCCTAATGCATTTGTTACTCCCAAACTGCCTGTAAAAATAGTGAATATTTCCAAAAAGAGAGAGGCAGAGGAGATTGACGAGTCGTTTTTGTTCAGTGATGATTTTTATGAAGATGACTCACAAACTTCGAACCAGCTTCATACTGAAGGCACAGCACAAGAAAAGTCTAGAGAAGTAGAGAAAAATGAGAAACTACCTCAAGCTGAGAAAGCTACTGTAAATACCACCACCGTCGCCACTACCGCCTCCGCGGCCACCACCTCCACTACTGCCACCACCTTCTCCGCGGCCACCGCCTCCACTACTGCCACCACCAACCCCACAACCGGTATACCATTCCCTGCATTTGTTACTGCAAAAAGTGCTACTTTGGTGCAACAGAACCAGGATCAGAAAAATGAAGAGATTAAGAAATTCGATACAACTTTTGTCTCGCCACATATTAGACGCACTGTTGATCCAACAAAGTCTGTCCCGATAAAGCGAACAGATACAAAAAACTCACCTAGTATGAATCACCTACCAATCAAGATTAATAATTCAAATACAACTACAACAGCAACCACAACAACAAGTACAAATGTCAGTCCTCTAAATAGTATATTTGGAAAACGAGTTGGCTTGCCACCTCTGAAAGCCAATAAGAGAATTCATTTGGATCCTATAGTGCATAATTAGAAATTATATACATTACTTTTATACAGGTAAAATTATTCATGTCTTTGATATTCTCTTCTCATCATCATCATCTTTTTCTTTTTTTTATAGATAAGCAATCAAACCATTTTTTTTTTTAGGTACTTGCACAAGATACAAAAAGAAAGAAAACAGAAGAAACAAGGTTAACGCGCGCGCGATTCGAGAGAAAGTTTGTTTTGAAACCGGTCCAGTTTCAGACCGGAAATGACCCTCGGAGTAAAGGTGAAAAAAAAAATAAAGATTAATTTAATATTACCCGTATGTAACATAACATAGTTAAACACACACACACACACACCAAGCAAAAACTAATGAGAGATAACTCATCCATAGAGCCTTTGCTAAATAGAATAGGCCCCTTTAATGAGTACCCTGAACTTTATGATACTCCTGAAGCATTTGAAGCACTCAAATCTGGTAGAGTTTTAGTTATTGGTGCGGGGGGGTTGGGATGTGAAATATTGAAGAATCTAGCATTGACAGGATTCAAAGAGATACACGTTATAGATATGGACACAATCGATTTGAGCAATTTGAATCGCCAGTTTTTATTTCGTCCAGATGATATTGGAAAAAGTAAAGCTGAAGTTGCATGTGAATTTATCCGTGATAGAATCAATGATCCCCAGTTGAGAATTATACCCCATTTTATGAAAATTCAAGAAAAAGACACAGATTTTTACAAGGACTTTCAGCTAATAGTCAGTGGATTGGACTCTATTGAAGCAAGAAGATGGATCAACTCAACGCTATTTGGAATAGTCGAGGATTATAACTTGATAATTCCGTTAATTGACGGAGGCACCGAAGGATTTCGAGGACAAAGCAGAGTTATTATTCCGGGAGCAACATCATGCTTTGAGTGCAGTTTGGATTTATTAAGTCCAAAAGTTACTTATCCAGTTTGTACAATTGCAAACACTCCCCGACTACCTGAACATTGTATTGAATGGGCCAATCAAATGGAATGGCCCAAGAAATTTCCTGGAAAAAAGTTTGATGCTGATGATCCCGATCAGGTCACATGGATGTATCAAGTGGCGAGAGAGAGGGCCGAGCAATTTGGCATAGATGGCGTGACAAGAAGTTTGACTATGGGTGTTGTGAAAAACATTATCCCAGCTATTGCCTCGACCAATGCAATTATAGCAGCCAGTTGTTGCAATGAAGCGTTCAAGCTAATGACTAGTCTGAACCCGGTACTTGATAATTATATGATGTATTCTGGGGATGACTCCATATTTACCTACACGTACTCATACTCAAAAAAGACAAATTGTCCAATATGTGGCAATGTCTAGGAAAAGATAAGAGAGAGTGAGAGAGAAGTGCGTGCGCTAGACTGATGTGTGCTCATTTTTCCATTTCATGCATCTCCTGTAAAACCAACTCATTGAACTTTTCAATATTGTCCAAGTAAATGTGATGGCCGCTTTTACTGATTATTTTCACATCACTCTTTTTTGCCTTGTGGTAATTATTCAATATGTTAGAACATAGCTCGCCCCCTTTCTTATCCATCCAATCTGCATCTCCGTACCACCAGGATAAATCGCATTTCAATCTGTGAATACCTTTCTCGATCAATGGGTGCCTTGCATTAGCTCCAGGAGCAAGTAAATAGTTCAACATATACTCGCCAGATCCTCTAGCTTGAAAAATACCATAAGCATATTTGTGTAATAACTGGGACTCTTTTGATTCTAATTTGGAAAATCTGCGTGAAGACCAACCACTAACCAATTTAGAGCCAAGAGGGCCAGCTTTCCTGACCAACGAGAATGGCGAGATGTTTTGCTCCCATAGTTTTGTAAAATATCCCGGTACGTTCACCTTCTTTCTATGTTTTACAATAGCTCCTGGTGAAACCATTAACAATTTCTTACAAAACGATGGATCACGAGCAATTCCATAACAGGCCATCAAGTATGCGCCCATAGAATGTGCCATGACTAGGAGATTCTCCTTTGGTATGTTTTTCTGACTAAACCAGGTTTCATACGAATCGTGAAACCAATCTTCAACTTGTTCTAGATGATCCGGGTAGAAATGAGGACGCGAACTGCATCCATACCCAAAAAGGTCTATAGCATGTATGCACCAATTTTTCTTTGAAGCAATTGTATTGAAATTCTTCAAAAAAAACCCCAACCCCGCGCCGTACCCATGGATCATTACCAAATGTTTCATTTCCTTCAGATTCGCATCGGACATGCCTTTCGGGTATATTACAAACTCGTTAATAAAATTTCCCTTTGAATCTATTGGTATTTTGAGTACTTGAGAAGAGCGACCTAGGTTATCCTCATGCGGAAAAAATGGTAATGTTGATAGCAAATTGTGTTGGAATGCTAAAATATCATGACGTAATTTGTAGTCTTCAATAGACTCTTTCAAGCTTAAAGGGAACTGGTTACTGAAAATCTTGGAAAGTGGCACAGAAGTCGGATGGGTTGACCTTTTGTATAACGACGTTTTCGTGGACTTTGCAAAAAGACCATCTGAAGAAGAAGAAGAAGATGAAGAAGATGAAGCAGCAGCAGCAGCAGCAGCAGTAGTAGTATTAGTAGTAGTTACTACTTGCAAATATGTTTTATTTGTCCTGGAATGTTTCTTTTCTGGTGTTAAAGTTGGCCAGTTGTTTATGGGAAACAACGAGGAGTCAGCTAATACTCTGGAGTAACTGATTGACCGTTTTTGCAACATTGGAATATATTTGTATATGTCTAGTGGAGCTACTTTGGTTGTAGTTGACCTATAAGATGGATGTAGTGAGGAATATATCGAAAATGAATGCCTTTTTTTTGAGATTGTAATCTAGTCACCTATTTTATGAGCTAAACAAGTATAGCCTTATACAAGCGGAATCATTGAATCTCGAAAATATGATCTTTGCTTTAGTGGGGAAATAACTGGGGAAACAGGAGCGCACACCGCACACAGACAGTCTTTCCAAAATGTGACGTATGACACAGAACTACTTTAATCTTCTTCTTTGCAGTGGGAACACCAAAAATCCTCAAAGATTTGTGATATATATATACAGAAAAATGACTGTTTGTAATATATATTGAAATGGCAAGTAGAACACGTATTTTCTGAGGTTTACATTGAAGACTGAAAAAAAAATTTTTATTTGCAATGTTTGGATATAATTATTTCTTTTTTTTCTCAAAAAGATCTTGACAGCCGTGTAAGAAAAATGTACAAAAGAAGAGAGTAGGAATGGCTGGTGGTGGTGAAGAAAGATTTAACTAAATACAACAGTATGGATGGGTTCATCTGAGAGGTCTTTTTGTTGTTATTTCTCTTAGGTTAAAATAAATTGAACAAAATATTTGCCATGTGTCGGGGGAAGGGGAGGAGCACTTTTTGTAATTGCAAACTGAAAATGTTTACTTTCAATAACTAGGGTATGATAACAGCGATCTACTGAACAGCGTTGATTAGACTGCACTCTTTTTTACCCTTGCATAGTTAAAAACAGTTTTTGCGCATTTCAATGCCCAACGCAATGTTGTAGATACAGAAGACTTGATGAAGCGGTCGAGAAAAGGGTTATCATCATGTGCAAGATATAAATAGGGTCTTTTCTAGATTTTTTTTTTTTTTTTTTTTTGCTCAAAAGTGAATCAAAATGAAAAGTTCAAAAACCCACATACACATACATCGGCACAAAAGCAGCAATACTTCTTTGGCACTCTTTGGCAAGTAAAGCTAGTCTTTTGTTATCATTTATAGATGGTGTGTCTTACAATGGTAGTTAAGTTAGAGAATAGATTGTAATAGTAAATCCTTCTTCTACCATTGCTCTTAATTTTGGCTCACTTTCATTTCGAGCTTAAAGTTCACACGGGTTGTAACAAGCTACAAAGTGCTGCTCCACTAGGAAGCGAAGTGAGCTAGTGTCAGTGTAATCAACGTGCTCCACTATTTCCCTTCACTCCTTAGTGTTGCTACTATGTTTTGCTCCACTAGCTTGCATCGCTCGCTAGTGTCGCTTTTATCAAGGTATTTTCTCTTTTGAAATCGTCGTATTGTTACATACTTTTTTCGGCCAAGAGTATTTTGATTCAGTGGCACTGTGTCAAAAACTTTTTTATTTTTTTTTTAAGGCAATTAAACTATGTATTGAAGTTGGGTTATACCCAATAGGATATCCACTTGTGTAATGAGATATGTCGATTAGGGAGAAGAGAAAGAGGAAAGGGGAACCCCGATCGCTCACCTTTGGTATGAATTGTCGCTTTTGAGTAACTAACACACATCAAAAGGCTTACATTCTTTTATGTCCAAAAGTTTTTGACAAGGAAAAATATTGTGCCACAATTAACCAATTATGTTGTTTGAAAATTCCAAGTGCATTTCAAAGTGTATTGTAAATTGCAGTGCACCCTTCAATGTCATCTCATCCAGTCAACAAAAGAAAACCACAAATAATGCATATCGCTTTACAATTAGCCCCTTGCTAGGTTCCAATGAAACAATAACAAGGGTAAGGTTGAATAAAGAATCCAAGATCCATTATTATCAGCTCCAAAAGAAAAAAAGATGGCACAAGATCAATTAAAACAAGGCTTTTGAATTAGTAGGCAGTTCACGTTTCATTTACTGCCGTGTCATCAACTGCTACTATTGTTGTAGTGTTTCCTAACTCTCATGCGGTGAGTAAAAAAAAAATGGTGGAAAGAAGCGTTTGGAGGGGGGAAAAAAAAGACTAACAGATTAATCAGATAAACTCTGTTGAAAATAAACATTTCTCTTTGTGCAATATTAGTCCGCCCGCCTTTTGATACGAGGATCCTTAATTTGTAGCCACAACCTCTTTGCACCTCTCCCTCTTGTCTTTACAATTCTCGATCTCTTGTCTCCCTCTTCACATCTGCCAATATACAGTGATGAAAATGGTGGCATGTCAATACTAGACAGAAATTAATGAGTTATTTTTTTTTTTTTAGACATATGCCAACTTCTGCGTATTTGACTCTTCAACTAGAAAGTCTTCTTCAAATACGACTTGGCGTTTTTCTCAAAGTTCACTCGCCAAACTATTTCCAAAGAGGTATACCTAGTGAGGAAAAGGAGTATTAGTATGTCAAAGTAGTAGATTAGGTGGAAAGGGATGGATAGATTTCGTTTTACAGTTAAACGACGATTATCACAAAAAACTAATATTATCACGCTTAATGGGTTATTGTGTTTTATTGTGTTTTTTTGCTTCCCACTATTGTTTTAGTAACGGGTTACAATAAGAATGTAAAAAATAAAAATAAAAAAAGTATATGAAAATATTAAATTATCAACATCACTTTACCAATCACATTCTTTTTTATTACATCACACAAGCAAAATACTGACAAAATGAGACTGTTAATCGATATCAAAAACCAATGGTCTTCACATTTTTCTCTTACTTTTCTTCTTCATTTTTTTAGTAAAATGAAAACGAATTGGGGGTGAATGTACACATTTCGTAAATGCGTTGTTAGTTCCATTTTACTATTTATTATTGTAAATGACTTTGTCATGTCTAGTTTCACTTTTTTTAATTGGATTTACCATACACAACAATGACAGAATGAAAGTGATTATACATTGGGGGTGAGAATTGTGTGATAAAGATGGTACGTTTTTTTTTTTTTTATTTTTATTTTAATTCTTTTTTGCCAAATACACAACCGCTAACTGATTTCAGCATCCTTCTGTAGAGTAAGAAAAACCCTGCAGACAATCAGCCACTTGTTTCAATCTTTAACTGATTAAAAGAGGCTTCAAAAAAAAAATCAACGTCCTCGTAATTTACTGTTCTCTTTTCTTCTACTCTTGTTTAAGGGTATACTTTGAAGGCTTGTCTCAGAAGTACGTGTTCTATTTGTCAAAGATTTTTCTTTTCCATTAAATTTTAGCAAGATGTGGCCACAAAGTGTCTTCTTAGATGAAAAAGATAAAAAAGAAAGAAAAAAAAAAGAGGCTTTAAAAATTTTCTCTCTTCAATTTAAATACTTGTGAGGGCTAAATTTTCCCCAGATGCATTTTGTTGTATTTCGAAATGGAAAAGCACAAAAAAAGGAATATTTGTTGTTGATTGGTTAAGAACTCCACCCTAATTTAAATTTATTATATTGTTTTCGAATCCTCTTTTTTTTTTTTTTTTTTTTTTTTTAAAAAACAAAGTAAAACCAGTAATTAATTTTTTGAAACAAGTCATAATTATCATCATAATGGTTATGTATTTCATAATGGTTTTTTTTTATACTTGATACTGTCAAGCCTCTCTCTCCAGCTGTTTTTCGCCATACTCGACTAATTAGCCTTACTGTTTTTCGCCGTACTCGACTAATTAGCCTCACTGTTTTTAGTTCATTTTTGTCGTGCAGTAGAGTAAGTACAACTCTGTCTTTTCTTTTTAATTTATATCATTTTTCGTAGCCTCTAAATGCTACCGCTCAGAACAAAAATGTCAACCAATGCTTTATCCAAAGTTCCAAGAAAAAAAAAAGATAAATTTGATTGAATTCCCCTTACGAAAAAGTAAAATGTCATAATTTATTATAAAATGATGAGAAAAAAAAGGAAAACAAAGACTATATGTTGGACTAACCTTAATAATATGTCATACATGGAGCAAAAGTTTAGATTATAGAGGAGAGGTTGATTATACTGCGTTTAGCTATAACACTAAAGATGTAGGAAGCAGATGAATTTTGCAGTTTTAAATGTTTTTTTTTTCTTGGTAAAAATAATGCTGATGATGCTGAACGTTTTAATCCGATTTCTTCCCCCATTCTTATGCTTCTATTTTGCTCTTCTATATAAATGTACGGCTATCCATAGTGGATACATTTTTTGAGCTAATTAGGTGTTTCTTCTTTTGGTTTTCTTTTGTCTCTTTGGGTCTCATTTAATCGTTTTTTGTTCATCAAAATAGCTCAATTGATAGGAAGCTGTCAAGCAAAGAGTGGAAAGACAAAAGAGCAAGTTCGAGAAACAGAAAGAGAGAAAGCAAAAGCAAAAGTGCAGGAGAAGGATCATAATCATTATCAACTTGAAGCTGCAATATATTTAAGTTGAACATTCCCTCCTCTCCTTATGCACATAGAAAATGAATAGTCCTATTATTTCCTTTATTTTAATTGCGATTACATGTCTAGCTGAACTTATAAATGCCGAAACTCATACGTGGTGGTTCAATACCACTTGGGTTGATGCCAATCCCGATGGTGTCTTTGAAAGAAAAATGATCGGTTTCAACAACAGTTGGCCATTACCTACTTTGAGGGTCAAAAAGGGTGATAGGGTTCAAATATACTTGACAAATGGATTTGATGATAGAAACACTTCGTTGCATTTCCATGGTTTGTTTCAAGCAGGATCAAATCAAATGGATGGACCTGAAATGGTTACTCAATGCCCTATTGCACCAGGTGCAACTATGCTTTACAACTTTACAGTTGCTGACCAAGTGGGTGCCTACTGGTACCATTCACATACAGCTGGCCAGTATGGTGATGGTATGAGAGGTGTGTTTATTATTGACGATGACGATTTCCCATATGAATACGATGAAGAAGTTGTTTTAACAATAGGTGAACACTATCACGAAACTGCAGATGTATTGAAACCAAAATTTTTAAGTAGGTTCAATCCTACTGGTGCTGAGCCAATTCCTCAAAACTTGTTGTTCAACGAATCAAGGAATGGTACATGGCACGTTGAACCAAACAAGACATACCTCTTGAGGATTTTAAATATTGGTGGATTTGTTTCCCAGTACCTTTGGATGGAAGACCACGAATTTACAATTGTTGAAGTTGATGGTGTCTATGTTGAACAAAACACAACTGATTTACTATACCTAACGGTTGCTCAAAGGTATACTGTATTGGTCAAAACAAAGGATAACACCGACAGAAATTATGCGTTCATGAGCCGGGTTGATATCGATATGTTGGATTTGATACCAGACGAGTTAGAATTGAATGGTACAAATTATATTGTTTATAACCAGGATAAATTCGATGAAGAAAGACCAGAACCATACTTGTTGGATTCAATTGACGACTACTTTGACGATTTTTACTTAAAGCCACTTTCAAAAGACAAATTATTAGACGACGCAGATTACACTATAACCATTGATGTGCAAATGGAAAATTTGGGTGACGGTATCAACTATGCATTCTTCAACAACGTTACATATATCGCGCCTAAAGTTCCCACGTTGTTTACCGCTTTGTCTGCTGGTGAATTTGCTACAAATGAAATAGTTTATGGTACCAACACCAACTCGTTTGTTTTGCAAAAAGATGATATCGTTGATATTGTATTGAATAATTTGGATACCGGTAAGCATCCGTTCCATTTGCATGGTCACATCTTCCAATTGATTGAAAGACATGAAAGTATACCAGATGAAGAAGATCCAGTTCGGTATAACGCTTCCGACCATGCTGAATGGCCAGAATATCCAATGGCTAGAGATACTGTTTATGTACAGCCACAGTCTTATATGATAATGAGGTTTAAAGCAGACAACCCAGGAGTTTGGTTTTTCCATTGTCATATTGAATGGCATTTGGAACAAGGTTTAGCAATTCAGTTAATCGAAGATCCTGTTGCCTTGCAAAATGATCCAAATCAACAAATTAATGATAATAACAAAGATTTGTGCGCGAAACTTGGATTGGCTTGGGAAGGTAATGCTGCAGCCAACACCGAGAACTTCTTGGACTTGACAGGAGAAAATGTTCAATTTAAGAATCTTCCAACTGGTTTCACAGCTAGAGGTATTGTTGCATTAGTGTTTTCATGTGTTGCTGGTGTTTTGGGATTGGCGGCAATTGCCTTTTACGGAATGCAAGATATTTCAGATGTCGAAGAGAGAGTTGCTAGAGACTTGGATGTGGATATAAATGACGACGAATATGCTGAATCAGATGATCTCGTTAGAGGATCTAGTTCTTTAGCTGAACATTCTTCAACTCAGAAAAACTAAAAATCCAAAAAAAAAAACAACAATAACAAATTATCCACTGGCAAAAAGGAAAATAAAATAAACTCTCTAATGAAAAAATAATTCTGATGGATCCAACAAAAGGTTTTTAACTTTTTTATTTGCAAACTCCTTTCCTCCCTTATTTTCATAGGCACTTTAAAGAAATATGTGTGTGTGTGTGAAAGTTTTTCTTACCAAATTTGATTGAAGCAAAAGAGGAACTTTCCGTGAACGAAGCCTTGAAATTTGAAGGGAAGGAATTGAAGTAGAAAAATAAAGTTGAATTGGAATTGGAATCAACAAGATTATTTAAAACAGAGAGAAAGAAGCCTAAAATATTTTTTTAACGTTTTGCTTTTTTTTTTACCACAAAAGACCTTATTTTGAATAACTTTTTATCTGAGAGATAGCCCCAAATCCCCCCCCCCCCCCCTTTCCCCCCACAATATTAGTGTATATACTATTTTTCTTTTAATAAATAACGAGCCCTGTATTATTATGAACTCGATTTGATGAAAAGCTCCAATTGGTGTTGTAGCTTCATTAGTTGTAATGATAAAATGATTATCACGCGAATACAAGGTAGTGAGTCTAGCAATTGTTAACTCACACCGCTGAAATCAATTGAAAAGTTCAGTGCAGATAAGAGTAAATAATCTTCCCTTCTAATTTTATGAAAATTCCTAGAGTTTTGATGAACCCCATTCTTCTGAAAAAAAATTGAGATATACTCATTTAATTAATGACAATTATCAACACTTTTCAAACCTCCAATGTGAAATTCAAATTATTTGCTATAGAGCCTTACCTATCTTCCCATTTTTTTTCTTCTTCTTCTTTACCTCTTCCCTCTTTCTCCCCCACTACCTCCACCGCTTCCTTCTCTACTAAGGTTTTTTCCAAATTCGTTTGTCTCTCACTGGTTAATTTTTTTTTTTCATGTCCGCCTTTCCTGTACCGGTTAGTAGACTGGGAATAAATTTACAATGCATTTATTGACTTCTTAATCTGATTAATCTGAGTACTGCATGTAACACTGAAAAGATTTTAAATTCAGTTTTGACACTTTTGTTTTTTCTTTTTTCAAATACAAGCTATCATTCTACGAGATGGCATGGGATACACAATTTGCAATCAGAACCCCTGTGTGCTTTAGGGAATAGCTTCCGGTTTTTTGAGCAGATGAAATAACCAAGGTATATAATTATAAAACTGGGCAATGGGGGAAAAGGAGGAACTGGTAGAAAGTATAAAGAGATGGAACAATATAAAATGCAAAGAAAACTAGTCGCAGTACATTATCTGATTAAATAAGATTCTAAAAAAAAACCATTTAATTTTTTTTTTTTCCCATTACTACTAACCGATGCCTAAGTCGTTTTACAGTATTTCAATTTTCATTGTTAACATAGCAATTTCAATTCACGGTCAATTTATCCATAGTAATCAGTCTACCAACCAAAGCATTATCCGATACTTTTATGTCAGTTTAGTGACAGCTTCCATCAACAACAAAAATAAAGAGTCTATGAAAAATGATGAGATCTTTTTTTTTTTATTTTTTTTTTTCTTTTCTTTTTTTGTCCAATTATGAATTTTCATACTTTCAAATATAATTGTGAAAATTTTACAGAACAAAGGGTCAATACATCTGTCTATCTATATATAGATTGTATTTCCACCGGAAAAGAGAGACTCTTTTTTTTTTCTTTCTTTCCTTCTGAAAATCCCCCTACTAAGTTTGTCAGAACCACTTAGGGAGGTTGAAAAGGATTACCTTATTCATTGTATTCACCCTTCTTTCACCTTTCTTACACTTCTTTTCTTTCTTTTTTTTTTTTTCTGCTTGATTTGCCAAGAATTCTTTAACAGGTAAAAGTTTACGAGAAATTAGTTTCTCCGGTTATCTGTCAAAAGGGAAATAAAGAAACGATAGTTAAAGAAAAAGACAAAGAAAAAGTCTTGGTAGGCCAATTGAATAATTGGGGAGGTAGAGGAGCTAATAAAAAAATATTTTGCAACATAAGTAAAAGAACAAAAACAAACCGGAGTTATTGAGAAAGAAGAAGCGTGCCAAGCAAAGAGTCATGAAATTGTGGACATTTTTACTAGTAACGCTTTTTGCAACATTTGTATCAGCAGAGACTCATACGTGGTGGTTCAATACCACTTGGGTTGATGCCAATCCCGATGGTGTCTTTGAAAGAAAAATGATCGGTTTCAACAACAGTTGGCCATTACCTACTTTGAGGGTCAAAAAGGGTGATAGGGTTCAATTGTATCTTATAAATTCGTTCGACACTGTTAATACCACTTTACATTTCCATGGCTTGTTTCAACCAGGATCAAATCAAATGGATGGACCTCCATTAGTTACACAGTGTCCTATTTCAAGTGGAGAAGTCTTTTTATATAATTTTACAGTTGGTGACCAAGTGGGCTCTTATTGGTACCATTCACATACATCTGGCCAGTATGGTGATGGTATGAGAGGTGTGTTTATTATTGACGATGACGATTTCCCATATGAATACGATGAAGAAGTTGTTTTGTCATTGAGTGAACATTACCACCAATATTCGCAAGATTTGATGCCATCTTTCTTAAGCAGATTTAATCCTACTGGCGCTGAGCCAATTATTGATAATATTTTATTCAACGAAACGAGAAATGCTACTTGGAAGGTTGAACCAAACAAGACATATCTCTTGAGGATTATAAATACAGGTAGATTTGTTTCCCAGTACCTTTGGATCGAAGACCATGACATGACAGTTGTGGAAGTTGATGGGGTATACACTCAACCAAATACTACCAGCATGCTATATATTACTATAGCTCAGAGATACGCAGTTTTAATCAAAACCAAAAACTCAACTGATCAAAATTACGCCTTCATGAATAGAGTTGATGATTCAATGTTGGATACTATTCCTAAGGAGTTGCAAACAAACGGAACCAACTACATGGTTTACAATGAGACTTTGTTCAACGAAGCCAAGCCAGACCAAAACTATGTCGATTCATTGGATGATTTTTTGGATGACTTTTACTTGGTGCCTTACAATAATGAGACACTATACGATGATGCTGATTATACTATAACACTTGACGTGCAAATGGACAATTTGGGTGACGGTGTCAACTATGCCTTCTTCAACAATGTTTCATATGTCGCGCCTAAGGTTCCTACATTGCATACCGTTTTGTCAGCTGGTGACGCTGCTACCAATGAGTTGGTATACGGTTCAAATACAAACGTTTTTGTGCTCGAAGGAGATGAAGTTGTTGATATTGTTTTGAACAACTATGATACTGGTACCCATCCCTTTCATTTGCATGGTCACACCTTTCAAGTTATTGCCAGGGGTCCAGCCATTCCCGATGATGGGTCTCCCTTAAACTATAATGCAAGTGATCATGATGAGTTCCCACAATACCCGATGATGAGAGATACATTGTATGTGCGACCACAATCGTATTTTGTTATTAGGTTTAAAGCAAACAATCCAGGAGTTTGGTTTTTCCATTGTCATATTGAATGGCACTTGGATCAAGGATTGGCTGTTGTTTTGGTGGAAAACCCAAGAGCTATTATCAATGACCCAAACCAACAATTAACAGATAATCATAAACAGATTTGTGAGAAAGTTGGTGTGCCATGGCAGGGTAATGCCGCAGCCCACACCGAGAACTTCTTGGACTTGACAGGAGAAAATGTCCAAGTCAAGAGGCTCCCAACTGGTTTCACAGCTAGAGGTATTGTTGCATTAGTGTTTTCATGTGTTGCCGGTGTTTTGGGATTGGCGGCAATTGCCTTTTACGGAATGCAAGATATTTCAGATGTCGAAGAGAGAGTTGCTAGAGACTTGGACGTGGATCTCGATGACCAGGGTGTTAATGAAGACAACATCGAAAGAATTTCAGAGACAGGATCCTCACTTAGTAAGAAGAGTCAGTTCTAAATGTGAGTATCGACACTATCGAGCAGAGCGAGATAGTGGAGCAACACTTAGTACCTTGATACCTTTACACTTGAAACATACCTCAAAATCCTCTCACGAGGGACTTCTCAGGAGAAACTTTCTACGAGGAACTTCTCAATGTAGTTGAATCATTTGAGCAAGAAAATACACCTGTGTGTGTGGGTGTATTTATGTGTGTGTGTGTGGGTGTCTTTATGTGTGTGGGTGCCTTTATGTGTGTGTGGGTGTGTGCGGCATTTGATATACTACCAAGAAAAGGTCAAAAAGAATCGCTTTACATCGTCGTTATCACTATTATTATTGTTGTTTTTGCTTCACGAATTGATGACCCACACTCCCTTTTTACTTTCCCTCTTTACTCCCCCCCTTTTTACCTATCCTTTTTGAAAAGGTCTTGCATTGGCCATTTGATTTATAGTCTTTTTTTTTTACGTGTATGTTTGATAGACATTTTTGATCCCGATTTTATTACTAGTTTTTCTAAAGGTAGTGCCTTTTGAACATCTCTACAGAAAATTTTTTCCTCCTCTTTTCTTCTCCCTATATTTCCATAGCAAATTCTCAACAACCTTGTAAACATCTACCCAGTACACAGTATTACACAGTACACAGTATTTACAGACATTTTTACAGTATTTACACAGTATTTGTACAGTATTTGTAACACACAGTTCATATTATTTTAAGCTAGTAGTCTAGTAGAGCCAGTAATTCTGTAGATAAATCAGTTATTATGGACGCCTTTGATTCCCTCCTCAAGGAATTAGCGACATTGCCTCCACCCGGAGTCTCAGGAAACCGTATCAAGAAATTGGTAGAGATAGCTTTAGCGAATGTGGACAAAGAAAGTAAAATAGTTGCAGCTCTCTATTCTAGTTGTAAGGCCACGCCCACTCCCAACAAGCTAGGCACGTTGTATGTTGTGGATGCCATTGCTAGAAGATTCAAAGACGAGGCATTGGCTCAGGGCCAGAGTATCGATGCGGATGCCGCGGACGGCACATATGCCGCCGCCGTAAACAAGATCAGCGAGTTGATCCAAAGTATAGTCGATGATGCAATGCAGTATCAACTAAACCCATCGATACATGCAAAAATTGCAAAGTTGATTGATATTTGGGAAAGGCATCCCACCTTTCCCAAAGAGATTATTGATGAGATGAAAAAGAAGCATTTTAGGTCAACAACTCCTCCCGGAACGCCTCCGAAAACAAGTGTTGAACCAACAAAGCCAGAGGGTAATGACTCGTCTAGTATTTTGCTGGCATTGACCTCCTTAGCAACTGCAGCGCCAGCTGCAGTTGTTACCAGTAACAACAACACCAACAGTGACAACCCTGTACCTGATAACCAGCAGGAAATATTCAATATGTTACAGCGGATGCAACATGTCGATAGGCCTAGAGAAAATACAAGAAAAAGAGCGCGCTCTAGATCTCCTGTGGGGGCACATGGGTCACATGGAGCAGCACCATCACATGGAGCAGCACATGGAGCAGCTCACGGTGTTCCACATGTGGTCTCCTCTCATGCCGCTCCCTCGGTCTATGCGCTTCAGCAGAATTTGCACCATTTGAAACAGCAGCAGCAGCAGCAGCAGCAGCAGCAGCAGCAAGTTGCAAAGCATTCTCCTACTGTTGCTCAAGTCCCTGTCGGTATACCTGTTGCTCAAGTCCCTGTAGGCGCACCCACACCACTGCTTGGTGGCAGTGGTGTTGGTGCTGATTTGAATCTACCAGGCACCCCTCACTATAGACCCCGCAACATCAGCTTTGACCCTAACCTTCCCCAAAATAGTATAAAAGTCCTTTCTAGAACATTGTTTTTCGGAGGGATCCCTAGAAACATGGACCAGAGAGGTTTAACCCAAGCATTGCGCCCATTCGCCGATGTTCAATCAGTAGTACTCAACACAGACAAAAAGATTGCGTTTGTAAAAGTGTACTCGAGAAAAGAGGCAGAGCAAGTGATTACGTCTTTTAATAAGGACAACTCTTTACCATTAAGGACTCGATGGGCAGTAGGGTTTGGGCCAAGAGACTGTTGTAATTACCAAAACGGAGTATCCATTATACCCATTGACCGGCTTACTGATGCAGATAGAAAATGGTTTGTAGATGCGCAATGGGGTGGGACTGGAGGCCAGCCTATGGTTAGCGGAATGGTCGTGGATGAGCCGGATATTGAGATTGGTGCAGGTATTTCTTCCAAGGCCATGTCCAAGAAAATGCCTACCAACTCTGCAAGAAATGGACCCAAGTCAAACAGGCCAGGGGAACCCGATGAGAGATATGTGAAAACAGTACTACCACCACAACAACAGCAACCTCCTCAACCTTTCTATCAACAGCCCTACTATGCAAACCAAGTACAGCACTTCCCACAACAGTCTCCTGCAACCTTCCCAATGCAAATGCAGCAGCCCCAGCAGCAGCCCCACCAACAGCCCCACCAACAGCCCCACCAGCCCTCTTTTAGTACCGAACAGTTTGATTTTACAAGTTTTATGATGAACGCAATGCAACAACAGCAACAGCAGTAATAGCAGCAGCAGCAGCAGCAACAACAACAACAGTAATACTTAGTAGACCAATATACATCTAATCTCTATGAAGAAATGTAAACGAAGTGGGGGCGAACGAGATGTGTGAGAGGATGAAGAAAATGAGCAATGTAATTTATCTCCAAATCTATCAATCACCTCTAGCTTCTATAATGTTGAGGATTAGTGGAGATAGCGAGAAGAGTGAGAAGAGTGAGTAAGGATGGGATATACTAGTTTTGAGTGAGATTGTAGAGTCGAGTATGAGAATGGGGTGGATACGATAATTGGGAGAAGAATAAGCAGAGACAAGCAGACAGTGGAGGTGAGAGTTATTGGTGTTACAATTTCCACCAATTTACAGAATTTATGTTACCGTTATGTACATCAGCACTCTTTCTACAAATACCCCTCCCAATTTCATCTAATCTTACTCTCTTTTTCCACTATCAGAGTCGCCATTTACTTTATACTTCAAATATGCTATAACCAGTTACAACTATGAACATAATTCACGACAAAAGTCATTACAAGCTCAAACGCTCTTTTCTTTTCTGTTTGGCAAACGAAAAATTTAGATAATTTCATCAACAACTTTTAATTTCACCTCTTATACATCTCTTTGAATTATACACGAAAGGGGGTTATGATAGACGCACTTTATATTGCGGATGCTTCACATAACTTGGTATATGAATACTCAAACAAGCTATCTCTTCCAAGTTTCAAGTCATTTCTACCCAAGATCAACAACGTGGAAGATGATGCTCTAAATATAGAGAATCCCAATGACCTCAAGACGTTTTCTTTCAAGGTTCCTTTAAATGGTAAATACTACTTGGCGATTCGCAAGTACCACTCACTATATTTTACCCTCCTATGTTCTTATGACTCTGGCTCTAGTCCTGTAATTCCCCATACGTTTATTAGCAGATTTATTGAGACATTAGAGGAGTATTTTCAAGAGTTAACGAGCTATAAGATAGAGACTCAAAATGACATAGTCACTTTGATTTTATTCCAGATGTTGGATGATGGAATACCGCATATAACGGATTTTAACAAGATCCGAGATTTGGTCAGTTACAATTCGCTACTCACAAAGATCTTGAGCGAGGCTCAAAAGACCACCGGGTTCCATCACTCAGATTCAAAACAAAAAAGCTTTACAAGTGATATACCATGGCGAAGGGAAGAAGTTAGATACGCAAGTAATGAAATGTACGTTGACGTTGTAGAAACGATCAGCTTATTAGTCAAACCAATTATCAAAAGAAATAAAGTAGAGCATTTCGATTCTGCATTCTATTCCAGTAAAGTGGATAATGTTGTAGAGAATTATATCTTGAGTGGACGTATTGATGGCAGAATTGATTTTCTTTGCCGATTGACGGGATTTCCCACTTTGGAATTAAGTTTAAACAAGGTGGGTTCGAATGTGGAACTACCTAATCTACACAGATGTATAGATTTAGATGTTTTCAAAGAACGACGAGGCGTGCTTTCATTTGTTCCTCCCGACGGGAAGTCGACATTGATGAAATATCAAGTTGATTTGAATAAGTTGAAAAGCAACAAGGAGAAGACAAGTTTGATAAAATTGAGCTCAATCGATGTTCAGTTTTTAACAGAGGAAAATTCCTCAGATTTCGAAATTACATTGTTTCCCGCTCAAATGATTAATAAAGTTGACTATATCAAAGTTGAAATAGTGTGTGCTACTTCCAACGATCTGATTAAAGTAAGTAGAATAACTCAAGGTGATTTTCAGAATAAAATATCGGGAAAACATGAATGGATGATCAGAGACTTGAAGAAGGGAGTGAATCCGACGTTCAGTGGGTCTGTAGTACAAGAAAAGTGTCGCGAAGACGATGACCAGGAAAAATCGAATATTGGAAACAAACCACCCGTACACCTCAAGATCAAATTTTGTCACAAGGGGCAAGTGCCGAGCGGATTGAAAGTTGAAAGCCTTAAAGTAGTCAAAGCTACAGGGTTAGGGGAAAACGTGAAACCCTATAAGGGTGTTAGGTATTCTACATTCTCTGGTAGTTACATTATCAGATCATGAAAAGAAGAAATGAAAAAAAAAAATGTGGAAAAAAGTGAAAAAGTGTCAAAAAATATGTTCTTATATTCATTATGTTTGGAACCAATGCCATCAATTAATGTGTCTTTCTGTGCTCCAAGTTAATATACTTTTCAGAGAGACAGAACAGCGGAGAAGGACGGGGGCGGTTGGATACCGACGTATATACTCACTTGAATCTTCTACTGCAGTTTCTTCTTACTCTTTTTATTTTCTTGACTCTTTATCAAAACTCTTGCAATAAACATTGATACACCAAGTCCACCAATGAGCAAAAGTAACAAGGGCAACTTAATAGCATAATCTCTTGGTAAAAAGTACTTATTTAAAAACGAGTTCTCGTCAACAAATGGAAGAACAAAAACCCAAGTTGTGTAATAAATAAAGACTAAGGCAGCCACCAAGATCATTTGAATTCCAATTAGCTTGTCAATTGTCTAACATCGAGTTAGTATAAGACACAGTAAAGTACATTTTTGCAAAAAAACCTCTCCCATCCCCCAAAGAAAAAAGAAAAATCTTACGTACCATGTTATATATGTGAATTCTTATTACAATTAGTCCGAAGGGAGCCGGGAACAGAGGTTACAGGAAGAAAGTCCAACTGAAGTAAGGCTTGGATATACAGTATGAAAAATTACGTGTCGATATTCTCGGAAAAACAAAAAGGAAAAATATTGAAGCGAAATGCTACCAAATGAAGAGAAGGGGGGAGGATCGATGTCATTGAACAACTCCCTTCTATAAATTATTATTGTCATACCTTCTCTCTCTCTCTCTCTCTCACAAGACTTCTTGTCGTTATATCGAGTTTCGCCATTGAGTTCTAGACTTGATATCTATGCCATGCCGCTATTCAAATCCAGAAAGGCACCATTATCGTTAAATTCTTTATCGAATGCTTTGAAAACTCATGGGTCGAAAAGTTTGTCACCCGAAGAAATAAATCCCAAAACAATAGATGTTAATGTGATTAATCAACTTGGAATTCCACAAGATTCCATTGTTGCAGTAGCGTATGATCCGATCCAGTCCTTACTTGCAATTTCCACAACACACAACGACGTTCGGGTTTATGGCCAAGTAAATGTTGAGGTTGTTTTTGAGTTCAACATTAAACACCCCATAACATTTCTCAGGTTCGTTAAAGGTGTGTACTTGCTATGCGGATCACCAGCAGCGGGCTTGACTATTTTATCACTATATTCAAAGAAAATACTAGGGAAAACACTGTTCCCAGGAACAGTAACTACATTTGAGACTGACCCAGCTTTGGACTGGCTAGTTGTTGGATTGGCTAATGGGAGTATACTATTCTACGACATTGACAGAATGAATATGACACCTTTTAGAATTGATAATTTACAGAAACAAGTAATGCCAAAGGAGAAGATGTCACCAGTTGTTTCCATCGAGTGGCATCCGCGAGATATTGGAACATTCTTGATCACCTATAATCAGTGTGCAATCGTGTACTCGCTAGTTTCAGCAGAGATCAAATGTGTTTTAAAGTATGAACTTTCCAAACAGCATAGGGCATTTGGATACAGCATGCACATTGTTAATGGCGGTAAGAAGAAACTCTTTGGCAGTCAGAAAACTGTGCGTCCTTTTTTAACTGAGGCTCACTTTCATCCAAACGGTTTGCATGCAGTAACAGTTCATAATGACAATTCTATAGTGTTTTGGGATCTTGATGGAGGAGTAATCCTTGAAGCAAGGACATTATTTGAGACACTGATACACAAGGAAGGCAATCCACTCGAGTTACCAGAGATCTTCAATCCAATTGAGTCTGTAGCATGGGTATGCGGAGAAGATCCAGAGAACACTAAATTGTTAATTAGCGGTGGAGACCCAAAATCTTGTAATCTGATCCATGTTTTAGATTTTGGCTATACATTGAAGTACTCGTTGACTTCTTATGAAACACAGGGTAAGTTTTATGCAACGCCACAAAATGGTGAACGTAAAATACCAGTCAACTTTTACTTGAATCGAACGGAAGTCGCAGAAGTAATAAAAATAATTCAGCCAATAACGAACAACGGGTCACCGTATTTTCACGGCGGCCACAACCCGGCTCATTTGTTGCTAGTCTCAAACTTGGGAAGAATCTATTTTGTACCTTTTGCAGCAACAGCAACCAATTCTGGTGGCGCCAGTTCCTCAGACTTGGGAACAATTATATTACCAACTTCTATTTCATTAATTCACCCACCAATGAGCTACATTGATGTTAAGCAAGTTGTCAGATTGGACTGGTATAGCATTATGTCTAGTAGAGTTTCTTCTGGTACCAACTCCAAAATGGAGCCTTTGTTAAAAGGTGGTGCACCAACTTCCTTCAACAATTTACCTAAACCTTTGGGATATAACGATACTAAGAGAAACATTATGATAACGGGTCACGAAAATGGTCTAGTTAGGTTCATAGACGTGACAAAAGGTGAGCAGCTGGGGACGGAGAGCATTGTTCAAATCAGCCTAAGGGAGTCGTTATATGACTATGACAATCCTAATAATCTCAGAGTAATGCAAGTTTCTTGCTCTTTTTCAAACCGTCAATTACTTGTTGGGTTGGCTACTGGTGAAGTGGTTATTTGTAAGTTTGGCAAGTTTAAAGCTACAGGAAATGGCTATGCAATAAACCAAGACTATAGCTCGTGTCCTATGCAGCATTGTAATGGATCGGCTCTGATTTTGGATATCACCAGTAGAATACCAGGGTCAGTAGCGCTGTCAGCTACATTCACCCCTATTAATTTGTTGCGCTTGGATCCATCGGAACAGATATCAGTATTGTTGATGAGCGATGCTGGATTTGCAGCAGTTGGATACAAGTCAGGAAGGCTCGTTGTTTGTGATATTTCAAGAGGACCAGCGGTTATATTCAATTTGGCTAACATAAAAGAAAATTTGGTTTCTGTTACGGGAAATTGTTATGTTACATCTTTAGAGTTTACAATAATGGAATATGGTACCGATGGTTACTCGTCTCTTATACTAATAGTTGGTACAAATGGTGGTGGAAACTTGTTGTACTACAAAATCATGCCGATGGGCAATGGTGGTTTCCAAGTAGAGGTTGCAGATAAAACCACCCACCTTAATCATAGAAGCTCCAATGACGGCAATCCTGAAGCTTCAAAAATACTGCAAGTATTGCCAATAGAGTCTCAATATGGTTTATCTGCTGTCGCAGATCAAGAAAAGTTTAATAGGTTGGTTGAGGGAATACCAATACCAGGTCTTGTCATTACTGTATCAGATAGGGATATTCGCGTAATCAATATACCAAAGGCCAAGCTAGCTCACAAAGTTATGGATGACTCATGTTTGAAGGCAACAGTGGTGCAGTATAAAGATAAGGGAGTTGTTTTGGCGGTTTTGGTAAAGACCGGATTTATAAAATTAGTTTCTTTACCAGCTCTTCAAGATATAGCCAATATCAAATTACCCAAAGAAGTGTATCTGAAGTTACAGGTATCATTAGAATCAGGGACCGCGTCTCAATCGGACTTGCTTCTGTCGGGTGAAATGTTTTTGAGATTAACTACAACAGAGTCAGTGTACATATTAGCATATGAAAAACTGCGTCAAAAGGGAGGTTTTGAGACGGATACATTGTTCAACCCGGATTTAATAATTCCTCCACGGCCAGTTGCAAGCACTCTACTGTGGGCCAAGGGGCAAATACGGTATGTAAGTGTAAAAGACTTGACTTTGTTGATAGCAGGACCTAATCGAAAAGCACCAAAAACCGAGGAGTCCAAGCTAGCGCATCAGATCAGTCCCGAGGCAAATCCACAAAACAACTATGGTGGATATAATCCAAAACCAAAAGCTGAGAGGGGATATAACGAGCCAGTGCGTAGAAGTACCGCAAATCAAGGGTACGGGTTTGGAGGTCAAGGCTTGGTGAAAAGCTTGCAGGACGGTTTGCAAAGTGCAGAAGAAACAATTAACGATTATGCGAATAATGCTACTGAGGCTTTTACCGAGGGCTATGAGGATCAGAAGAAATCATTCTACAGTTCCGCTTTAAAGAGTAAGTTTGGCTTTTAGGAAGGAGAGTATATACAACACTATCAATACTTGGTACCTTGTTACGAGATGAACTTATCAAGGATGCAAAAAAAGTGCATCCTCTACATAATAGTATACAATATATCTATATCTATATCTATATCTATATCTATATCTATATCTATATCTATATCTATATCTATATCTATATCTATATCTATATATATATATGTGCGTGTATATGTTTACGCTATTTTTTCAATCAATTCCTAAATCTAGCGGAATTATCAAAAGTATGTCAAATTTAAAGCAAGACGACGTAGGTAATAGACAATGAGTAAGGAGAATATTTTAGATATTGCACATACTCAGCAACTGCATATTCATCCACTAAAAGAGATCAGCACAAATAAAAACATCATTATTAGATCAGATGATGTTCCGAATTTAGATCAACATTTTGTACTAATTCATGAGACTCAGGAAGAGTTACAAACACAGTTACACCGGATTGAAACGCTTGCGAGTCAAACCAATGTTGATCTCGCACAATTGTATACGCGACTGAGAAGTAATAATGAAAATTTGAATAAGCTTTTGAAGAATGTGGTTGACTACTCGGAAGAAGTTATTACTGAAGGTAATGCTACAAAAGCAGATATGGGCCTAATAATGGGCACATTGCATGAACTAAAGCTGAAGAAGTTTGAGTTTGGAGATGAAGCAATTAACAGTGTTAAAGAAATCTTACGTCAATACAACGAGCAAAATGATTTAGAAGGATATGCGAGGGTGAAGAGGGAAATTGAAAATATGGGCAATAAGATTGAACGAAACGACAGCTTGGCTTTCGATAGGTTTTACAAAAAGTTTGAGATAATAGAGCAGTTACTATTAGCTGAAAAGAGAGAAGGCGAGAAGGAAAAGACAAACTATGAGCACATTTATGAACTGATGGAAGAACTAAAGTCAATTGTATCAGAAGAGGCACTAAGACAACGCAAGTTTGAACAAAACATGTTGCAAGCAAATGAACTTGTTTTGGAAAAGCTAGCGGAAAGTGGACGGCCAGACACGTCGTCTATTTTAAACAAGAATGACGAAGTTTTGGAATTGCTTCGGATTGTAAGAGAAATGCTTAGTGTTCAAAATGCCGACAAAAACGATTTGAAAAAGGAATCAGAAACACAATTGCATGATTTACAAGAAAAGTATCTCAACTTGGAAAAACAATACAAACTACTTGGTGAGAAGATGGAATTATTAAATCAAAAATATTCTGACAAATTCAATCAATATAAGCTTCTTTTAGACAAGTTTGAGCAACTATCTCGACAAGTTGAAGAAGCTGGATCAAACGAAGCCCCCAAGCTACATATTTTGAACTTGCGAAAGTTTCACGAAAATGCAATAAGAAATATCGAGAGCCAAGAACTGTTGAAATATAACAAAAGGATAGTAAGTACTCCAGTCACTTTTTCAAACAATTCAGATGAGGAATAAAACCCGTGTGTAGGGAAAAAAAAATGGCAAGGTAAATAGAAACCTATTTTTACAGACTTTATTTTTTTTTTTTTCAGGTTTATACTTTTTTCCTTTAATTTTTACATATCACCTTTTTACTGTCCATATATGGCTTCAAAACATCTGGTATGTGAACTACGTTTTTAACAGGATCGTAATTTTGTTCAAGGAGGGCAACAATAACTCTTGGAACAGCCAAACACGTACCATTTAAAGTAGTTACGTGTTGAACTTTGTCATCTTTGTTATAGCGTATTCCTAATCTTCGCGACTGATACTCGCCGCAATTGGACGAACTTGTGATTTCACCCCAAGAGCCTCTACCGGGCATCCATGCTTCAATGTCGTATTTCTTCATAGCAGGAGCGCCCAAGTCAGAGGTTGGCATGTTGAGCAACCTCGCCTTGATACCCAAACATTTCACAATATCAACTTGAAAATTCTTTATCTCCTCAAGTTCTGTTCTTGAATTCTCCAGCACAGTAAAGTGAAACAATTCAACTTTGGTAAACTCGTGGACTCTATAGAGTCCCCTTGTGTCTTTCCCACTTGCACCTGCTTCCGCTCTGTAAGATCTGGAAACACCACAATATTTTAGAGGAAATTTTGTATGCGGTGGGAACACTGTAGACGAATGCAATGCGCCTAAAGGTATCTCAGCTGTTCCCGTTAGCGATAAAGGTTCGCCTTCGATCTGGTACACCTGTTTTTCATTATTTTGATCGTTAGGTTTGAAACCACAAGCATAAACAACCTCTGACTTGATCATTGATGGCGGTGCAACCATTTTATAACCGCGCATACGTGCCTGCGACAACGCATACTGAACCAAAGCCTGTTCTAGAAGCGCTCCATCCCCAATAAGATAATACCACGAGGGTCCAGAGACCCTTGATGCTGTTGAAAAATCAACTATCCCTAGGTTTTCTCCAATTTGCTTATGGTCTTTGCTAGTGGTTAAGCCTTCCACTTCTTTGGGATCCAAATTTATATATTCTATAAGCTCCTCTTGTTTAGTTAGCGCGGGGACTGTTTCATCAAGTAAGTTAGGCAATCTCTCTGCTCTTTTATAAATCTCCTCCTGCATGTCCCTCAGCTCTCTTTCCAAAAGTTGCAATTCACTTTTGATTTCTTTTAGCTTGGTCTTTCCATCATGTTCCAATGATTTGGTTTTCAACATCTCCTCCAAGCTTCTCCTTTCTCGTTTCAAGGCATTTATCTTTGAAAAGTTTTGTGCTTGTTTCGGTCGATTTTGTACAATGAAATCTAAGTCATGGACCAATTCTTCAGGCAAGAGCCTTCTCCGTATAGACTCTCTATATAATTCAGGTCGTGAAGTAATATCATTCAAATCCAACTGGGCCCTTAGTAATGTTGAAGAATTTTTAGCTCCAGTACTAATGCTAACAAATCTCCTTGGGAAATGTATCAATATGGTTCGACGTAACATTTAAGAATAGCCGCTACTTTCCTTAAACCCTCACCTTTTTCTCAACTATATACAGCAATAAGATTCCGTACAAACAAAACCTGACGTTTGACCCAGTCTCGTTGTTGTTGCACGTGTTCAATGAACTTTTAGATTAGTGTAGAATAAGTGTATCTCGAAACATTTTCATAACCAGACCACAAAACTTGGTGAAAAATTTGTTGTTCCGTAGTACTGCATATTATTGACCTAAACGGCTTCTTTTTTTGCACCCATTGAAAAGAGCCGACATACCCAAGGGGCCGCCAAAGTTCGACAGCTAGGGCTTTACACACCGATTGTCCTACAACATTTGTACCAACAACATCTCCTCCTTTTGTTGTTATATATATATATATATATATCAAGAAAGAAAAAGGAAAAAGAGAGAAAACAAAAACAAAAAGACTCATATACCTAGAATAATACAGTGTTTTTTTTTTCAATTCCTATACTACAAAAACATTATCTTAGCCACCTTCTTATAAAAGGGCGCCTTTTTGAATTGCTCCTTCTCTTCTTCTCTTTCAAGATTCAACACCTCTGAATCAAAGATTGTCCTATCCGAATTAATATCAATGTCCTTTAAAGGAATATACAATTTCCAGTTGCGTGTCCATATCTTATGAGCAAAGTAGAAAGCGAGCAACACAATTGCTCCCAAATAAGATTGGAAAAAATTCTCTGCATTGGGTTTCCCCTCTCCTTTTGGATATAACCCAATATAAAACTGAGCAATCAATACAAGCACATACCAAATAATCGCATAATAAGAACCAATGACCCCAGTTGAAGCCTTGTAACCCAAACAATCGGTAGAAATATTATTGTACTTCAAAGCTGCACGGAATCTCACATGTGAAATACAAATACCGGCCCAAGTGAATATCTGTGATAAACCTGAAATCGCCAAGAGCCAATTGAAAACTGCCTTTTGGTCTTTAAAGGCAGCAATGTATGAGAATAACCCAACGATTGAACACGCAACCAATGAGCGGAACGGTCTTCCGCTTCTGTCAATGTAATTGAACCATGATGGTGCAAACCCTTGTTCCGATAATGACTGTAATGTTCTTGATGATGAGTATAAAGCCGAAGATGCAACCGACGTAACTGACATAAGAATAACTGCATTGATAATTGAAGGAACTGCTCGTACGCCGTGTAAGGCTGCAGCCAAAACATAAGGACTTGCTTGAGTACTACTAGAACCCGATGCACCCATTAACCTATCAGAGTTATAGGGCACTAGTAAACCAACTAAAGTCAAACTTCCAAGCATAAGCACAACAATACGATACGCAACCAATTTTGTGGCAATGGGAATAGCCTTTCCAGGATTGGATTGTTCACTGGCACTCAATGCAATAAACTCCGACTGACCCAAGGCAAAACTTCCTGTTACAAAAACGGTACACAATCCCTTGAAATTCGTGTAATAGCCAGGATCTTTCCAATATTTACCACCAATAAATTCATGTTTGGGCCCGCCTCCAACATTCACAACGATACCCATAATGATAAATCCCACAAGCATCATAACTTTGCAACTTCCAATGAAAAACTCAAGCTCACCATACCCGGATGAACCAATAAAGTTGACAACTAGAATAAACACATAAAATATCGTGACCCACACATCTGCATTAATGGATGTATTCCAATAACTAATTGTCATGGCGGCGGTGACTAATTCAATAGATATCACCGATAACCATTGTATACAATAGTTCCAAGTAATTGCAAATGCTAATGACTCATCTACAAATCTTCTTGGGTAATTGTTGTACCCTCCTGATAATTCAGAATAATTAACAGCCATTTCTCCAGCAGCTTGTAATGTTGGGTATACAAATGATCCAACTATCGCGAAACCAATAATGAGAAACAAAGGTCCCGATTTGTGCAAAACAGACCCTGTACCAACTAAAAGACCAGTACCAATACCTGTAACAAGGGACATTAAAATCAAATGGCGCAAACTTATGCCTTTTGCCAATTGTTTACCTATTGCATCCTTATCAGTTTCATCAACCTGTTTTCGCCTAAACGTGTCGATAAACCTATTGACTTTTGATTTTTCTTCGTTTAAGGAATGGGTCGACGTATATGGAGACTCCGATTCAAAACTAACAAAATCATTTGGCTTTACCTCTGGTGAACTTGACTTTTCATTATATGTACCCATCCTCTCTTACAAAGTAAACCGTAGATTAAAAACGTAGAGGATTATGATTATTCAATGAAGGGGGGGGGGGGGGGGGGGGGGGGGTTGGGAGTTGTTACAAAAAAGAAAAAAAGGTAACGGGTTTGATTGTGAAAAAGCAAAAGAATGCAAATTCAACAACCTCCATTACTAATTACAGTTATATCTGGTATATGCATTGCTATATATAAAAAGGTGATTTCCGGCAGATTTTCTTTCAACTTCATCGATTGAAATAAAAAAAAAAAAAAAAATAAAAAAGAGAGTGAGAGAGCGTAATTACTGCATAAAGGATTCCGAGGTTTGAAACAGAAATGATCAGGGCATCTCTTACTTTTAGGGGGAGGTAATAAACGGTTTTGTGATTGGGCGTGCTCTTACTTAAGTGGAGAGTAGTGGTCATTTAGTAGTAATAGTTTCTGGTAGTAATCAATAACTGTTCTTTGTCTTTTCTTGTACAAGTACACAAAACCCATTTTTTTTTGCTTTTTTTATTGCTGCGAAATGATACTTTTTTTTTTCTTTTTTCTTTTTTCTTTCTTTGTACCCGACGCATATAGTTCAAGCTTCTAAGAGGAATAAAATAATAGAAATGTAAAGCGAGCGACGATTCACTACTGTTTTGTGCATTTGTTATTTGAGTGCTTTATCTTTTGTCATTTTTTTCCATTGTGACACTGTTGTGTCTCGTGATGAACGTTGATAACATTGGTATTCTCTCTCAACAAGATTTGTACTCTCTCTCAACAAGATTTGTACAAGTGCCGAAATTATGAAAAAAGGTAAAGGAAGCGGTGAAAAAAAAAGAAAAAAGTGCAACATTGAATGGTTTTTTGTGGTTGTGTATACGCGGGATCGCAAGTCCAAGAACGGACACGTCTTTCCCTCGAGATTGTAAGTCGTACCCTATCAATTCTTGGCCTAGGGGGATATCAAGCTATGTTTTTTTTTAGTTTGAAGTTGCAAAAAAAAAAAAAAAAAGATACAAACATACCCAAAAGATACAATACATATTCAAAAGATACTTTTCCTTGTCTAATAGAAGAGGGTGCACCCTGACATTGGTGAGAAGCCATATTTTTTTTTTTGCTCTGGATCTTGACTGATTGGATTTCCAATATGCACTTGGTCTCTCTACAGTTTACTGAACAAAGTCTATCAGTCAAGCAGCAACTATAATGATGTATGTGCACACAAATATATATATATATACATATATACATATATACATATTGAAAGTTCATTTTGGAAATGAACCTTGATCTCTACGTTTGTTTCTCTACCTTTCTTATCAGTTTTCAATCATGTTGCGGATGTCAAGTAATTCAATAAGATGTTTTCTCATTTACTCATATAATAAATAAATGACTTTCACACAATATTTTGTGCGGAATATCCTTATCGGAATAATTCTAGTGCAACAAAAAAGTTTAAAATTTGATTTTGTATTTTACTATTGTGGTAAGTGTGTTTATACAACATACTGTTCTCATTCCATTACATGCTTCCCGTGCCCCATAAATTCAAAACAATAAGCAAATTGATAAATGTAGAGGATACAATTACAAATCAGTAATATATTAATATATAGAGTATAACTAGAGAATAGCTAAGGGCTAGCTTAGTCTCTGTCTTGCTTTTATTTTCCCAATCCTGTCCTCCCTTAGCCCCCCCCCATTCCCCCCTTTCTCCCCTTCTCGTTTAGTACTTTTTTCTCCGCCATCCACCAACTGTTGCCACTGCAGCCTCCACGCTCTTACTTTTATTTTTAATTTCTCGTTCAAATTTCTTGTTCTTTACTGTAGGTACATCTTCTTTTCTTAGTTTAGCCGGAAAAATTCCGTTTTTTATTTTTTTTGTTTTCTTTTGTTTTTTTATTCTTTTTTATTTTTTTTATTGTTATTTTTTTTCCTTGTAAATGGCATTTTGACACATTTTTTTTTCATTTGTAAAAACTTGCCTTTGTGGTTAGAAAGTTTGATATGCCGTTCAAAAATTGGGTGTGTCACTATTTGAAGATCTGTAGCCAATGAAAATTGTAGGAAATAAGTAGTAAGAAAGTTCTTATGCATCGGATCCTTGTAACGCGAGTCTCTTATAAAAGTCTTATCTCTATTGCTCCCCCTTTTCCTCCATTTCGTTGCACCCTCAGCTTACAAAGTTAAGCGGTTTACACCTACTTATCGATTCAAAACAAAAAAAAAAAAGATGTGTCCATCTTGATAGGACGATAAGTGTAAAATGTTACAACGACGTAAAGTGTTCGGTAATAAGCAGAGCGTAGGTAATTAGATACAAAAGAAAAGAGTTGAATTAAAACTTCTATGCATGCATTAAAAAAAAAATTATATACAAGGTCTGCGGGAAGAAGATAGATCAAGGGAAGGGGATGGGTGCAAATAGGGAGAGAGGAGGCAAGAAGAAACGGCAAGGGAGAGGGAGAAAAGGAATGGATGAGGAAGGGCAAGAGGGGAAAGTTCGCGGTGAGAAATTTTACAAGTGTGCGTTTTCCCCAATCAATTGCATTGCATGAGAGTCCCCCTCTCGTAATCCGTCGTTCCCCACAGCATCAGCTAGACATTGCCATGGATCCTTTGTTCCCCCCCATTTCAAAATGCTTTCTTTATATTTCTCTCCTGCATCTCTGCTCCATGGATCTGCTTCAAATAGTTTATGCCATAACATGTCTGCAATTGCTCTATCCAACATGTATGAGTAGTACACTGCACCATATGAAAATAGATGCGGAAGTTTCCCATGCCAGGTTGACCACTTATCTGCAAACACACCCAATTTCAGTTCAACTAAATGGTAAATCTCTGTCGAGTCGACTAGTTCTAAACCTCGGTATAATCTGTCAACAATATCACTGCTATGTAAGGCTTGGTCGAGAGTTGCCATCTTGCTCTGCATAAACGTTTCACAAGCTTGGAGTGTGTTTCTATGCTTTTGTTCATCTAGTAGTAAATGTTTGGGAATTGGCTCATTGGTTTGATAGTGTCTTCCAATTTGCGACAACACACGAATATCTTTGCTAAAGCCCTCCATTAATACCGATGGTATCTCAACAAAGTCTGTTGCACATCTTGTCCCTGACAAGTTATGTAACTCAGTGCGACCTATCATGGAATGCATGGCATGCCCCATTTCATGAAATATGGTGTCGACTTGATTCAAGCTTAAAAGCGTAGGCTCGTTCAAGTTATCGTCTCCAGATGAGACATTGAAGTTGCAGACTAATGAAATAACAGGGAGTTGGTAGTCTTGATCCAACTGCACAAGTTGCCCGTGACTATCTCTGGATTCTGTCTTGTTTAATCTTCTCAGGCATACAATTGTAAAATGAGATGGTAATACTTTTTTTGACCAGAAATCAAGATATAAAAATCCAAGAGTTTTGCTATTTGCAATGTCGACAACTTTCAATTTCCGAACTTGATCTTCATCCCATACTTCTCCCGATAATGTTGGTTCGGGGACAAGGGAAATATTATACAAACTGGTGAATAGTTCACTTAAACCTGAAATAACAGTGCCCACCGAAAAATAGTCGGGTAACTTCACAGAATTGATAAAATTCTTCTCCCCTTGGCGTGAAGAAGAAGAACAAGAATTTTGCAATTTATTTGCTAAAAAATCACGATCCCATGGTTTAATACTGGTAAACAAGTCTTGGTCTGCAACATTCTGGAATAGTTTGCTGGTTGCTCTCAAAGCTTTAAGTTCTTCAAATACTTGAGTATGTTTTAAAGGCGGCTGCAACTTTTCTAAAAATGTTAATACGTTTTCCGGAGTCTTTGCCATCTTATGTTCCAATTGGTAATGTGCAAATGATTTATATCCCAACATTTTCGCAAGCATGGCTCTCAATGAAATGACTTTATTCAACGTTTGAATTTGGTTCTTAGGTGCATTGTGTAAAGCTATCCATATTTTTTTCCTCAACTGACTCGATTTACAAATTGCCAATATTTGATAAGGGATATACGACTCCATAGGTATAAAGTAATGGCCAGATTGTTCTTCTTCCTCCATCTCCATCTCCCTTTTCCCTGGGTATTTCTCGTTCATATGCCGGATTGCTCGTCTGAGTTGTGCGTCATCAATGAGCTTGAAATCCGCTTGCGTTATTGGAAACCAAGGCGATTCTAAATCGTGTGTTCCAATACTGAATTGCGACCCCAAGAGAGATATTTCTTGCGTTAATGAAACAAAATCAGCTCTGGTTTTAACATCCATGTGTATTCCAGATCTTTCAAAATCTTGTTTTAGGTATTCGCCTACTTTTATCTCTTCAGTTGTTAATTGCGAGGTTATCTCCGGGTCTTGCAACACATTAACCAAGTTTTTATATAGATCCACATTGGTGTTGAGCTGGTTCATGTACTCAAAGATTATCTCATGAGTTTTTTGAGCAGCTTGTACCCATTCATCATCCTCATGTACAACTCTAATGAATTCAGCGACATCAATTGTTCGACACAAGATGTCCGACAACTGATCTAATTTTTTTACATACTCCAACTTGCCATCGCGAGTATTAATATTTGTCGTCATTTCCAAAACCAAATTTTGAGCCTCTTTTTTTGAATTTTTGGAAAACTGTAAAAGTCCCTGTGGATCCTTCAAGTAGTTGTTCTTGAATAAACCAGTTTTTTTCCCTAGGAAAGGTTTTGAGGAAATACCGTTGAATTTTTTAAAGTAAGCTTTGTCATCAAACACTCTTTGCAAATCCGTAGAGGTAGCAGCGTTGGTAAAGTATCTTACCCGAATTAAAGGCAGTCGTTTTGCCAAACACATGTTGCCTCTTAGATTTCCAAGACTAGCTTTCATATTGCTTTAAATCCTAGCTTCTTGGCTGGTAAGTCCTAGATTTGATGAAATCCTTTGATCCTAGCTTCTTGGCTTCTTAGCTGCTAGCTCCGTGGCAGTGCTCTGTGGTTAGTAATTGGCGTTGCTCTACTATCTCGCTCTGCTCAATAGTGTCACCTTCTTAGCTTCTTAGCTGCTAGCTCCGTGGCAGTGCTCTGTGGTTAGTAATTGGCGTTGCTCTACTATCTCGCTCTGCTTGATAGTGTCACCTTCTTAACCCACTAGACCTTTTCTCCTTCTTTTCACCTAACCACTTCAACCTGTGACCGCTTTTAACAGCAAGTTCCCTTCTAATCTCAAACTGCTGTCTTTACTGTCTTTACCCCAAAGAGTTGTCTCTCTCTCTCTCTCTCTCTCTTTGTATACCCTTTTTATCCTTTCTTTTTTTGCAATTGACATTTGCGAAAAATTTCACACCATTGATATATTTATGCGTTAAACAGATTTTGATTAGGTAATCTTTGAAAATTTTTGGTTACAGTAGAAAAAAAAGAAAAAAGCAAAACGATATAACTTAGTACACATAATTTGAGTTAACTTTTAATTTGTATAACCGATTGAAACCGGAGTTAACTTTGAGGATTGAGGTCTGCTTTTTTTTGTGGGAATGAAGAAGGTGTGATGTTGAATGGATCTAATTTAGTTTATGCTGTTCGCGAGTCTTCCGTTTTACCACTGCAAGTGCCACAACGATCACCGCAGTGTAATGGAAACGATAGCTCACTCAATGACATTGAAGAACAACTTGGTAGATCACATATTTTGGATAATAACAACACAACTATTGTGCGTACGCAAGAACCACCCATACAAAGGTTGGTGAGTACAGCTCAAACTTTCAAAAGAAAGTCTGTTAGAGATTATCAATTTGGATTGAAAATTGGCGAAGGTTCGTACTCTACTGTATACTCGGCTATAGATAAACAACAAGGAAGAACCTATGCAATCAAGGTCTTGTCGAAAAAACACATTGTTCGAGAGAACAAAATCAAATATGTAAATATTGAAAAGACAACACTTCATCGACTAGGTCAACAGCATCCCGGGATTGTTCAATTGTACTATACTTTCCAAGATGAGTCTAGCTTATTTTTTGTTTTGGACTTTGTCGAGTATGGCGAGTTATTGTCTATAATACGAAAATTTGGATCATTATCAGAACCGGTTCTGAAATTTTATATGTGCCAAATCCTCGATTCCGTAAGGTTTATTCACTCAAAGGGAGTCATCCACAGAGATTTAAAACCGGAAAACATTTTGGTTGGTCATGACTTTAATCTAAAGATTACAGATTTTGGTGCAGCAAAACTATTGGGAGAAACAAACGAGTTTGGTGAAAAAATCGATTATCATTCATTCGACACAAGGAAGCTCGAAGATGCAAACTCGAGCATGGCAGTGTCTGATAGATCAGGCTCGTTTGTTGGAACCGCTGAATATGTGTCTCCCGAGTTGTTGAAACAAAACACTTGTGGTTTTGAAGCAGATGTGTGGGCCATTGGATGCATGCTCTACCAATTTTTCAATGGAGTTCCACCATTCAAGGGCAAAACAGAGTATCTAACGTTTGAGAAAATCATCAACGTTGAATATACTTACAAGTCAGAGATACCATTACCAGATGATGTAATTTCGTTGATTGATAACATTTTGGTTGCCACACCGAGCCAAAGATATACCATCCAGGACATTATGTCATCCAACTGGTTTCGCGATGTTAAATGGAATGATCGACTGTATATCTGGAACAAAAAAGTTCCCAAATTTGAGAGCTATGGATACACTGGTTTGGCGGGCTTTCAACATAGCCCACCAGCAGTGAAAACGGGAACAAACAGGCACATGAACAAATCCAACTCGTACCACCAACTTCAAACGCAAATTCAAAATTCGGATCTTGGGTTTTTACCAACAGTAGGCATGAAAAAGACGTTTAAGCCGCCCACTACAATTAGAAAGAATACCTCACCAAATGGATCTCCTCATGCCATATTGCTGCCTTCGCTGCCACAAAGACAATCGAACCAAGCACAAGTATCAATCCCACCAAATCAAGCTTCTCGTATGTATGGAAATGCAAACAGTCAAATAAATGGAGGAGGACTCAACTTTACCTTACCCCCTTCATCTAAGCAGGAGCCTGTAGGTGAGTTAGCAGCAGCAGCAGGAGCAGCAGGAGCAAGGCCTATATTTAAATCAAGAGCACAATCGGAGAACAATATCAAAGAAGCAACCACTATCACCATTACTCCAACAGCAACAGCAAAAGCAACAACAACAACAACAACAACAGCAGCAGCAGCAGCAACTACTCCAATGCATAAACCAGTATCTGCTAGGCCAGTAGAGACACAAGCAAGCTCTATTGCGACCAAAAATTTGCGAACTACTGCTCCGCGTAATCCTGTTTCAATTACGCCCAAGGATGCTGTTGTACTGTCTTCAAATGCAGCAGCAGCAGCAGCTTTTGCGTCCCGGCTTTGTAATCAATCGAAAAATATACCGAGTAGATCAAGCAATAATATTGAAACAAAATCCAACACAAATGAAAGACCAAACAACAATAACAGCAACAGCAACAAGAGCAACAGTAACGGCAACATCACTATCAGCAACAGTAGCAGCAGTAGCAGTAGCAGCAATAATAATAATAATAATAATAATAATAATAATAATAATAATAATAACATTACCCCCATCGCATTAAGAAAAAACAATAAGAACGAGTCCAAGTACACTTCATTAGATCAAGAACCCAAGATCATAAAGTTTCGTGAAATATCAGCGTTACTAAATCCAAACGAAAAGATTTTAAAAATGGACATACTATCGAAAGTACAATTGAGAAAAGCCTCTATTGGTGTAGAGTACGACGTTTTAGATGATCTCAATTTGGAAAATGTAGTTAAAAAGAACCAGAAAAGATTGAGGACCAAAGCTGTGCCGGTGGTCGCTGTTGTAACCAATATGGCCCGACTTTTTTTAATAGGCTCATCGTTGGATGTCATGTTGGTGGATTTGAAAGCTAACAAAGGGCATGATTATTTAATGTATGACTACGAATTCGAGGACGCAGAAGATGATAGACCAGTTCCGATTGAACAATTGGGGTTCTTGGTCATTGAGTTAATGAAAGAAAGAGGAAATTTATTGTTTCTCAAGCAAATAAGCGAGTCGGAGAGAAAACAAAGTTTGAGTTTGCCTAAGGTGTATGACAAGAATGAGAACGAAGTTTTCATAGGTACTGGCCATGGTTGGATCGACTGTTTGTTAATTGCAAGAGATACTTCAATCGAAACGAGCTCGCATCCATCTCCATCTCCACCTCCACGGTCTTCTTCACCTCCGAAATTTGTGAAAAATAAAGCTACACGAAGTAATAAACTGAGAAGGGAATCTGACAAAAAAAAATCAACAAATAAAAAAACGACCCAATCAGCGCTATCCCCAAGTCTTGGGAAAAACCAGGCATCAAACTTTGCATTTGCAGCTGCTGCTGCAGTGCACCAGAAATAAAGTATAAAGAAAATACTTATAGAAAAAACATATTCCGTTTCGACTTAACTCTCATAGGTTTCTTTTTCCTCTGTATTGCTTTTCTTGAGCCTGGTAAGAGTACTAGTTATCTGAACTCAATAAAATAACCAACAGAAAAAAAAAAAAAAAAAAAAAAAAAAAAAAAAAAAAAACTCAAAAACTNAAAAAAAAAAAAAAAAAAAAAAAAAAAAAAAAAAAAAAAAAAAAAAAAAAGAAAATAATAGGACTCGAAGATATTCATATCAATAATTTAATTGAAAAACATTACTTAACTTATTAATTTGCTGAGATTTGGCATTTCCCATCTCCCATTTTTCAAAGATGTCAAATGTCGATACGCTTTTGAACAAGCATGCATCAAGGTATTTTTTAGCCAAAGGATTTCAGTATGTCATAGATGAAGTTGCCAAGGACTTGTCATTGTTGAGTTCGCAGCTTGCTCAGGAAAAGGGGAAAGTATCATTTCTCAAATCTTCGCTTGAATGCGAATCGCAGTACGGTTTTGAGATGCTCTTTGAAGAGGAGTTTTCCAGTGATAGCCGCTATAATAGTGATACCAATAATGATTTCATCTCGTCTATAGCCGTTATCGACAATATCTTATGTGGACATCACCCAGATGCATTCAAGTTTCCCTCGCTTTCAACTTCCAAGTTGGTTGCATCTGCTTTGTCCGATACAATAACCACGCCAACGCTAATAACAAGATTAGAGGTGAAATTGAAGATGTTTCAGATTTTTCAACAGATTATAGAGCTGCATCCATCGTTAAAGTTGGTAGTTGACGGCGATATTTGGAAAAATGTTTTGATATACATTGCGGAATTTCTTACTGCTGTAAAAAGTCGATATTTTCAAGTTATCGGCTCGTTGGTAGATGATACGGTTGGCTTGCTCAAACAGGGTTTTGAGGGAGATGTGCCTCTTGAATCGTTTGTCGAGCATTTTAACAACTACCTAAAGTTCAGCTTGAGAGTAACAGTTGCTGGACTTTCACAGTTGCGAACTGCAAACGTGGACCTTGTGGATCAATTAAGGGAAAGGGCCAATAATTTAATGTCGTATCTGTCTTTTGCACAAGCAATAAAGATATATACTGAGGCTTTGGCTATTAGCCCCAAGATGAGTAGACAGCAAGATGTTCAATTACTCACAAATAGAGCCATTGCATTTATTGGGCTCAACTGTATTCCTGAAGCAATTGATGACTTGAACCTTGCAATTAGTTTGGATCGCACTTTTACTCCAGCTTGGACGCAATTGGGATATTGTCATTTATATATGGGGGATGGCTTGCTAGCCTTGGAGTGTTATCTTTTGGCACTAAAATCATCTGTGGGAGAGGTGTTACCATTGAGCTATTCTTTCCAAGATCCTTCCGTTAGGGAAGAGTACAGGTCTTTGAAGGTTAAAACAATATTACCCCAGTTCATTGAAAGGCTAAGTGCCGCGATAGCATTAACGGAAAAGCGATCTTATCAGCAACATATTCCTGAGGACAAGATCAAGAAAGCTGTAAGTGAGGTGAGGAAAATTTTGGCACATTTAAGAGCTGTGAGACTGGAAGAAGACCGTGAGCATTTTACATATACACCCGTATACAGGGACTCTTCATTGAGGAATCTCTCTGAGCGGATAAATGTCACTCGACCAAATATACTAACGCCCGAGGTATCCCAGGGCATTCTTGCAAGAAACGGGATGGAGGCCACTACCATTACACTGATAGAAAGCAGACACCCCAACGAAGGGAATAACAATGCCAGTGCCAGTGTCAATATCAATGGCAATAATAATAATAATAACAATAACAATAATACCAATAGTAGGATAGGGGAAGGAACAGGTCCCGAGGTGAATGTAGAGACTGTTTTTGCCGTGAACCCTACCGGAGATTATCTGGGCACATTTTCTGTCGGAGAACTTTTAAACAGATTTGGAGAAAGTGTTAACAGAGCTAGAGCGTTTGGTGAACAGGACCAAAACGGGGCAAGGAGCTCAAACAATGCCAGTTCAGGCGCAAATCTGGAATCATCTAGAAGAACTAATGCAACAAACCGTACATTCAATTCTGCCACACAAGCACAAGCTTCACGAGATCCAACAAACAGTACAAGATTGGTGCTGGATGTTCTTTTACAAGGTTTAGGGAGTGTGATACCTCCAGGATTATTAAGTACGATTGAGCGGGTTACTCAGGGTGCAATGAATGGTACTGATGGTACAAACTTTAGAGTTTTTCGCAATACACCAGACGCAAACATTCAAACACAAGGGGCATCTCAAACTCAAACCCACCCAGAACGGACCAATAGTGCACAAGAGTCTGAAAGAGCTGAAGATGAACCTTCTTTAGAGAACGTATCTCCAGATCTAGACTAAAAATAAAAAAAGAAATAAAAAAGAAAAAAAAAAATAACGAAAATCTATAGTCGAGAAGTTTTTAGTATTGTTTTTCAATTTCGGTTTTGTAGCTAAATGATATACAAAAACCTATATACCCTTTGCATCTTTTACTTTACAAGTTAATCCTTTTTCGATTTTTTTGACTTTTTTTTCTCTTTTGTCAGCTTAGAAAACTCTTCATCATCGTCTCTTTTCCTTTTCTTTTCCTTTTTGTCCTTCTTGTCCTTCTTGTCCTTCTTGTCCTTTTTATCCTTCTTTTCCTTCTTTTCCTTCTTTTCCTTCTTTTCCTTCTTTTCCTTCTTGTCTTTAACTTCTTCTTCTTCTTCTTCTTTTTCTTCAACCTCTTCTGTTACAGACTCATCATCATCATCAGAATCTACTGATGCTACTGGCGCATCTGCATCAACATTGTAAGCTCTGGCTTCTGTAATATCAATTTTACCTTGTTTTCTGTCTACTCTTGAAGTTGATCTCATATCTTTTCCTTCTAATTTGCTCAACCTGCTTTCCACTTTGCCTCTATTTTCTAATCCAAAACTGTCAGTGTCGTCTCTTTCTTCGTCAAAACAATCGTATCGAACTGCAAGAGCCGCTTTTGCTGCCAATGTTCTTGCAATACGTCCCTTGTTTTTTCCAGATGCTTGCCCAACTAAAGAGGCATGGTAAATAATACCATATTTGGGAGTATCGTGTTTTGTTTTCAAAGCTCTGAATAGTGCCTTTTCTGCACCAAGTATTTGAATGGTGGAAGCAGGAGCTTTAGCTAATGAGGTCAAAGAACCAGCATGCGCAATGAAGCGCGCACCAACTAAATCGCCAACCATGGCCGTCAAGTTTGGAGCTATTGCCTTCATTCTGGAACTCAAGTAATTTGACAATTGCTCTCTGTACGTAGCAAAATCGACAATTTGCTCAGCCAAGGCCTTGATGTTTTCAAGGTCGTTTTCAGTGATTTCTGTACCCATTGAGACCTCTGCAGCAGTTTTCACCTGTTCCTCTACTTCTTCTGGTAAAATTTCAGACAAGTCCACCTCTGCGGCATTTGATCTCACTCCCATATGTAAAATAATTCTTGCATAAGCAACTGAATCAGTTACAATCTTTGCTAATTCTGGAAAGTGCCAACCGTACCATTCCTTACACCTCATCGCATAAGTGTTCAACTCTTTGTCCAAATCATCCAATAGAGCAATTGCTTGTATGATCATTGTGTCGACTTTGTCAGCGGAGAATTTGAGCTTATGACGGCCAATAGAATGCGCCAATCCTAGTGACATTTGATTCAATGCAGACTTATCTAATCCTGGTAACAACTCAGGCAAATACTCCCTTATGGCTCTGTGCAAGTCTAATGAGGCTGCGTCGGAGACAACTTGGAAATTTAAACCCAACTTGTTAATTGCATTACCCAACTTTGTTTCAGAAACTATCAAAGTGGCCTTCTTATCGGCCTTTGATTCCTCTAATAATCTCTTTAAACTTTCTGATACTTTACCTTCCATGATCGCATTAGCTTCTTCCAAGGCATTTGCTGCGCTCTGGAATTTTTCAAAACGATGTACCTTAAATTGGTCAACCACTTTTTGTAAACTATTCAAATTCTCAATCAAAGAAGATGACTTGTGGATTTTCTTATCGGACGCTTTCAAAAGCGCATATCCTGCTGGCGTCTCGGTTAAAACGTAGGCCATAATTCTGTTGTAGCTTTATAGGTCTTTAAGATGGAATGATAAATACAAACTCTCGATATATGTTTTTCTTTTCTTCCTTTGCTTCCTTTTTTTTTTTCTTGCACTTGACTTTATTCTTTCTTCGTTTCTACTAAATGAGGTCAAAGGTGTTTTGTATCTAGATTAGGTTGAATAACTTTTAGTTGTAAGTTTTCCCTCACCCCAGGTTGCTGTGAAAATTGTGATATCTTGAAGGAGTTTTGTTGAAAAATTTTTGAGATGAGCAGATGCCTCATTTTTTAAGTCTAAATTTTTTTTTTTTTCTCTCCTTCTAAAGTTTTAGATGGAATAGAAATTTATTTCGTTACCAAAAATGAGACTAGAGGAGTGGAAAGGAAGTAGATGGTATACATTGTAGAGACTAGAGGAGTGGAAAGGAAGTAGATGGTATATATTGTAGAGACTAGAGGAGTGGAAAGAAAGTAGATGGTATACATTGTATAGACTAGAGGAGTGGAAAGGAAGTAGATAGTATACATTGTAGAATGTCAAAAAGGTTGAACAGATGGTAACTTAATAAAGGTGCTTTTTGTATGAGAAGCAACAACTTTTCATAAAGATAGAGACAACAATACTGGTCCAAAAAAGTGTAACAAAAAAGGATTCTCCAAAAAGACTTCTGTTTTCAAAGAATTATACCAGTCGATCAACAAATGTTGACAAAGAGAGAGTGTGTGTGTTGATACCAGTTGGAAGTTGGCAATTGGAAGCTAACTTAAAGGTTGCGAAAAGCATTTTTTAACCAGATCTCTTTTTTTTTTTAACGAGATCTTATTGAACGACATACCTTGAACTGTTGTTAGTACTGAAATGTATAGGGAAATACTGTAGTGCAAGTCAGCAAAGTTTGTACTTCAACAAGTTTATTATAAAAGCCAGTAGTTAGTGACATTGCAAGTTGGGAAGAAAAAGAACTAATCGAAATAAATGTGATAGTGCTAAAATTGGCCTATACTATATGGAAATGTCCTAAATTCAAGAGGGAAATAGCGCAAATTAATAGAGACCTGTTCTAAGCAATTGCTATAGGTGTTTGAGTTGTAAGAGGATCTCGAGGATCTTTGTTGTTTTTTTTTTTTCTTGACTAGCTTCTACATTTGTCTATAGAGGGAAAGTGCTTTTAGATACAGGGTCTAAGCTGTTTCGAAACAAAAAAAAACCATCTTCTCACTCTCTAGTAAAGTGATTCCACAGCTTGAGTACTTACTCAATGGTTGCACTCAAAACTCTTCAATCTCTCTCTCTTTCTCTCTTTCTCTCTTTCTCTCTTTCTCACTCTCTCCCTCTCTCTCCCTCCCTCTACTGCTTTATCAACACCCTTCTTGTATGTAAATATTATCAGGTAGCGCAGCTTGACAGATATATCTGCAATCTTTTATATTTTTATATGCAAAGGACGTGTTTCACAGAAGAGTTTTTTACAATTTAACTTGACGTATTTAAAAACCTTGAAACTACACCTGTCTTTACTCTAAGAGAAAAGGCGTATGCATCCAAAAATAAAAGCCTATATAATTTCCAAAGTGCTAGAGGCTTTATGTCGCTGGTGAGAGCAAATGAAGACAAACAACGCGGTAGTTCTGGTGGTACAGATGATGCTAAATGTAGGGTAGAGACAGAATCGATACTACCCTTGAAACGACCGAAGAAACGGTCATATTTTTTCACTCCGGTAAATAACATTACTGCTGCATCCAAGCCTTTGCCTTTGTCTTCATCAATCAACGCAGTGGTCAAGCCAATTAATCCCAATACTCTACATACCCACACTCCTCAGCCTGTCAAGGAAATTAAGGCGGCGCGAATGGGAAATAGCCCAAAGCGCCCTAACAATGGTAAGGAGGAGTTGAAGGTTGTTACAGGAAATTCAGATGATAGCTTTGATGGGATTCTTTGGCGAGAGAGTCCCGTTGCAAAGGTTGGAGCTTGTGGGACACATGTTAAAAATAAAAATAGGCTAGGAGATTTTTCCTCGTCTCCAATGAAAACGTCTAATAAAGTAAAGTCGGGTGCTCCTCAAACACCTGAGGTATTGTTAAAGTATGGGATCAATTTTCATGACGGGTCGCTGCGCTCTCCTCGCTTAACAAAAACAATCTCCGACTTGAGCAGCAAAGAAAGCGCTTTTAAAAAGTCGACTTCAACTCCACCTAGTTTGTATAGAACCACATCTGCACACACTGCACATACGAAAGCCTGTGAATCGTTAGAAGGGACTCTAAGTTGCTGGATGCAGAAGCTCGATGGAGGTAGTGCTGATGCTGATGCTGATGATGGCGATGTTGATGTTGATGAAAACGAGAAAGAGAAGAAGCAAGATTCACCACGGAGGAGTGATCATATGAAACTGCTGCCTCTTAAAAAAGTCACAGCTTGTATAACAACAAGCGATCCATTTTCAGATGACGACGAAGAGGTACTAGATCTATTATCTAATCATTATACGAGCGAAAAGGGCAAACAAAAGCAGATCACAGCTGTCAACTCGGCTCTACACTCATCTCCCTTGAAAAAAAAAGATGAAGATTTGTCTGATGATCCATTTTCGGACCAGGATGTCGAGGACTTGGTTGTGACCTTAAATGAAAGGTCAAAAGATTATTCAAAGTACAGCAAATCTTTTCAAGCAGGCATGAAAAAGTCAGAGAATAACTCGGTTTTGGATGGAAAATACCATCAACAATATGAAGAATTTAGCGAGCTTGTATACGGCAGGCCAGAACTACGTAGGTATAAAATTGTTCTGTTAACTGAGCAAACATACGGTCATGAAGAAAGGACTCAGTACATTGTTCATGTTGAATGTGCTGAGGGCACAAAAACTGTCCTTATAGTGAGAGGAGAATATTGCGAGCTTGAATTCCGAGAAAATGACGTGATCCATCTAATTATTACTGATGAACAGAATCCTAGACTAGTTGACGATACTCACAATCTATTGATTTGGAATCCTGATGTATTGCTCTCTGCAACTACTATAGCCCAGCAAATAAACTGTCCACGTAAGTCGGTTATATTATCCAGGTATAAATTTCCAGGCTCAAGCTCTATACCAATAATTGTAGGGGAGATTGTCCACTTTATCTTCCAGGAGTGTATGGCAACGGAAACTTGGACAATAGAATTCATGAATGAGGCTTTTGACAAACTAATAGGCCAATACTTGATAAGCTTATTCAGCCTAGATTCGGATGCGCGGCACTTGAAGGAGGAAGTATCTAAGCACTTTTCCTACTTGGAAACGTGGTTTAATAAATATTACAAGAAAACACATAATCCTTCCACTTGGATTGACAATACATCTGAGCGAGATCGGGTAAAATTTACAGCTGAAGAGGTTTTGGACATAGAAGAAGAAATCAAATCCCCCGTTTATGGTATGAAGGGCAAAATAGATGCCACCATTATTGCTAACTTGATGAATCCCAAAGTCAAGGGAAGGTATTTGCTACCTATGGAAATAAAAACCGGCCGGGAGTACACTAGTCATAGTGCACAAGCAACCTTATATGCATTATTGTTTAAGGATAGATACAATTTAGAAATCAACTCATCCATCCTTGTATATACAAAGGAGGAGATTACCAAGCGGTGCAACATCAACGCACCCGATCTTCGAGCTTTAGTCAATTTGAGGAACAAAGTATCCCAACATTTTTTGTCGGGACAAACTTTACCTCCCTTGATGAAACGCAGTGTGTGCGAAAGATGCGAGATTCAAGCGGCTTGTATGGCAATAAATTATATGGTAGAAGATGGAAAGAGAGATGAGGCTGGCATTGATGAAGACGTCTATGACAACCTTACCTCTAGTATATCTAACGCCGAACATAAGGAGTTTTTTAAATTGTGGGATAGATTAATTGCTCGAGAAGAGGAATTTCTGAGCAAAGCAGTGAAACGATTATGGACTATTCCGTCGAATTTGAGACAAAGCAGCGGTAGGTGTCTTGATAATCTAAAGATTGTAGAGTCTACAGACGACACAGATCTGATTTTTTACTACTCCACTGTTCGTGGGGATAAATCACAAGCAAGACGTTTTACCTATGTTTTTGAGAAAGATGACAATAAAGAAACATTTGATTTTTTATCATCAAAGCTAAACGAAAACGATAGGGTAATTATTAGCGATGAGAATGGACATTTTGCAATTACCACAGGTATTGTTAAATCTATATGTTCCAATCGTGTTGAAATAAGTACCAGGAGGAGGATTATTACACATGATCACAAATTGGCAAATTTCAATGAAAAGAATAACCAGGTGTTGGAAAGTTTAATTAGGGGAGATACTCGTAAACCTCAGATTAGCAATAAGAGGTTTATCCTTGACAAAGATGAAATGTTTTACGGTTTAGGTTTGGCTCGATATAATATTTTGAGTTTGTTTTTGGAAGGAACCCTGCCATGGCTACGTCAACTAGTTGTAGATTTGAAAGCCCCTACGTTTACGAAAAAAAAGGAAACGCCAACGCCAACGCCAATGCCAAAAACAATGGCAATAAAACACATTATCGAAACGTTGAATCCATCTCAGCAAGAAGCGTTTGAAAAAGTTTTATCTGCTAATGACTACTCCTTAGTTCTTGGTATGCCAGGTACTGGTAAAAGTACCCTTATAGTAGAGCTTATACGGTATATTATCAGACAAGAAAAGACCGTGTTGCTTACTTCATACACAAATTCAGCAGTTGACAACATCTTATTAAAACTCATTGCAAGCGGAGAGGGTGCTGATTGTAATGATCTAAAGTTTATTAGGATTGGTCATCCTCTGCGCGTGCACAAGGCACTACACAAGTATATTCCAGACTATGGTGAGCCTATCCAAACTCATTCGCAATTTGAGAACATTTATGGTACTCCAAATATTGTGGCTGCCACTTGTCTTGGTATTAGGGATGCCTGCTTCAATATACGCCTTGAGTTTGATTACTGTATTGTGGACGAGGCATCGCAAATTACCCTTCCCATCTGCCTCGGTCCAATACATTTTGCCAAAAAGTTTGTTTTAGTTGGGGACCATTTTCAGTTGCCGCCATTAGTCTTACATCCAGATCCGGAGGTTAAGCAAGGGCTTTCTCAATCATTATTCAAAAGGCTTGCTGAAGCTCATCCGACAGCAGTTAGTGAGTTGAGTCATCAATATAGAATGTGTGAAGATATCATGCAATTATCGAATATATTGGTCTATGAAAACAAATTGAAGTGTGGAAATTCACACATTGCAAAGCAACACTTACGTGTGCCAAACCCACGAGCCGTACTGAGGTATGCAAAAGAAGGTATCCTATCAGAAGAAGAACAATGGATGGACAAGATTCTTGATGAAAACTCTAATGTGCTATTTCTTGATCACGATCGTCTTGAAGCTCGAGAAAGTGTACGCGGTGAGGCAATACAGAATTATACTGAAGCAGAATTGATAAGACAAATCGTCAAAGCGCTCCTATTGTGCGGCGTTGATGAAAAGGAAATTGGAGTTATGTCTTTTTATCGAGCACAATTAGAGCTCTTAAAAAGGAAGTTATCATCCAGAATGGACTTGGAAATACTTACTGCAGATCAGTATCAAGGGAGAGAAAAGGAATGTGTTATCATTTCACTAGTTCGTTCAAATGATGCAAATAATGCAGGGGAGCTTTTGAAAGAGTGGAGAAGATTAAATGTTGCCGTGACCAGGGCAAAATCGAAATTGATAATTCTTGGTTCAAGATCAACTTTATCAGAAACAGACACCACAAGAACTTTTATTGACTTTTTGGACCTGAAGGGCTGGTATTATTTGCTTCCCGTAGGAGCTGACAATATTTACAACTTGCCCCAAACAGCCAATAGCTCTCCAAAGAAGGATGTAAAAAAGCCGTCCAATTTCATGAGAAATAATCCAGTAGTTCGAAACATTATTGAAAGCTTAACCAACTAACTTTACACACAAACATATAAATATAAATATCTAGATAGTTATTTATTTATTTATTTATTTATTTATTAACATAGACAGTGATCTCAGATAGCGAAGAAATGAAATTCGAAATTTCCTCTTCTGAAATTGACTTCCATACCGTTCCATCCCCAATTCTGTTCTACGTTGTCCTCTGCTCCACCAGCATTCTGATTGGCTGGACGAGGCCCTTGCCGCGCTCGTCGTACTTGCCTTATAATATTTTGAAGGAAAAAGATGGAAAAAAAAAGAAAAGTCAAGGATATCACTAGATAATCACCAATGTCGTAATTTTCAACATAGTCAGTCTCATGTGGGGTACCTTGATGGTGGGCATCTGCGCGTGATGGAGAGTCCTTTCGCTCTTCGGTTGCTTCTGTGCTTGAAGATTTTTTACCAATCTTTTTGAATGCACTTAACCAGCCATCCGCGGATGTTTCATCTATCAGGCTGTTGAATGCTTTCCGATTGAATAAATACTTGAATCTCAATCGCAATAATGCCCAGCTAATGTGAACTTTGGTGTAAGATAGCTTTGAAGTTGGTAATTGTCTTTCATACTCTATTTTTTCTCGGTACTGTAGACTTTGATCATAATACCTCTTTGCAAGAAAATAGTCGACGGTATTGTTTGTAGGTCCTAAACCGTATTCATACATCTCTGCCAATTTATAAGCTCCATGTGATGAGTGTCTATCAGTAGCGAGCCTAAAGTAGTTGAACGCACGCTCATAATCGACCTTCATTTGAGCTTTTGGATCTTCCCCGGCCAAAAGAATTCCAAGTAAAACAGTGGCATCAACGTTGGCCTGTTTTGAAGCGCACTCTAAATAATGAACTGCAATTTTAACACGCTCCGAGGAGAACAGTTTCAAACTTTGAGATAGTGGTTGTTGTTGGTAAAGTAAATATGCAGCTGAAATTTGTGCGGCTTCAAAGCCTTGTTCTGCTGCAATCAGATAACCAATTAACGAATTCTTGTAATTCCCGCTTTTCAACTCTTCAAAAGCATATTTCAAGTGTGGTGCAAAGAATGGCGAGAGTCTTCTAACAAATTCTCTATAGTACATAGCCGTTTTAGAACATGTCGGTTTGTCATCAGAGTCGGATATTAATGGTAATCCAGACTCGAAAAATTCTCCCATGTAATACAAAGCCTCTGTATTACCAGAATAAGCGGCTTCTTTCATCGATCTGTAAATATCAGACCTGTGTTCACTGGACTTGGGATCGCCACCGCTGATCTTGATCAATAGCTTGGCCAAATTTTTGTTTGCTTCTGCAGACTTGTTCTTGATAGCTGCTGCGTATAGCTCAATTGCTCTTGTGTAGTTAGCGGTCCTGAGCAAACCTTTCTCTTCAATGATAGCTAGATCATTAAGTGCTTCAGGGGTTGCTTGAACTTTAATGGAGATGTTATAGTAGTGCTCTGCTTTTTCAACATCCTGCGGGACGGACAACCCCTTGAAATACATTCTGCCTAAAATGGCTTGACATGAACTTAGATATAATCTGTCAAGCTGCACCATGTTCGTATAGTCGTTAGCACCAAAAATTTCCTCTCCCAAATCCACACACCGCTTAAACTCATTGAATGCCTTTGTCAAATTCTTTTCCACAAAATAATCACCTTTAAAATGCTCCATACCGGAATAATACAAGGATACATATTCGTGATCATTGGCGTTTATTTTACTTTCCTCAAATGTTTGTTTCAAATCTGCAAAGATTCGAGATCTAATCTCTATTGAAGAGCCCGTTTCGCTCAATTTATCACCAAACAAACCGCCATTGAAGTCCGATATTCTAATGTTGTAGTCCACCTCACGAATGTGGCTTTTGTTTTGGAACCACTCAATACCGATATTGGCCAACTTTGCGTAATAAGGAACGGCTAGCTCACAGTTTAGTGGAACACATATACCTTTCAAGTGACGATATGCTAGAACCAACAATGCATTCATATCGCCATTTTCCATAGCGAATTGGTAGTACAAGTTCCCTTTCGCCTGGTCGACACCAAACTCACCAAACAACCCGGTTGAATAAATAAACCCCAACATGAAATACGCATGGCCATCTGGTCCTATTGATATCGTCTTGTCGTAGTAATACTTGGCTTGCTTGTAGTCAACAGGAAAAGAAAAGTTGCCAAACATGTAAAAGTCCCCTAAAGTTCTTGAGGCTTCAAGATTATTTTTGGATGCCGACTTCTCTAGTAAAGGTATAATATCTTTTACTAAAGCAGCTAAAGGAGGTTTGGCAGTCGTAGTCGTGTCGTCGTCTGTTTTGTAATCCTTTATGCTAGCATCATATTGTGGGATATATAGATTATTTTCAATATTGTCGGCTGTGAAGATGTAATGTCGTGTATACGTTTGTTCCACCTTTTGCAATCGTTTAATAGCCTCGTTATATTCACTGGCTCCATTGTCCTCGTTATATTCACTGGCTCTATTGTCCTCGTTATATTTACTGGCTCTATTGTCCTCGTTATATTCACTTGCTCCATTGTCCTCTTCAAGTTGTACAGCAATCTCACTGGTTGTGACAAAACATAGAAGCAATGGAATAATGACCCATTCAAACTTCATAAAGAATCAACACTAATAAAAAATTTTTCAAATAATCTCCTCTATTTGCTTTTTGTTCCTAATAATTAGTAACTCCACTTGTACATGAGTCCCTTTTGTATGGCAAAGTTTCAACAAAAGTGGGTAAATGTCCTAGTAATATATGTGTGTGCTGGCTACTTGCGTTCAACTTTATACACGTCTATCAAAAATCTGGATACGTAATTTTTAGCACCATTAAAAGAAGAAGGGGAAAAAAAAAAAATAAAAAAAAAAAAAAAAATATTAACAATCAGGATTGTTGAAAATTTCGAAACGCTTATACTGCGAAACATATAGTTGAAATTGTTAATAAAAACAGGGATCAGATTTTGGTATTTTCCTCCCCCGACACACAAAAAAAGAAAAGAAAAGAAGAAAGGAAGAAAAGGGAGATAAGGGAGATAAGGGAGATAAGGGAGATAAAGAAGTTACAGTTACCATGGCGCCAATAAGGCTTATAGAGAATAGTCAGGGACAAGAGGAGTCGAGTGAGTCTATGTTCCGATCGGCTCCGATGACATTAGTACAATTCTATGTGACTATAGAATTAGCTAGGGATATGGTTGGTTCACTTGGAGACCTTGGCTGTGTTCAATTTCGGGATTTGAACTCAAGGCTTACACAGTTTCAAAGAACTTTTGTAAATGAATTGAGGGCGACTGACACAATGAGCACTCAATTAGCACTTGTTCATTTTATTATGCTCAAACATCACACGTTGAAAAGTGATTACCACACGCACTTGAAAGCGGATACAAAACCAATCCCGAGCTCTTCGGAGATGGACCAGTTCAAGATGAAACTAAGCGATTATCACTCGAGGATCAAGCATTTGGATGAATCTTTTGTCAATTTGGATGCACAAAAGTTGAAATATATAGAGAATAGATGTGTGGTCAACACTTTAAATGAGTTTCATAAGTCGGCATTGGTCGAGGAACTAGAAGAAGCAGACCTTGAATATAACAGGCGGTTCTCTAACGAGATGGATGGAAACATGGCACTTTTGAATGAGCAGCGCGGAAATAGCTTGGAACTTGGCTACGAGGTAGAAAGCTTGGGTGACGCAACCGATTTTAACACAATTGCCGGAACAATTGCTAGAGAAAAAATTCCAATTTTGAGAAATATATTGTGGAGAACATTGAGGGGGAATTTATATTTCCACGATGTTGCAATGGATGGCAAATACCCGGTCAATGATAACTCTTTTCAGCTTGTTGATAAAAATGTGTTTATTATTTTCATTCATGGAGATATTTTGAGAACGCGAGTTCGAAAAATCATCAGTTCGCTTGATGGGCGTATATTCGACAACACTGCTGGAGGCACTGTGGTACGAAGGGCAACATTGGATGAAATAAATGTGAAAATTGAAGAGTTGATTAGTGTCGTGAATAGCACAAGAGAGCAGTTGGTAACGGAGTTGAGAGTTTTTCAGGAGTTGTATCCAGATTATTATTACATAGTGCAAAGGGAAAGACTAATTTACGAAACACTAAATAAATTTGATGAAGATAGTACGAGACGGTGTTTGGTCGGGGAAGGATGGATACCTACAGCTGATTTTGATAAAGTGAAGGCATGTTTGAGAACATTAATCAAGAATAAAACCAGACGCGGTGATGCTCAGATTTCCGAGTCTGTCAATTTTTCAGGAACAGAAATAGGAACCTTGGATACAGAAACGCCATTATTTGTACTAGAAGACAGCGATCACGAGACTTCCGGTTTGCATTATGAAGATGACAATGAGGAATTCGGCTCATTAATTGCAGTGGTGAAAGAACTAAGTACAAATCGTACACCACCAACTTACCACAAAACAAACAAATTCACAGCAGCTTTTCAGCTGATTATCGATGCATACGGTATTGCTAGCTACCAAGAAGTCAACCCGGGTCTTGCTACAATCATTACATTTCCTTTTATGTTTTCAATTATGTTTGGTGATGTTGGACACGGATTCATTGTTTTTGCCATGGCATTATATTTGATCGCCAACGAGGTTCCATTTGAAGCTATGCGCAACAAGGACGAAATTTTTGCAATGGCTTTCAATGGAAGGTACATTATTTTATTAATGGGTGTTTTCTCCATGTACATTGGGTTCATTTATAATGATGTTTTCTCTAAATCGATGGCATTCTTTTCATCAGGTTGGGAGTGGAAATTTCCGGAAAATTACGACAAGATCAAAGGAGGCATTATCACTGCAACCAAAATTGCAGGAAAGACTTATCCATTTGGTTTAGACTGGAGTTGGCATGGTACTGACAATAATCTTTTATTTACAAACTCGTACAAAATGAAGTTATCGGTTTTAATGGGTTACATTCATATGAACTACTCCTTGATGTTCAGTTTAGTCAACTATCGGTTTTTCAAAAGGACGGTCGATGTTATTGGGAACTTCATTCCTGGGTTTCTTTTCATGCAAAGTATTTTTGGTTATTTGTCACTAACAATCGTCTACAAATGGTCAGTAGATTGGTTTGGGAAGGATAAGCAGCCACCTGGATTATTGAATATGTTGATTAATATGTTTTTGTCACCGGGGAGTATAGAGGAGCCGTTGTATCCAGGACAAAACGTTGTACAGGTAATCTTGGTTTTAATTGCAGCCATTTGTGTTCCATGGTTATTAATTTATAAACCGCTTACTCTCAAGCGACAAAATGATAAAGCTATTCGATTAGGATATTCAGATATCAATTCCCAAAGACAACACTCTATAATTTTGCATGAAGAGGAAGAGGCTTTAAGTAGCGATTTGAACAATAATGACCCCCTTGGATTTGAGACAGACGATGAGGACGACTTTAGATTTCCCAACGATATAGAACCAATGATACATTCAGCCGTGCATGGGGATGATGAGGGCAAGTTTAATTTTGGGGATATTGTAATCCACCAAGTTATCCATACGATTGAGTTTTGTTTGAATTGTGTTAGTCACACAGCGTCATATTTGAGGTTGTGGGCCCTTTCCTTAGCACATGCTCAATTATCTAGTGTTTTGTGGTCCATGACTATACAAAAGGCTTTTGGCACCACAGGTATAGGTGGAGTTGCAATAACATTCCTTTTATTTGCTATGTGGTTCCTGTTAACAGTGTGTATATTGGTATTAATGGAAGGAACCTCAGCAATGCTACATTCTTTAAGGCTCCATTGGGTGGAAGCAATGTCTAAATTTTTCGAAGGAGAAGGTTATGCATACGAGCCATTTTCTTTCAAATCAATAGAAGTATAGCAATAAGTAGAGTAAAAAAAAAATAAAATAAATGCTGAAAAAAAAAATAAAAAAAAAATAAAATAAAAATAAAATTATACTCTTGTATAGGAGTAAGCTTATGTAGTCTCCAACAAAACTATGACACATATCATATTACCCCCCTCTCCTTTTCTCCACCCTTTTCCCTATCCATTTTTTTCTTTCTTCCACAAGCTTTGCAATTCTCTCTTTTCTATACAATTTAGACACGTCAAAAGGCAACTTTCGGCTAATAAAAGAAATGTACATGCCATCCATTTTTTTTTGGTTCGTTGCACAAAAAATTTGTCACTTTTTCGCAGCCAAAAAAAAGATAATAAGATAAGCACACAAAGCAAAACAAATACCCCCTAAAAATGTAAAACGAGGGGTGCAAAATGTTAGGGGGTAGTTAAGTCGAGTTGGTTTCGAAAAAAAAAAAAATAGAAAAAGTTGCAAACAATTAAGTTGGAAAATAGAATTTAACCTTTTAGTTTTTATTTCTGCTAGTTGAGATTAATGAAAGGTGTCAATTTGGTGTTAATCGTTTTGTCTTATCTTTTATCACATTATACACCTTCTTTTAATGTGATATTTTACTTTTTTTTTTTTGGCGAAAACCCCCATTTCTCCCTATACCATGCAATTTTCAATCACTTACTTTATCTAATTTGTATTCTATTACTATAATATTACATAGTTGTACAAAGCTCTTTCTCTTTCTTTTTCTCTTTAATTTGCTTTTATTTTCTCTTGTCCTTCTTCGCCTAAGGATCATCCAATTCAATTCGTCTACCAGAAGTCAACATTCTTTGCACCTCATCAAGAGTCCAAGGCCTGACTCGATTTCTCATCTTATTATGAAGTTTCTCTTTAATGACTTCAACTGAAACTCCTCGGCGTTGAGCTTCTTCTTCTACAAATTTGATAATCTTTAAGCGAGTATGTCTAAACTGTCTTTCTGAACTTCCATGAACTTTAAGCCATTCAGTGACTGAGATATCATGAATTCTTAACTCCTCTTCTAGTCTCTTAAAATCATCCCACATATCGTAAAGAGTAGTAGCTTGCCTTGACAATCGCTTATCTAAAATCAGGTCTCTTGCAGATTTCCTCTCAGCAACTGATAAAACAGGATGGCCTACATGAGAGTGCAGTGTTGACGTATGTGGGAAAAAATTCTGGGACTGCGAAGGTACTGAAGCAACTTGTTGTTGTTGTTGTTGTTGTTGTTGTTGTTGTTGTTGTTGTTGTTGTTGTTGTTGTTGTTGTTGTTGCTGGTGGTGGTGGTGATAAAGTGGATGTTGCTGTTGTGCAAATCCCGTCGACTCTGTAGGCTGCACGCCATAAAATGGAGACCCTGGAGGTAAAGATGAGATAAATTGCAGTTGAGCTGGGGCAGGTATTGAAGAGAGATGAGGCTGCCCCTCGTACCTGAAGCTTGATTGAAAACTGGTGGGTTGACTTGATGGTTGACTCAGAGGCAAGCTGAGCAGATGGCAATGATCTTCCTTCAGAGAAATATGATGCAGTGATCCACTTTCAAGTGGTGGGTACCCATGTTGTTGCGGTTCAGGGTGGACCAAATGAAAATTTGACTGATGCGATTGTTTTTCTTGCTGGTTTTTTTGTTGCTGTTGCTTATTTAAGCTAGACAATAAGTTCAAGGCATTATCAATCCCGGTTGCAATGTTCTTTTGAGTTTCATTACTTATCAAGTCTTGTGATGCGTGTAAATTTTGTTGAGCTAGTAGGAAAGAGTTTTTATTTTGTGAAGATAAAAGGATGAGCAATCCGTTTATGGAGTTTTGAATTTTTTGTAGACATTCACTTTGATTTTGGAAAACTTCAACTTGCTCATTGATGAATTTTAGTAAATTTTTTTGCATTTGCAGTGAATGTTTTTCTTGTATTTGTTCTTCCAAAGCTTTAATTCTCTTGTTTTGGAGTTCAACAATTTTATATATGTCATTCTTTTTGGGATCAAAATCACTAGACGATGGCCAATCGTCACCGTAATCGATTTCGGTTTCATCACTGCTCGGGTTGTAGCAAGAGTTTTTAATTATTGCATCAAGTTTTCCACTTGCTTCCACCTGCTTAACGTATTTTTCAAATTCGAGAGAATTGAAAATTGCACTTTTGGATAGTGGGTTTAGGGGGTACCTTTTTTTTATTATTAGCATATCCTGGCATAAACTTCTTCGCAACATTGCTAGTACGTTAGTGATTCTTGCCTCTTTGTCATCGCTCATAGTCTCTTGTGATTCTTTTAGAAACGGGAAAATCATGTTCAATAAGTCGTCTGGAGGTTCAAATAAGTTTCTTGCCAAAGAATAGTCCTGGAAACTTTTGAAATTTGCCAATTGCAAAATAGTCTGATTAGGAAGTTGGTTAATTGTTTTCAGCAATAAAGGCTCCTTTAAACCATGACCATGTGCTGATATTAAATCTTTTAGATTGATCTCTTTATTATTCAGTCCAATTATGCTTTGTAGATCGCTCAAGATTTGATGATGTCGACTAGAGAAAATCTCTTGCAACAGAGTATCTCTCTGCAACTTGACATTTTCCAAAAGCAAAATATTGTTCGATTCACGACTAATTGAGAGCTCAAAAGACCCCAGCTCATCCCGTATGTGGAACCTACTAAACAAATAGGCACTTATGGCTAGATGGGGACAAAACTCAACATACTTATTCCTGAAACAGCCGCTATATTGAATGCTTTTTTCTTGACTTTTTGTCGTTTTTACTTGTACAATCAAACTATCCACATAATTGATTTTGGATGATATGAGATCACCAATACTCAACTTTTCTTTTTGTGTATTTGTTAGTTGCAATGTATGCGATAAACTGAAATCAACTAGTATCTCTAATAACATATGGACATTCAAAGTACCTACAACGGTAACTTTAGATTCCCAAAGCAGTTTAATTACTTTGTAATAGTCGTCTACGGTATATTCATTAGAGTCCAAGTCCAAATCCAAATTCGAATCTTCAGAATCCGAGATCATGGCAATAAAGGATACTAAAAATAAAAAATAAAATAACTAAGATATATCTCAAATCAAATTTACAAGTAATACTGAATGAGATGGGGTACCCGGTTTATCTTTTCCACTTTCTCTTATTTCTTTTCTTTGGGAGGAGGGGGGTTTTAAATAATAGTGAAGGGCGGTGTTATCTTTCTCTGAGGTAGTTTCTGGGTGAAAATGCTGTGAATGGTCTTTAAGTGATTTGCTTCTTGATATGTTGAAACGGATGTCAGTCATATAATGAAAGTTTGGCGAAAAACGGCCAGGGGGTAGGAATATTTCTAAACAAAAAGAAAATGCTGGAAGGAGGAATGGTAGGGGAGGGTCTAAAGAAAACAAAAATATAGGCAACTGACTCAAAATAGCATTGTTCTGATATACTCTCCTCTAATATTTAGAAGATACTTACAATAGTATATCAATATCGATTAATGGATAGGATAATAGTAAAAGAAACAAACAGATTGTATACAAAGTAGAGTAAAAAAAAAAAAAAAAAAAAGAAAATTCGTATTATTGTGACGGATATATATTCCATGTTTGTCGGATCAAACACTCTTTTTCGCTCCCACTAACATTCTCTACCCATTTCTTTACTCACTCTATACTCACTCTATACAATTCTCTGTGTGTCGAAAACGTCAATGACTAAAAAATCAAATTCTTTTTTGTTAATTTTTGTTCTCTTATTATTATTATTTTTTTGATTTTCTTTTTATTTTGTTTTAGTGCAATTTTCCTATTTCTGGTATTTGTGTAATATCCACTTAGCCTTGTTCTTATTTGTTCGCTGTTGTCATTCTTTTTTTGATGGATATTGTTGAAAGGGTTTTCAAGTGTCGCAAACATAATATATCTACGACATTTTTGAGGGCACGAGAAAAATTGAACTAGTAGCTCATAAATTTTTTTTTTGGAATGGGTTGGGAAGGTGAAAAGTATCATTCCTAGAAGGAGTTTAATTATAGTGACTCTGTATTAGTACTATGTTAGGTATTGTATAATTGCTTCAACTGAGAGCAATTCACTCTTTCTTTATGACCTTTTTTTTTTGGTTTTATTTAGGAGTTGGCCATTCACTCAATTGAAGTGAAAAAGGGAGGGGGTGTCGTTGAATGCAAGAATGTCATTACTATTTACCTAAGATAGCAGATTCATCATTTTATTGTATTTTTTGTTTTTTTTTTTGACTTGCCATTTCTATTTTTTTTTTTTTTTGCCGCCTGATTCTATGCTTTCAAATGCTTATTTCAGCTCATTTCAGTTTATCTCAGTTCATTTCAGCTTATTTCAGCTTATTTCAGCTTATTTTCAAGTAGATTCTGTTTTCCCACTTGCATATTTTGGGACCATTTTTTATGGTTTATGCATCAATCTAAGCTCTCTCGACTAATTCGAACTAAAAAAATATTAGTTTCTTGTTTGTGTAGAGTAGCAACTGAAAAGTTTTATACATATCTTTTATTATTTAGTGTCCTCGGAATTCAAATTGTATCTCCAATATGTACTATGTTTATTTTTTTTGTCATTATCTAGTTCTGGACCAAGTTGTTGGTAGAACCCTGTCATCGACTTCAAATGTCGGGATTGTTTTCAAAAAAGAAAAAAGAAAATAAAAAAAAATAAAAAAAAACAAGAACCAGCTCATTTGTTTTATAATTAAATTTACTATCGTAAAGAATGAATTTGTTGACATTTTTTGTATACTTTTATTCAGATACTAGATTTCTGTTTCAACAATTGTGTATAACTAGGGACCGAACCCCACACTCATTCCTATCTTTTTGTCATCCCAAGTGCAACTAGCTCACGTTTCAAGCCCGCCTTCATCTTACTTTAGTAATCTGCATTTTAAAAAACCAAACCAAACCAAATTGTAGTCTGAAAGTGTGAAAAAAAAAAAAACAATTTGTGTCGCAAACACAAAGTAATAGTGAGTTTTTATTTGTCTAATGAGTCTATAAAAAGCATTTTATTATTTCGTAAAATTATTTGTTACTTCTTTTGCATAGTTGTCCCTATTTACAACTTTTTTTTTTCTATTCTTTACTTGATAGGGATTTTTAATGAAAAACTGAAATACTGACGGTTCTCTAACCCACCCTTCTCATGGTATTTCCCCTAACTTAATTCCTATTGTCTTTTTCAACCCTTGATCTTAAAACTTTATTGTGTTAGTCTGAAATTTGTGTTAAGACTTTACTTTAAACCTTATTCCTTTTGAGTTCTTTTACAAAGTGATCAGCAGAAAAAGAAAAAAAAAAGGTGTTCGTTAAGAGAAATAGATTTGGGGGTAATTGTTTGTGAATATGGCCTTTATAAATGAATAAATGATTTAATTTATGACAAAATATTGAAAACGTCCTTTTTTGTCTTGCACTAATGCCATTACAGCTATAGCTGATCCTTGACACGTTTAGTCTATATAGCATCATATATATCATCAGATAAAGCTTTGTTGTTTTACAGTTTTAAAACCGCTTTAGAATAAAAAAGCCCATTTTCAAGCACTCTTAGAACCCTCGTGTTGCCGTGTCGTGAACTGTTTACTTGATAGTCCCTCGTATAACACAAACTTGTTCTTGCTTTTGAATACTTTTTAGTTTTTAGTAATTTCAATGCAATGACCTTTACGGGTATATACTAAAAGTCATCAATATAAAATATCAACTAAGACCAAGATAAAAAAAAGTCTAGCACCTCAGAGGAAAGATAGCAAAAGCACCTGTTTTGTTTGGGATTTGCGAGGTACTCAAAAATCAGCATCTTTTTTTTTAATTTAGACATATAGGGGGAAATTGCAGTCTGACTCGGAGTTACGCCCATATATGTATTATCGTTGCACGAACAATCTGAAATTACTATAATCTTCACTTTTTCTTGTTGATTTTTATTTCTTTTCTTCTCTTCTTTCTGTTACTAATATTAAGAAGACGCTCATAACTCTTTTGTAGAGATGTATCAAAATGACACTCAAAACTCTCTCTTAAATATGCCTCAAGAGATGATGCTGATAACTCTCTCATACAAAATGCACACGGGTTTAATGATTCCAAATATTGCTATAAAGATAACTTTAACTTTCATTTGTTAACACACGGGTTAGAGATATAAAACGTTAGCTAAGCTATGTTTTGAGAATGTGATTAGATTAAATTAGTAAGCATCTACAGGCCTCAAATTATAAGTAGACTTGTATAAAATTACATTTGTATATTTCTAGTGTGTTGTAGCCCTTTGTTTATTTCTAGTATGGCCCTTTGTTTATCCTATTCAGGCAAGAGTTGGTGAATTCTCCTGTGAATCTTCCCGAGTTAAACCAGTCTTGCGCAAAATTCAATCACTTTGGGTTTTTTGGTTTTGATAAACGACTTTCTGTTGTTGTTTTTTCCGGTTGTTTTTTCTTGTTTTCTCTAGAGAAGTTTGGCAAGTTGTCTCTAAATACCAATCTGGAAATATAAGCTCATTGCATAAAATAAAGAGCTTCTTGTGTTTTTAGTTGATAGTTTCTAAATTACTATAATGTAATTTCTAAATCTTATTCAGTTTTTTTTTTTTTTTTTTTTGATTTATTTTTTGTTCAATCTTCCTAATCTCTACAACTTCTTCCAAACTAATATTTTATAGTTAGTCCCGTTCCACAATTATTACAGTTTCCGTAATTTTTAAAGAAAACTTGCAACATTCAATCTTTATTTTGATTACAAGTCGATATCTGGTGTGTCATATAATTGCATATAATAGTAAATCAAAGGAAGATCAAAAAAGGAAAAGCCAAAAAAAAAAAAAGAAAAGAAAAAGAAAAAGAAAAAAAAAATAACGGCTCGAAGTATACATTATATTGGGATACTATAATGATCAAGAGTGTCTTACAATATGGACGTATAATAGATGTTGTCCAAGATTTTAAAGCTTGTTTGCATCACCGTCTCTTAGCTTTGACCGAAAGATAGTACCTTCTACATTAGGCTAGAGGTGAATAATTTGATGCAACGAAGAGAACTTTAAGCAGAATCATAATACCTCTTCCATCTGAAAAATTTAACAAAGCGCAAAGTTTCATAAAGGGTATCTTGTGTGAATCGCATGGTTGAATAACTCTCACTAAATCTAACCATCGCTTCCACCTGTGACATATCCGAGTTTCCATCTTGCTTAACATCATTGTAAGATATCTGTCCAATACACAATTGGTTTTACTAATCAGGTCTATTCTGTTTACTCTTATTGGACAATAAGAAATGCGTATGAGTAGAATGATAAGAAATTAAGCTACGGAAAAAAGACATGCTAGTGAGGGATATATAATATCTTACTACATTTTTACTAATGCGATATATATTTAGTGCGACATTCTTCTGGGGGGGGACTCTTCTTATACCTAGTCGCATAACATCTGCCTTACCTCTACCCTCGGTGTTACCGGAAATTGATTGTTCAAAAAATGGTACAAAAACTTTACACTACATACCTTGCATTAATCTTCGGAAGATCAAAAGCAGTAAAGTCGTTCTTTAAAGAAACAGCAACGACATTTGTTATTAGAGTAGATTAAAAAGCCTAAGTTATGGTTCACTTCCACTTATGTTGTCACCAAAGCCCACAAAAATCATGACTTCTCTTTGGGATTCAAGGTTAGTGATTTGCTATTGCAAATTTGATAGGCTTGCTACTTCATTTTCGACACGTGGTAGGTTTAGGTGTAACAAGCAAGGCGCAAAGTGCAATTGTCTACAATAAATGAGAGGTTCGAAACAACGCACTTAACCAGCACCCACTTACTGCAACCGACTCATCAACACCGCCACCATTATCATCACCACCATACTAGATGTGTTAACTTGGCAGTGAAAATATTGGCTTTTATAATTTTACTTTGGTTATACATTTATTCAAGGTGTACTGAACAACAGAACAAGCATTGACATATGTCTCTTTTTCGCTGAAAAATCAACAAATTGTTTCAAAGTAAGAACTTGTAGATGGAAAGAAAATAAAAAATAAAAAAACAAAAACAACTTAATATAGTATAGAAAAACTGATTCAGTGACTTCTTTTTCCTTCATTTGTTATTCAATCTCCGTCAAAGTCTCCACCTAACCCTTTTTCTCTTCATATCTCTGACATGCAATTCCTCTAGGTTTGTGTAAGAAAAAACAAAAAGTAGAAGTCATTGCATTTTATAGCCTATTGTGCCACTCAACACCGATCAAGTGGGGGTTTTTATACTGAAACCTTAATTTACAATCACAATCAATTACTACTAATTAGCAAGAGAGAAAAAAAGGAAAAGGAAGCAAAAGATTGGTTATTTTGCATTTCGCACCCACGTAACACCCCCCCCCCCCAAAGAAAAGTATATGTTACTAAATAAAATATGCAATTATTGCTATTATCATCATCAGCAGCAAGAAAAATGTTATCCATAGTTATTGTTCGAAACAATAGTGTCTTACTAAAGGTACATACCCTCCACAATTTCAAAAGAGGTAATAGAGCAATTATTTAGTTAGTGTAATTCTTTTTTCTTTTTTTTTTTTATTTTCTTTCTTTCTTTCTTAGGGGTTTGCTAATCGACATTAAAAGATTCATTTTGATGATAATAACTGGAGAAGGGGGAGATTGTGTCGGGTCCTGTTTTCAACAAGATCGCGTTACAAAAGGATCGATGAGTCCAGGTTATGAAACAAGCACTATTTTGAAGGCAAATCCTTGAATCAAAATGAAGATTTGTGTAGAAAAGTCGAGTTAATCAGTACAACAAGGATAATTAAGAAGCCTTTGGAATTGTATTTGAATCTTTTTTCTTATTATGTTGAAACATATCCCCAAAAAATACAGACATCTCTTACTCTCTTGGTTTATTATTAATGCCCCTTAGAAATCACCACCCATGGCCACATCCTCTTTTCAAAATTATCCAGTTTCATTACATTTTTATAAATATATACAGAAGTCAAACTTTTCAAAAAGATATAAATAAAAAAAAAAAATAAAAATTACATATCCTACTCAACTTAATCATCGCTATCATCTCCCTCATCGTCAACTTCTATCCCATTCATAATTTTTCCTTTATGAATAAGTAGCTCTGTCAACCTATCATAAACATCCAAACTCATAACGTCTTTATTCTCCCTCAACCATTTTCTAAGCATAATCACAATATCGCCCAAATAATAATTATCCTCAACCGAGCCTGGTATCACTTTCTTAACCATTGTAATTAATCCAGTAAAAATCAACAAGTCGAAACTTGATGTAGTCAAGTCTTTAAAATACTTTGTTATGTGAATTTCGTTTGAATACTCGCCAATATTGTGATAGTAAACAACCAATGAAGATAGTAAGATAATAAACTGTTGTTTCGAAACTAGTTTCAAAGATTTAATCAAATTTGCTTGGCTATTAAATGAGTACCCACTCTCTTCTTCCATTTCATCGTCGGTGATTCCGCTTTCACTTGAGTCGTGACTCTCCTCGGGCAAGTACTGTACCAATTTTGTAGCAAGATCATGCTTCAAACCATTAAGCAAAACCGGTGCTTGGTTGGCATTCAAAACAACACTGAAAAGGTTGTGGTAAGTGTGTACCAAGGACCCATGAGGAATGTATGGCTCAAGCGATTTGAGATCTTTCAAAATTTGACTATTATTTTCCTTAATATCGCCCAAATAAGTTACATTCAACTCCTCGATTATTTCCAAAAGTCTCAATTGCAAAACTAACGAGAAATAGTCCAGCTTGTTGCGTTCGTAAACCTCAACATACTTGTCTTTGTTGAGTTGGCTCTCAACACTATCATTAAGAGTTTGCCCAAGGAAAATATTAGTCAATCTGGTCAGCAATGCCTTGCTTGCAAAGATAGACGACCCATCAATTTCACCAACCAATTTGTTCAAAGTTTGGACAGATTTGTCAGTTCCACAATACTCAAGATTTGTTATCAGCAAAGCCCTTTTCTTCAGAATGTAGTTTGCCACAGTGGAAACTTGGCTGAACTTATTCTTCAATATCGTTTCAATCAACATTTGCAAAAAGGTATTTTCAAAATTAGCTTCACAGTTTGTCAAAAAAATGTAATCAATTGTCATTTGACCCCAGCTTTTACCTCCTCTTAAATTGTCAAGTATTTTTTCACGACGTGATGGTGTTAACCTTATAGGTGCTCTCAAGTATAAACCAGCAAACAACCAATTAATTGCAGCACTAGCACTGCTAGTTTGAATTTTCTTTTCTTCTGACTTCTCTACGTAGTCTCTAACCACGGGTAAAACAATAGTCAATACACTTGCAAATACTAATACCAATTTAGTCAAACACCACAATCGTACAACCATAGAAGAAGGATCGAGTAAAGCATGAGGAAATAGGTAAGAAGCAAATGGCAACGCGCTCAAACTGCGGAAATCGTTTTCTCCAGCACCTCCAAACAAAGAAGTACCCATTACTGCTGCCATTCCACCTAATAAAAATCTACTGGGCTGGCTTGAATTTCCGGATTGTTGTTGTTGCTGCTCGAGCTGCTGCTGCTGCTGCTGGTGTCGCTGTATTTGCTGTTGATCTATTAGTTGTTGTTGTTGTTGTTGCTGCTGTTGCTGCTGTCGTTGTTGTTCTTTCAACTGTTGCTCTTGCTCTTGTTGTGGCTGCTGTTGATGTTCTTGCTGCAGCTTTTGTTGTTGTTGTTGTTGTTGTTGTACAGGGCCAACTTGTGTTTGAATAAATTGCTGCTCGTTATAATTGTCCTGAGCACTTCGGCTTCTCGCCACTTGTTGACCTTCTTTCAATGGAGGAGATATCATTCGAGATTGAGATTGAGATTGAGGCTGTGATTGAGATTGTGGTTGTGGTTGTGGTTGTGGGAATGCCACTTTGATCAGGGCTCCTTGATTCAAGTTGGCTTCTTGAATTACCCGTTGCAAGTATAAATTTTGGTCTTTTAAAATTGCATTCTTCTGTTCTAAATGCTTGATGTACTCAGTGGCTTTGGTTAAGACACTAGCTTTGTTTAGCTTGGCTGCAGGTGTAATTCCATCGAGATCAGCTATTGAAACATCATCACAGCCAGCTGCAATCCTCAATGAAGGTACTGCATCTCTCAAGATGAGTATCTTTGAATTAATGTTTGTTCTGTATTTCTTCTCAATCATATTATGAGAGCTCTTATCTTTACCTCCTTTTGGCTTGGTAACCTTTGAGTTGGTAGATACTGACTTTTTCTTGATAGCTGGTTGTTCTGGTACGTGGTTAACAACGGACTCGGGCGAAGTGAAGCCCGAGGTTTCAACTGATGGATTGGACAATGGTGTTGTGTTATCGATAAATGTTACCACAGATGATGAATGTGACCTAACCTTATCATCCTCTGAGCTCGATTCTTGCAAGGTTTGATTGTAATTGTGATTGTGGTTGTTGTTTTTACCACTCTGTTCTGCTAAATTAGCGAGATACTCGGGAAACACGATTTCCTCGCCATTGATTGAAGATGGCGATAAAAGATTCTCATTATAAGTGGTAAAATTATTAGACTGCTGTAACGGTTCCACTTTGGAGCTTGCCAAAACACCAGATATCGATTGCAAAAAGTCGTCAGTTTCGTCAAAGTTGAAGTTAGCTCCTTGGGAGTCAAAGCCTTGGGTATACATTTCGTTGAATGCCATGGTGTTCCCATCATCAACAAAATTCACGTCATTACTCATGTCGTAGCGTTTCCTATCGTCTATCTTGTTTGAATCAATTCCACGTAATGCAGCTTCCATTTGGAAAGAAAAAACAAAAAAAAAAGAAGAAAATCTCAAAGACGGGGCGCTTGTCTTTTCTTAGCTTGAAGTGAAAAGGAAGGCTAGGGAAAAAAGGGGGGGCGAAGAATGGGTTGGAAGAAAAGGTAGTTATAGCTGTGGACCTTTATCCTTATACGGTATACTAAGCAATAGTTAATAACTAGCAAAAACTGTTTTAGCTGTCCTAAATATTTATCCAATTATAAGGTTTAATATATCGTCTCTTTCTCTTTCTTTTTTAACCAAGTTTCTCGTCCATGTAGATTTTCAATCACTTACTTTTGGCCAGTATATATTTAAAACTATGACAAACTTATGTGACCATTGGATAAACACAATAAAAGAATATTATTATGCCATAAGAAATTAAGCGTGCATTTTTGACAAAAAAAATCAGCTCATTTTTGACTTATTTTGTGTGATGTAAAAAAGAAAGTATTGATTATATAATGTCTGCCTTTGCTCTTTTGTTATATCTGCCTAATACATATATTCAAGTATTATGTAACGTATTACCTACTACACAATTATCGGCTTATATAATACAGCCTTTACCGTTATAAAAAAAAAAAAAAAAAAAAAAAAGAAAAAAAACCATTTTTGATTCTTCTCATTAAGGAGGGTTCTTCCGAAACCTGCATGCGTCTCCTGTGTTAAGCTAAGCTAAGCTATTTACCCCAATGCGAAAATAAAAAAAGGCGTACTATTTAACCAAGGCTATTGAAAATAAACGACGTATCATAGGTTACACTTTTGAAAATTAAAGCCTCCTTTTTCTTCTTCCCCCCCCCCATCTCTCCCCCGATCTTTTTTTCTATTTATCCCTCCTCCGATCTTTTTTCTATTTATCCCTCCCCTGATCTTTCTGCTCTTTATCACTCGCCGATCTTTCTTCTCCCTTTTTTTTTTCTATCGCCCTGATTTTAGGTAATTAAAATATGACTTTTGATTTATATTATGCAAATCTTTGGTTACTTTATCCATCTTTTTCTTTTTTTTTTTTTACTTGTCTTCGCTACAGATTACTCACCCGAATTTCTCCTTGAATTATACATATCTTATTAAGGTTTGTTTATTTGTTTCAGATCGAGGAACGTAATGTTTTGTGGTTACTAATATAAAGCTCCAAGGAAACCTTTGGTCAATCCATATTATCTTGTCTCTTTTCTCGTTCTCGTTTGTATAGGGGTGGCATGTCCACGTGTCCTTTATCTCACTAACAGTACGCTCTATACCCCCCCCACCCCCTGTTCTTACTCTATCGAAAAAAAAAGTCTCTTTTAGACAACCTAGATTACTTTTTTTTTTTCTTTTTTACTTTAAATTTTTGACATATTCCGCTAAAGGATATATTTCCTTCTCTTTCACTTTGACTCTTTTTGCACATTTTTCGTTTCTCGACATCTAATGCAATCGTCATATTGTTTATTCTAGTGTGCGCTAAAGGTAGCGAACGTATTCGCTAAATGTCTTACCATGGTACATTGTATTTAGCATTAAGGCTATACAAACTTAAGTGAACATAATTTTTCTGTTGGTATATCAAATCTCGTAAAATAAAATAAAATGAAAAAAAAAAAAAAAAAAAAAAAGAGATAGGTTACACTTGTAATATTTTCTATATTGGTGGTTAGACTAGTTTTTGGGGTAAACTACTACTCTATATTGGTGGTAAACTAGTTCTACATACTGGACATTGCAACTTATATTTCATCCAGTTTTCTAAACATCCCACATGGAATATATGATGACATGGTGTTATCATATAATCCTTCTTAACACCATTAAGAGCATGTAGCTTCTTCCTTGAATTACCTTCAATGTCTTCTTTAACAATTATCGGTAGCGTTACATCAGTCATACATATTGGACATGTACATTCACACTCAACATAAACATGAGCACTACTTTCTCCAGTATTTTTATCGTTTCGAGACGTCGACGTAGTCGTTGTTGTTGTTGTTGTTGTCTTGTGTTTGAAGCTTGCCAATAAATCGCTGGAAAATCCGTCTTCTTCAAGGTTTCTTAAACTCAATACTTGTTGATAGTCATAAGCTTTTGGTAGCCATTTCTCGTTGATCCAAAATCGAGCTCCAAGAGCGTTCTGTAATACCAATAACATCAACTGGAAAGCGACCCAGAAAGTAACAACAGTACACAATACAGGATCGTACCGATGCCTCAATGGATTCGCTCTGAACAATGCAAAATAGTAGATTGGAATAACTCTAATGATACTGCTTCCAAACACAAACTCCCACGAAAACGCTTTTCGTCTATTCTTTAAGGTGTTGCGTAAAAACTGAGGAATCCAATATGAATTGATAAAGATCAAGCATACGTATTCAAAAATAATTCTGTATCTCAACCTCCAGCCTAAAGATGAGAATATTAAAAACATAGCCACTATTGTAAGCGTGAACCCAGTTGCAAATATAGAATTACTATAAGAAGTCTCTTGCCATGCCTGATTTGGGACGGGCTCCGTTTGTTGTGGTGTTGGTGTTGGTGGTGCTGGCGCTACTGGTGTATTTGCAATTGGGAGAATTGGACCCTCGTCGTGTTCAGTTGCAGGAGTTGACTCTGTGTTGCTGGAATCGAGAGGTACGTAGCTGGAGCCTCTCATGATCTGCCACCATGTAGTTCCTCTTTCATTGGCTTGGATTGTAAGAACATTAACCATAAACCTCATTTCAAAAATCCCGCACAGCATAAATGCCACCGTTGCAATGCATGCCAAAAGCAAGTATAGATCTGCCGTCAACGTTGAAAGAAGCAAAGACATGACAGCTAATAGTGCGTCCTCAAACGCAAATAGAAATAAAGTCTTGCTGGATATGACTGATAATTGGCCCGGTGTTCTAGCTTCACTAGATTGCTTGAAAATCAAATATAACTGAATGCATACCAATACCAAAATCCCAGTTAAAACACTCTTCATTTGTGATTGCAAGACTTCAGACCTCACGCCTGTGAATGATGTATCGGTTTTTCTTGTCAATAATAGTCCACAGTCCGGCGAATATATCAAAAACTCCTTTATTGCTAATTGCGGTATCGCATGTGGCAACGGCCTGCCGGTTGGCTCTCTCAACTCCGAATCAATATACCTCAATTCATCATAACTAAAACTTGTTCTGTTAAACTGGAAATACGAAACAATCTCACATTGGTCTATCGACCTTAAAATAGCCGTATTCATATCGTCTAATGTAACGTCCTTGTTGTTTTTAGCTTCGTTAAATTGACTCATTAGTTTCTTGGCAATCTCAAAGCTCTCATTGTTCATAGCCAAATGGCTCAAACCATATGATCCAAGGAATTTGGCCGAGTTTGACGTGGCCACTAGAGAGCCAGTGTCTTGAAAGTAAACACCTTTCATATTAATCATATGGTCCTCAACCTCCAAGTAATCCTTTAGATTCAACTCTAAACTTGCCACCACCGCATTTGACACTCTATCGCTTTCATTTACCACTTGGAAATCTGGTTCGTTGAAATTGTACTGATAACTTTGCACCACTAATGAAATTAGTCCATCCTTGGTAATGTTACCTATCTTGGGAGCCTTGCCAACAATGTCATCGTCCAGAGCTTTTCTGCCATCACCACCACCACCAGATATATTATCAAAATCCGTATCATCATTGCTTGTCCTTGCATTGTAGTATGTCTGTAGGAAAGTAGGGATCTCATATTTAACAGGCTTAACTTCATTCTCGATAAGCTCAAACTGTCCATCCGCTCTTCCTGAAATGTTTAGCAAATACGCATTCCCACCCTGATGAACAAGCTCTTTACCCCAAAAGCGTTTAACCTTGTCGCTTACTGCATTTGGCAAGATTGAATACTCCTGTGTCTCCTCCCATGGTTGATTCTTATTGTATTTGTGGATAGGCCAGTCCTTAATCTTTTTGCCCTGCAAATGATCTTCATATGATAGCTGGTATCCTGTTATATTACCATACCCGGATTCATACTCTGATTTCGCCAATATACTGTGCGAATCTGTCAATAATGATTGAAAGGTTTGTAAAGTATTTCGTTCGAAATCAGAATGCGGTTGTTCATTCCCAGACGGTAGAGACAAGAAAATAAACATTATAATGAAAAAGGTTAGTGTTCCTCTATCTATCGCCATCTTTTCCTTTTCCTTTTCCTTTTCTTTTTTTTGGCTAACTGGCTTCGGTTCGGTTGTGGAGGGAAAGAATGTGCTAACTATATATTTGTCCTAATTGGTTCGTATAACCTTTTATTATGAGGGCGCAAAGTTACAATTATATTAACCTGATTCGGTCTTTTTTTTTTTTTCCCTCTTTCCTTTACACTCTACTACAAGGTCATTATAAAAGTTCTCGCCCTGAATCGCTTTAGAATATGGGGCAGTAGTGGTTGGGCGAAAGATGAGGGAGAAAGAGCGAAAAACAAATGGCAAAACGCTCCTTCACCTTTGCCCCTACTTACATTAGGCTAGGATTGACCCCAGATGTCACCAATTGTTACAAAATGTGTCAAATATATTTGTTAAAATAAACGAAAAATCTGAAAACTATTATATAAAAGAAAACTTTCTCTAAAGCAAAATTTATCGATTTTTTTGGTATTAAAAAAAAAAAAAGAAGATTTAGTTCAGGTTTACTTCTCTGCTTGAAAAATCTTTCAACTAAAGCTATACGTAAAATGAAATTGTATTTCCTCTACTCTGCAAGTTAGTCGATTGATTGAGATAGATAGATATTATATTGCCCCGCAACTTCATAACGATCCAATATCTTACATAAAGTAACCGAAAACAACAATAAAGAATGTGAATAATACGTGATTGATGTTGATGTTGTTATTGTTCCTGTTCGCTGTATTGGCTATTTGGGTAACTGTGGGTGATGCGACCGAGGCAGTCGATGTTGTAATTGATAAGATCGTCCTGCTTTCAACTGCAACAGTCTCCTCTGCCACTCTCAAAATTGGACTTGTGACATTGCCTATTTCGATAGTCGTTGAAAGATTTGGAATTGACAGTTTTGTAGCTATCAATGTGGAAGACGATGGAATTTCAGTGATACAGTCCTCCTCGTCATCGTCATCGTCATTATTGTCACCTTCATTACTGCCAATGCCTTCATCGCTTTCTTCTTCACAATCTTCCTCGTCTTGGTCTTCTTCTTCTTCCACGCAATCTTCGTCGTCGTATTCATCGTCATCATCATCTTCATCCACATACTCACATTCTTCTGACGAATATGTTCCACTTCCAGTATTGGATGATCCTTGATTTCCTACAACTCCTGATGATCCAGACGAGCCAGATGATCCTGATGATCCTGATGATCCTGATGATCCTGATGATCCTGATGGAGCTTCAGTATCTGTTATGCAATCATCATCATCATCATCATCATCACCTTCATCCTCTTGAGGGTAAACGGTATGAGTAGCTACAATGGTGACAGTAGTCGTATAAACACCTCCACCTACATCTTGTGACACTTGTGGAACAATAGTAGTGACGGTGTATATCATTGTCTCATCATCGCATTCCTCGTATTCCTGAGTAACATATGTAGTAAATGTTTGTCCCGCCGCCGTATATGTAATATATACCGTTTCACTTTCAATCTGGGTCTGTACAGGTGCAACAGCAGTCGTAACAACAGTTTCAGTAGTCTCTTTTCCTCCAACTGTGGTGGTGATAGTTTTTGTGGTAGGCGAGCCAGCTATTGTCGTTTGCTGTGTTACCGTTGTTGGCTTACCTGAAGTGGCGGTGAGAATTTCAGTCTCACTTTCGCAATCGGTTTCGTCATCATCATCTTCATCGCCAGCTGTTGAACTGCTTGTTGGAGCTGTTGCAACTGTCGTTTGTTGTGTCCCCGTTGTTGGCTTACCTGAAGTGGCGGTGAGAATTTCTGTCTCACTTTCGCAATCAGTTTCGTCATCATCATCTTCATCGCTAGCTGTTAAACTGCTTGTTGGAGCTGTTGCAACTGTCGTTTGTTGTGTCCCCGTTGTTGGCTTACCTGAAGTGGCGGTGAGAATTTCTGTCTCACTTTCGCAATCAGTTTCGTCATCATCATCTTCATCGCTAGCTGTTAAACTGCTTGTTGGAGCTGTTGCAACTGTCGTTTGTTGTGTCCCCGTTGTTGGCTTACCTGAAGTGGCGGTGAGAATTTCTGTCTCACTTTCGCAATCAGTTTCGTCATCATCATCTTCATCGCTAGCTGTTAAACTGCTTGTTGGAGCTGTTGCAACTGTCGTTTGTTGTGTCCCCGTTGTTGGCTTACCTGAGGTGGTGGTGAGAATTTCTGTCTCACTATCGCAATCAGTTTCGTCATCATCATCTTCATCGCTAGCGGTTGAACTGCTTGTTGGAGTCGCTGAGGCTAGTAAAGAACTTAGCCAATTCCCACCATCACTAGTAGTAGTAGTAGTAGTAGCATTTGAGTGAGAATTACTGGCGACTGGCAAAGATGAAGAAGAAGTAGTGAGTTCATTAAGCAATGAGCTCAAAAAGTTTCCTCCAGTTGTTGATGAGGTTGCCGTAGCTGAAACAGTTGGTATAACGTTTGAGGTAGAATCTACGGTACCACTTGTTGGGTCTTCGCATTCTTCTTCGTCATCATCGTCACTGCTGTTGGAAGCAGAACTAGTAGGTTGCGAATTAGTTGGCGAGTTGCTTGGGAAAAGACTATTAAATATACTTGATAAAATATTTCCATCACTGGTGGATGTGGGCGTTGGCAAATTGGTGTTCGATACTTTTGAAGACGTTGTTGACAAAGCAGTTACCTCTGCATCGAGCGAAGTGGAGAATGCTGGCTCCGCTGAGTCATTAGTACCTGTTTTTGAAGAAGAAGAAGAAGGCTGGCTCAGTGATAAAAGACTTGATAACCATGAATCCAAGCCACCTTGTTGAGTTGTGCTTGCTGAAGTTGTGATTGGTGCAGAAGTAGTAGTAGGCGGCTCTGTTTCACAATCCTCGCCATCGTCATCATCAACAGTAGAAGTAGACGTAATACTAGGTGATGATGACGATAAAGATGGTGATATTCCAGTAGATGATGAGTTTGGATGTGTACTGGACAAACCAGGTCCAGAAGTTGATGGAACAGTTGATGTGGTGGGAGTTGTTGTGGTTGTACTGGACTGTCCAGGGAAAAGACTGGACAACCATGAATCAAGACCACCTGGTTGAGTTGTGCTTGCTGATGATGTGGTGGTGGTAGCAGCAGCTGTAGTTGAAGGAGAAGAAGGGGTAGTTGGAGTACTCGTTTCATCTTCACATTCTTCATCATCACCATCATCATCGGTGTTGGAAGACAGCACATTATCCGAGGGACTACTATTAGGAATTGTTGATGAAGCAGCTGCTACTCCAGCAGCTGCTGCTGATGATGATAAGGAGGAGGAGGATGAGTCCACTACTGCCTTATTGTTCTCGGCAAAAACGTTCACAAGACTTTCAAGAAAATTCCTCTTCTCATTCTTGACCTCAATTGCATTGGCAATTGATACCAAAGAAATTAATAATGAAGCGGACACTCTCATGGTCGCCGCCTGTTTTTCTCACTTTTTTCTATAATTAAACGAAAGAATGAAAAGTTGGAATGAAAAGTTGGAAAGGTGTTGGGCGTGATTATACTCAAATAGCTGGCTTCAAAGAAAAAGTCATCAAAGTGTGACAGAAGGAACAAAACACCCTTCTTTTGAAATAATTATAAATGAAACCATTGAGACCCTGAAGTACACTGAGTAGATATTTGCATTACTGCATTTATCCCATTTTGGCTGTTATGAGACTTATAACTGAAGCATACTAGAGGTTCACTTGTCGGTTTGGGAAATTTTTTCATTTAGACATTTTAACCTTGCATATTTGGGGGGTAATATAAAAAATGCGTATTGATCAACAATTTTGAAAAATGGGTGCAAAATCTTTTTTTCCTTTTTACCTTATTGAGTAGTTGTTCCCAATATGGAAATAAAATATATTTTTTACCATACAAGCAACACAGGTTAAGAGATATGATCCAAGTTGACAAGAGAAGAAAGTATAGATCAAATGGTAACCAGATTCTAGACAATGCTAATTTGTTCGTATACTCTCTAAGCAGCAGCAGATTTCGAAAAACAATAAAAAGCAAAGTACTATCACGATTGGCTAGGATCTATGATGTTTTCTCTGTGTAAATTAAAAAAAAAAAAAGAGGTCCTTCATTTTCTTTTCTTTTTTTTTGGCACCATGAAGATCAATGCACACAATTACTCCTCTATTACAGTTAGAACTAGTGTCTTTTCTCGCCCCCCCTCCCCCCCCCCCATCAAACCCAACAGAGGTATAAAAAATAAAGTAGTTATTCTGCAGATTAAAGTCACTAGATATTTTTGGAAAAGCTTTCTTTTCTTAGTCGAAGAAAAACTAAAGAATTGTACAAATCGAGTAATAAATAATACATCACGGATTTGGTTTACTAGAATCTGTAATTCCGTCACAAGCATTGAGGACAGGATAATCAAGGTATATCTCGTTTTTTCTAACTCTTTTGTTGAGACGATACTCCAACTTTTAAATCGCCGGTTTGATACTCTCTCGATTTTTGCATGGTTTAGATAGAATATAGGGGCTCTCTCTCTTGGCTCGAGTGTATTATGCAAACGACACTATCGAGCAGAGCGAGATAGGGGAGCAATACTAGCTGCTCGATAAGCAATAGGAATTTATTTTGTTCATATAGTTTTCAACTACAAAAATTTGATTTCTATTAATATACAACATACTTGATGGAGAAAAAAAAAAGCACCGACTTGAGAGTGATTAAAGACTAAAATATGAAAGGAATAAGTAGAAGAATGGTTGGAGGTGTGTACGAAGGAGTTGGTTGAAGGAAAAAGGGTATATTTGGACTATTCATTTGTTTTCTTGTTCATGCTGCTGCTTTGATATACAGCCTTTTAGAAAGAGCTTCGGCCCTTTTGAGATTTTGGATTTTTTGATTGATTATATTCTGGTTTTTAGCAAGGACTTTGTTAACACTTTTTCTAACAATTTTCCGTATCTCCTTTTTATCACTTGCACTTCGTTTCATCATCATCCTCTTAGACTTTGGAACACATGTTCCAGCACTTGCTCCCGAAGAACCGCCAAATATAGATGTAAATAATGTCGTAAAAAGATCGGAAATTAAGTCTGCACCAGATGTTACAACGCTCAGCGATGACGACAGTCCTCCAAATAAGGAGCTCAATATACTACTGAAAAAGCCGTCTGAAGACCCACTGGATTGTGTTGCGCTAGATGCATTAGTTTCAAACAAATCATCAAAAATCTCTTTAGCAAATCCAAGTATGAGTCCCAAAAACGTTTGGCCGTTAAACAAGCCAGAGAGATTTCCCTTGACGTCATCCCACAAGTCATCAAATATCCCCTCTATCAAGTTTAAACCAAATCCTAAAAGATCTTGAATAATATCATCAAAAGTTTCGTCGCTACCACTAGCGCTCAGTGATGATGCTGTCAGGGGATTTGATGGAGCAAATATCGAGTCAATCAATTGTTCAAGAAAATCCCCACTTCCTGATGATGTTGACGTTGCTGTTGCTGTTGACGTTGACGTTGTGATCGTCGATTGGGAGTCTCCGGAGTCACCGAATATGGCATCGAAAATGTCTCCTAATAAAGATCCACTAGTTGAAGTTGATTGCGAAGCGGTGGTGGTGGTGGTTGTATGTGAATCTCCGGATTTATCAAATAAGTCATCAAACAAACCCTCTAAAAAACCTCCGGTTGAGGCAGCAGTGGCCAGTGTAGCCACTGTTGCATCACTTACAACTTGTGCTGTAGCAGCTGCGGTGGTGGTGGTGGTGGTTCCTGTTTTTGAGTCTGGACCAAATAAGGCATCTACTAGACCCTCGAGAAGCCCTTCTGTAGTTGCTGCTGCTGTCGTTGTTGCTTGTGGTGTTGATACTTTTGACGATTCTACCACCAATGGTGTTGCAATTGGTGTTGTTGTTGTTGACGACGACGACGACTCCAGGTCATTATTATTTGGCGAGCCAAAAATATCGTCGATCAAACTTCCCAAAAAAGAACCCGTTGTCGTTGCTTGTGTTGTAATAGTAGATATAGGAGTAGCCGCACTTGCAGTATTGTCAACTGCTGCTACCGTAACAACTGTAGTAGGATTAGCTGCAGCTAACAGAGTTGCTAAAGTTCCAAGATTCGAGAAAGCACTCTCAAGTTGTTCATCGGTGAGTGCTGGAGCTGCAACTGCTGCTGAAGCTGATAAAACGAGTGAACTTAATTTCATTCCAAAATGATTGCAAAAAAAAAAAAAAAAGGAATGTTAAATTTAATAAGAAAGGAAAGAAGACCTTTGATCTGTGATTCGATAAGGTTGACAGCTGTTGACTAAGGAAAAGAAAAACTTTATTTTGAAATATTATCTGGAAAACCCATCTTGTTTTTATATTAGTGGTAAGTGAATTGGCTCTTTATTGAAGCTTAGTCGAAGCTTATTCGCTTAATCGATGGATCGTGAATATAAAGAAAAGACCCATTTTAGGTAAAATACTTTGGTGCATAGTGGACTTTTTTTCAAAAAGTTCCTAATCGGGAAACAGTTTTATTTTTTATTTTTTTATTTTTTTATTTTTTTATTTTTGTTTCTTTTTTGGTAAGACGAAAAAAAACATGTATGGTTTAGATAGTTATATGATTTGTATGGATACTTCAGCAAGTTAGTTTATGTAGAAATAGGCAGTTAAAGTTATTAAATTGGATTAGAAGGTGTAAATTGGTAGGTCCCCCCCCATTAAGCTTGAGATATCCTCTTTTTCTTCGCACTCACTGGCTTTGCATTCCAATGGGGAACTTAACCAAATGCGTCTAAACCTTGGCACCCATTCATTCTTCTATAAAACGCTTCCTTACAGATTGTATAATACCTGACTTATTACTATATTTGGTTATATCCACGAACCCCGTCTGATACATATACTTGAGTTTCAACGGTGGTGGTGGTGGTGGCTAAGAGTCAAGAGCCAATAGCTCATCAATCAATATCAACAACTTCATGTAATATGCAGGACCTTTTCTTCAGTTCTATCTTTATTATGAAAAATTCCATGTAAAATTCTAATCATCACTAATAAAACTGCAAATGAGACAAAGTCTAACTCGATTGGTGAGGCCACGTCGACCAGAGAGGCCTAATCAGTCGCCACTTTTACCACCATTAGTGCTATACCGTGCCATCTTGAGGGCTCATGTTCACAAGTTACCGCATGAGCTACGTCATTTTGGAGATCAATACGTGAAGAAGGAGTTCAAAGATCATAAGAAAACAGATAACCCATTGCATATAGTAGGATTCCTAACTGAATGGCAGGACTACTTAAAGAAATTGGACGGCGGGAAATGGTTAGATGGGAAACTCAGCAAACAAGAATTGGATAAAATGTCACCCGAACAAATTGGTCAATTACATGAGTTGATGAAGGCTACAAAAAAGATAGGGCAAGAAGAAAATGAAGTATAAAGAGTTAGACCGTTTTCATTTTATGTATTTACATATATGTATATATATCATTTTTGTCTTTACAAACCTTTACCGTAATTACCAGATACAAAAAAGTCTACTATAGTCTGTACTATTTTCTCCAAAGCCTCTAGCCAAGCTATTAGTTGCTCTTTAACTTTTGCTGAATCGGCACCTAATTTAGCAAAAAAGTCCTTCCTGTAAGGACAAGCTTTCATGGCTAATTTGAATACAGGCTTCACCAACATCCCATGGTATTTGGACAATGTTTTCCCATATGCATCCGTGAAAGTCACTGTCAACTCTTTATCTGGTTGGTCTACAGTTTCTCTCATTGCTTGTGCGGTGAATTGAAGTCCTCTAGATAACCATAGTAATCCCTGAGTAGCAGTTTTCGTTTTGGTTGAAGCTTCGGACAATACCAAACCCTGCAACGTAGATGAGTTAATTGGATCCTGCAATAACCTGGTTCTGATTTTGATTATATTACCGGTCATATCCTTTTGAACAACAACAAATGCTGATGATCCTAAGAGGTCAAATAACTTAACGAGTGATTCAGACGCTTCTAAAAACTCAGCGGTATCAATTTTATTGTCTTCTGTCACTTTAACGTCACTAAAGGACTTTTTCATTTCATCAAAAAACGTGGACATCTTGTCTATATGGTGTTTTCTATAAAGATTTCTGGTTCAAATGTGTATTCTAGTAATAATTTTCAAAAGTCTTTGTTGTCCATCTATATTTATATATGCATTTTTTTTCCCACCTACTAAAATTTTCAACGCGCAAAAGATTAAACAGGTAAACTACAAGGTGTCGGATTGGGGGTTGAGTTTACTTATTAGCAGAGTTTTTGTTGTTGTTGCTCCTCTTGTTGTTGTTGTTGTTGTTGTTGTTGTTGTTGTTGTTGTTGTTGTTGTCGTCGTTGTTGTCGTTGTCGTTGTTGTCGTTGTCGTTGTTGTTCTATTGAAAAGTAGACGTGTCTTACTACTAATGGGATCGTGATTCAATATTCCAGCCTTTTAAAACTGTGCCACGCTAGTTATTTGCGCCGTTATACGACCTAATATACCAGATGTGGCTGTAAAAGAGGCGGTGGGCTCGAAAAAAAAAAAAAAGAAAGAAAAAAAAAAATTATTATTCTAACTGATAGTACTTAACTCTTTTATTACCACTCTAGCTTTGGTGCCCATCTTACCAGTTTCTTTCCGGTATTTTTCAAGTTGTCAATTGAGGATTGTGAGAGGATCTGAACTCCGTCGTTATTAGAACTACTCTCTTGCGATATTGATATGACCTGCTGATCCGCTTGCTCGCGTTGTTGCTTCAATTGGTAAGTCTGTAGCTCATTTTCAGAATAAAATCCATTATGTTTATGTTCTATAGTGTTTTTTTCGCTTGCTTTGATATTGTACATGCGAATAATTGCAGTTTTATCCCCATTGTCTCGATTTGTTGGTATTTGAATTACCTCATTTTCATTTTCTGGATAAAGAAGCTCAGAACTGTTTGACCCATTTAATTCTGTTGCGAATCTTGTCGCATCGGCAACTAGTCCAGTCAGCGATTCAATTAAAAATATTTTCTTCTCCGCCTTGTTCAATGACGGTTTTGTAGGTGTAATAAATTGGTGTTTTGGTTGGCATATCCTTTGAGGTGAGCTCAAAGGAGTGATGGTGGTGGTGGTGGTGGTGGTGGTGGTGGCTATTAGTTTCTTTTTGTTATTTGGATTTCGTTTTTGAAGGTTATTGGTTTCTATTAAGGGTATGCTTCTTTGTTTTGTTTTCTTTTTGGTTACTTTATAAGGTTTAGGTGGATTCTCCTTATTTTCTGAATCGAGGGAAAAGTAGGCACCCAACTCTGGATTTATATCATTAATCGGTTTTTTAAACCGCTTTTGGAAAACTTTTGTTCTTGTAACATCATCCAACTCATAATCGGTCTCTTCTAACTTGTTGTTGATATCAAAGCCTTGCGCTATCTTCCATACGTTGTTGTAGAAAAGAGAATTATTTCTCTGTTGTTGCGGCTGCTTCGTTCTCAAGTTGCTAGTGACTTGAAACAATTCATTAGTTATTTGATTGGTGATGTTATTATCTGGTGGTAAGCATATCCGATACAAGTGATTTTCGTTAGTTCTTGGTTGCTTTGGGGTATACCTAGTGCAAAACCGTTGTTGCTCTTGCTCTTGTACTTGTACTTGTTCTTGCCCCCGCTCTCTTTCTCTCTCTCGTTGTTGTTGATGTAGGTGATGATGTGCATTTAGTATAGGTTCATCGTCTATATCATAGTCAATTTCTTCTATGGTGAGCTCTTCTTCCTCTAACATCGTCACCCAATATTTATGTGTATGGTTAAAGCCTGGTTAACGAGAAATGAGCTGGTTTTTGTCACCTTATGGTAGTCAACACCCCTTGAATCGATGAAATTATGTTGTTATGCTGAGATTTTTAGTTTCTATAATGAACCTCAAAATAAAAAATTGTTTACAAAATTGACAGATCAAGTAATATTTCCTGTGCTACCATTTTAACAATACAAAAATGTCTTAAACTTAATAAAGCTCTGGCACAGTGATTAATTTGGGAGAATGAGAAAGCTTACACAGTCTCGACTGGATTCAGTGGTGTTGGTTCAGTCATTGTAGATACGAATATTGGTTGAAGATCCCCATCATTGGTCCATCTCCAGAGAAGGTATCAAATCTACATATCTTCATATCTAATATCATCTATTCACATCAATGTACCAAAAAAAAAAAAAATAAAAAAAAAAAATAGAAAAATGGAAAAGTAAAGCTCCTTTGCTTTCAATATTTGAGCCTTGTTTTTAACTTCTTGCCATCTGTAGTCCCCATATAAGCGCTCTTTGCTCTTCAATGACATCTACATAATCTATATATCATGAAACCGCCACCACGCTCGATCCATGAATATCTCTACAGACTATTAATAGAATCTCCAGGTTTTAATAATTGGGTCAGGAGAATTCATGCACGAGTGAACCGTATCCCAATGGATCAGGTGTTTCCAGAAATCAAATATTCCAAGGAATTCGATATTCACGATTTCAAACCTACAAGGATACAAAAATTTAATGCGTTTAGAAAAATCTGGGGCAAAGAAATGAAAGAGACTTTTAAGTTTTGGTAGGGAAAAAAAGGATGTTCTTGTTGTTGGCCGCTTACACCTCGACACTATCGAGCAGAGCGAGATAGTGGAGCACACTGACTAGCTCTCATCAACACTAGCTTGTTCCAACACTATCGAGCAGAGCGAGATAGTGTCGATAGATATGTGTGTGTGTTTTTAGAAAAATGAATTTGTATATATTAAGATAATGCTAAAGAATAAATAATAAAAAATAAAAAAAAGAGGAACAAAAAACCCTATATAAATCTCCTTCCGTACTTTCTTCTATACTGTATTAAGAATCTTATCAAAATTTCCTAAATTACGTCTGCTTGTCATCGATACGTCATCTTGAAAAGCAGTGATGACTTCGTTGTTAGATCCAAACTTGAAATTATCAGCAATGACCTTTTCACTGTACCTTTTCACTTGGTAGGGATTCTTTTGATTTCTCAATACTTTGGAAAGTGACCAAGTAATGACATAGTTATCAGTAGAGGTAATAATGCTTGTTTCTCTTTTGTCGATACCAGTGTTGAAATAAGCTGGGGTAAAACTGACTTCACTCTTGTTATTTTGCTTGGTTATGAATGCTTCATGTTCTGGTTGTAATGCCAACCTTCGAGGTGTAGGTTTCTTATCTATATCAAAATATTTTTCAAACCCATATTTTCCAGCATTTTTTTGACCTGAACCAATTTTCGTGTCAATTAACAAAAGATATGTTTTACAAGTAGCCAAAATCCATCTACCATCTTTGGACACGTCAAGTCCCAAAATCGGATCACCAAGTGAAGGTAATGCGGTTTTTGCATTGATACCTAATCTATCGTATAATCTAATGTCACCTTTTGCTGAACCCACCGCAAGGTGACCTTTTTCTGTTGTTGCCAAAGTCTGAAATTGATTATTTGTAGTTTTGTATGCCTTGTGGGTATGATCATTTACCAACTTGACACCAGCAAGTCGTGGATCAATAGTGAATAAATTGTTGGAAGATATACCAGTCAAGGTTTGCTCATTCGACATCGGTGCAAACTTGGATGTTGGGGCATACGACTTGAGGGGGAGGGTCTCGGAAACTTGCCATTCTTCAATTACTTTACCACGATTGAGATCCATTTTGTAAAGGGCTTTGTCGTTTAACGCTGGGTTAGATAGAACCAAGTACTGGTCCTCTTGATGAAGCAACATTTTTTTCGGGTCGAGAGGGTTCCCTTTCAAGTCAGATACGTTATTTATTGTAACTTCATAGTTCAAATTTTTGTTTCCCTGGCTGAAAACGCCTATTTTATCACCTCGAGCAACAAATGTGCGACCTTTGTAGCCAACAGCTAAATATGTATTTCTATTCTTTTTTTTAAAATTGTTGAGCTCCTCGTTGAATTCTTCAGCCTCATGTTCGGGTTCCTCCTCGTCTTTATCTTCTTCTTTTTCATCTTCATTTTCTTCTTCTTCTTCTTCTTCTTCTTCTGCAATTTTCTTCACCTCTTCTTCATCCTCGCTACTCACATCTAAATGAGAAAATGCATCAACAATATAGTCTTGTTCGGATTGGTCACCAAATTTCTTTTTATTCAACGTTTCGTACATTAGTGTCAAGAACTTATTTTGAAAATTCACCAAGTCATTAAAAATATGAAATTTGAGTAACCATGAGTTGGCAGTAACGCCATCTTGAGAAACAGAATAATGATTAAAAATGAATGACAAATGTTCAAAATTAAATGTGGGATTCATGTTCCTGCTCAATATATTATTAATCTTGATCCCATTTTCTCCTTTGATGTATAAAGTATACTCCCATTTGCTCAAGTCTATCAATTTCAATTCGGGAAACGAGCTTTTTAAATGAAACGATCCAGTCGTGGAGTCAAATAAATGTAGGGTAAACTTTTTCGTTGAGTAAACAACTTTTCCTATTGGTTCCACATCGCTGTTCTCTTTTTCGCTAGTACTAGCACTATCGGTATCATGCTTGGATAATTGCTCTTTTTGATCCTTGTATGTCTCATTGTTCCTTTCCTCTTCTTCTTCCTCATCTACATCATCTTCACCATCGTCTTCCTCGTCCTCTTCTTCCTCATCTTCCTCGTCCTCTTCTTCCTCCTCTTCCTCCTCTTCCTCTTCTTCCTCTTCTTCTTCTTCTTCTTCCTCTTCTTCCTCTTCTTCTTCATAATCATCACCAGAATTTTCCGAATTTTCCAGATCATCGAAATTCAACAATTCCTGCTTTGGGCTATACACAAACTCCTTCAATTTACTCATACCATTCAATCTCATTGAACTTTCTTGATACTTGTTCTCATAAAGACACTTGTAGATAGTCACCACAAACAGATCGAAATCGCTTATTCTTATATCTTCATCAACAATAAACTCAAATCTGTCACCCAAATCTCCATTCAAGTCATTCCATGCAATTGCTCTGGTTCCATCCAGTTTCTCGTATTTGAAGATTTTCAACTCTTCATTCAAGGGGAAAATCCATTCATCTTTAGAGTTGTTGCTGGAATCGAAATGTGAGTTGGACAATAACGAACTAGACGAACGTCCGGAAGCCACAACGCCTCCCAAACTACCTCCATTTTCATCGTCATCATCTTCATCCTCGTCCTCGTCAAATCCAGAATTGCTACCAAACTCACTCTCGCCTTCCTGATAAACTTTGATTATACTCAACTGATAAAGAAACGGTGTGTTTGTTTGTTTTATCGAGGCAAATGCGTCATTATAAAGACATTCAATTGCACCTTTAGGTGACTGTTTTGATCGCGTGAGAAAAAGTTTACCTGAAGGAAGCAGGGCAACTTCATCCGTCGTAGTTGTCCCTATAAATTTTCTAATAAAGTTCATCTGTAACCAAACCTTCACAGTCACGAAAACCGGAGAAAGAAAAGAAAAAAGAAAAGCCGCAAATCAGGCTGTTGCTTATCAGATAACGGGCAAAAGGCAAAGAAAGAGAAGTGGGGGGGCGGCTTGTTCTTAAACGATATTAAAATTCAAACAAGTTGAAATAACAGCACAGAGGAAAAACCTATAACATATTAGTCGTGTATATTGCTCGGACAAAAAAAACAAAGAAAAAAAGTTTTCAATCTTTTTTTTTTCCTTTATCTTATCAGATCTCTCTCTCTCTCTCTCTCTCTCTCTCTCTCTTATGATGGACGAAAGTAGGTCAAGAAACCACTTTTGACACCGACTTTGGTGTATAGGAGCTGGGCTCTATGGTTTTCAAACTGAGTAGACCAATAACATTTTCCGCAATTCAATCTATCTGCTTCTTTGTATACATATTCAATCAATTTTCTGCCTACTCCCTTTAATCTATTATCGGGTGAAACAAACAAATCATTCAAATACATGGTATCTTCAATTGTCCAGGTATTCAAATGAGTTAAATAATTGGCGAACCCAATTATTTTACCAGTTGAATCATCAACGGCAACTGCTGAGTACATTGGGGTATTAGCGTCAAGAAACCTATCGAATGTAGCATTTGATATCTCTGGTGTTATTTTGTCCTGAGACTTGTAAAACTCAATATAACCATTTGCACCTGTCCAAAGATTGAGCCACTCTTCCTTGTCTTTGGCTTCAATTGGTCTAATTGTAACTGACATTTTCCCTGTAGATATATATTTGCTTTAAGGTACTCAATGAGTAAAGTGAGTAACTAAGTTTTGGCCAAAACCAATGTGTTTTTATATTAATCTCTCCTTACCCCCACAAATATCTGACTAATGCCGTTTTTTTGTTTTTTTTTTGGATAAGCGCATAAAGAGCTTAGCGCCTTTCAGGTTTTTTGTCTCTTGAGAAAGAAAAAAGGGCCAAATTATTTTTTTATTACTAGCGGCATATATTAGGTCACGTGATAAATACAAGGACTACAGTGTGGAAGGTTGTTGTTCCTGCTGATCTAGAAAGTGGAGTTGAATTTAGTGAAAAAAAAAAAATTAGGTGATTAATTATTAAAAACCTTCTCGAGTCAAGAGACTAGCCTATTGAAGTATTCAAAAAAATCAAGAGACTATTAATTTCAATGAATTTCTCATTCTTCGTATGATCAATACTAATAACAAATTGGTATTAGAAAGATTAAGACGAAAACTAAACATAACAAACACAAGCTTTTGGCACTTATACTACTAGTTTTCAATAGAAAGGAGGAAACTATACATGTGGAATGTGTCAATAATAGCCAACAACGCACTGAAACATACATGTTTAATGAAGTCATAAACATGCGTCTCCTTACATGAAAAAGAGAAAAATAACAACCTCATAGGGAAAAAGACAAGATATTTTTGTAACAGAAGCTCTGGAACTTAGAAGTTGATGAAAATTACTGATTCTTGATAAGTTCTTTTTTGTTCGGTTATAATTTTGGAACAAGACGAAGTAAAAAGGAAATGTATGCATGTATGTATGATTTGCAACTGTAACTATACATACATCAAAGACCTCATCGTAAAAACTTTAATCCCTTTAGATTCTTTCTTTTTTCTTTTTTCTTTTTTTCTTTTTTCTTTTTTCTCTTTTCTTTTTTTTTTTTTTTTTTTTTTATTTGTTTTTTTGTGGGGGGGGNTTTTTTTTTTTTTTTTTTTTTTTTTTTTTTTTTTTTTTTTTTTTTTTTTTTTTTGATACAGAGATTTAGTGGGAGGGGGGGGGAAGAAAGAAAGTGTGCAAAGACAATAAAAGAAACGGAAACAAAATGTGCTGAATAATTGATAATAAACATTGGTGGCTTTGTTTGCTTGCTTTAGAGGAGTGTTAGGAGATGAACTTTTCTCACCACAATGTCATCTTCTTTTTGATGCCCTTTTTTTCAATTCATCCACTCTTTTTTATTTTTTATTTTCAATCTCGGTTAGAGCTCTAAATTATTGTTATTGTATAAAAATAGATTATTCTGTATATAGTGTTCATGCCTGCTGCCCTTAAATTCTTCCGAGACTACCTCTACTATTATTTATGTTGCAAATCCATACATACATAATTAACAAATTGTATCTCTCCGAACAGCCTTTTTTTTTTTATATATCCCACAAAAAAAAAAGTAGTCGAGAGAAGTGACAAAGGAGAAAGAAACTATAAGCTCGTGATTTGAAAACTTAATATAGAAAAGGATGGACAAAAGTAGGATTGGGTGACTTCTTTCACCCAGGGGTCCTTGTCATGAATCCGGTGTTGTAGAGTACTTCTGGAAGAGTAGTTAAAGGGGGTGGTAGGCGGGTAAAAGACGTTGAGACAAAGACGGGAGCACCGTGGGGGGTGCGCGAGGGGGGGGTGAGTGGGTGTGTATAAGAGTAACAATAGACTCTCTCAAATAATTAAATTTAGCCGCAGTTGTTGGTTTGGGGCTGTAATGAGCTGTAATGAGCTGTAGGCGTGTGGGTCTGAAACTGCATACGATTTCATAGATTCACTACCACTTACTATTCGTACATAAATAATTCATCCCAAAGTTTTCATTTTCCAAGAGGACAGGGATAGATAAAGTATAAACTAACTTAGCTAATAATCACTAAAAAACAATAGCTGACGATAAATAAAAGAGAAAGGAGGGGGGGGTGTTATTTTTGACAGCGGAGAGAAAGTATATAAATTCAACGATAACTTGCTTCTTCTTCTCCCTCTTTCCCAGATTCTGTGTTATCTTTTAGTTGTTTTTTTTTTTTTTAGTTTCTTTCTTCTTTTTCTATCTCCAGACTTGAAATTGGATTATATATCTACTACTATCAGTCTCAGATAGATAAAAAAATATATATACACATATATATATTTATATTTTCCTTTCGCTTTTCACACCAACGAGTTTTTTTATTTACACTGTGATTACTGTATACATAGCATACAGTAACTCAACACATTAATATAGGTTTTTTTTTCCCCACTTTTCCTCCCCAAAATGGCATCAGAATCAACATATTGGTCGTACGACAACATTGTTCCATCATATAGATTAGATGGAAGACTAGCTATTTTAACTGGTGGGTCTGGTGGCTTGGCCGCAGTAGTTGCAAGAGCACTTTTAGCTAAAGGTGCAGATATCGCATTAATTGATATAAATTTGGAAAGAACTCAACAATCAGCAAAAGATATATTGATATGGGGTGAAGAAAACATGAAGGGTAAAAATGAATCGGCTATTGGTCAAGTTAGTGCTTGGTCATGCAACATTGGTGATGCCGAATCGGTGGAGTTGACATTCAAGGCAATCAATGAACATCACAACAATGTAGCTGATATTTTGATAAACTCGGCTGGTTATGCTGAAAACTTTCCCGCTGAAGAGTACCCAGCTGCAAATGCCGAATCCATAATGAAAGTTAACGGTTTAGGTGCATTCTATGTTTCTCAAGCATTTGCAAGACCATTAATTGCTCACAATAAGGGTGGCTCAATTATTTTGATTGGATCTATGTCCGGTACTATTGTTAACGACCCACAGCCTCAGTGTATGTACAATATGTCCAAAGCTGGAGTTATACATTTATCGCGATCATTAGCTTGTGAATGGGCCAAGTACAATATCAGAGTTAATACGTTGTCACCTGGATACATTTTGACTCCATTGACAAGAAACGTCATCAGTGGTCATACTGAAATGAAGACACAATGGGAATCAAAGATTCCAATGAAGAGAATGGCTGAACCTAAGGAGTTTGTTGGATCCATTTTATACTTGGCTTCTAATACTGCCTCTTCATACACGACAGGCCACAATTTGGTCGTAGATGGTGGTTACGAATGTTGGTAAGAACAAGAATTGAAAGAGATGGAGGGTAATTGTTGTGGAAACGTATGTCTTTATTCTCTTTTTTGGGGGGATAGATGTATAGTATAATTAATAGTAATTTGGAATACACCTTTTTTTGGGCTAATAGAAAGCTATAATGAATTTTTGGCCTTGTAGTAATGGAAAAAAATATAACTCACTTGGTGATCTAAGCGAGAAGGTCATTAATACATTTGGGGATATTCGTGTGAGAGTTATCTTGATAAAGGACCGTGTACTGCATTAGGAAACATTCTTTGGGTTTGTTTTCTAAACTCCTTTATTTTTTTTCGGAGTTTGATTCAGGGGAATAGAAGAAATTTCATAAACATGACATTCTATCACTATACTTTATACCATTTTGCCTTGTGAACTTTGCAACTCTACTCTTTGAAGAAGCTGTTTTCTTTTTTTCTACGGTGTACTCATTAGGGTGTACTCATTAGGGTGTACTCATTAGGGTGTACTCATCGATTTTCAGTACTCCTTCGTATTTCATCAGAGTCAATCATCCAAGTAGTTTTATCTGTAATTTACAATTTTGGTCCAGATTTTGTCCAATTTCGCAGCCAAAAAAAAAGAAAAAAGAAAAAAAAATAAATTACCAAAATATAATCTCATCTAGGGCGAGCTTCACACAGATTATTGGTATCGAAAAAAAAAGCTAAAATGTGAACTAACCTACACAAGTTTATCTTGTCACCTCCAATTCCTTATAGGGCTTGGTTGTTAGGATTACATATACTTCTCAACTGCTGCCGCTGCTGCTGCTGCTATATAAAAATCTTGTTATTTAATTTGACGCTCGCACGAGGCAAAAATTCTACTACATTATTGTAAGAAGTTCAAAAAGTGCAATTCAATCAATAATTGCATTTTTCCTTCAAAGAAACTCAATAAAAGTACTAAAAAGCAAAATAGTAACAATCATGATTGCTCGCCTTTTCTTTTTTCCGAGTAACGATATCTAGAAGAATTGAGTAATCAAGGTATCGATTTTACGATCCTGTAGAGTATAGAAGTTGTAATTCTCACATATATTTTTCTCCAACAAGCGTAGAATAGGAACAAGCAAAGAAATCACAAAACAACACGAGTTTGATTTACTCCTCGATTTCTTTTTTTCTCCTCCCTGTTCCGCCTACTTTGGGCCCAGCCGCCTTTCTCTTATCTCTCCATAACCAACGTTCATTCACATCCTGTCGCGTTTAATACGAGAAACGATATTGTTCAGTATTAATATTTGGAGAAACAAAAACGCGCTTTGGAATCTCAAAAAAAAAAATTATTTCCTTTCAAAGTTCGAGTCTTGCATCTTTTGAATTGGCGTTTCTACATTGGGTGCAAAACCAAGTGGTTTTGGACAAATAAAGATGTAAGACGGAAGAAATGAATGATGAATAGGCATGACTTTTTCCAATGGGCATAGCTGCTGAAATGATGCTAGTAAGCATTCCACTTAAACACAACTCAATACATTTTTAAAAAAAATATTGAAAACAAAACAAATAAGCTACGCAATATATGAAATTAGCTGCAAACATTTGCAATTTATTTCCTTTTCTTAGATTGGGCCACAAATTAGAGACAAAAAAGACGGAGGGTGAGGCAAACTTATATGGAGTTACAAAAATGAGACGCTTTGTCTATTCTTGATATTCGACCTGAACACTTAATTAATATTATTAACATTTTTCTCATAAGGCTCTACATGTAAAAATCATAACTGGGTGGGGGAAGGAAGGCGGGCGCTTGATAGTAAAGTGTTTTCTTTATTCACTGTGAGAGTTTGTGATGATATATCATAATATCCCAGAATGGTACTGGATTGTGGACAATGTTGAATGCCAATTTTGACACTTGAAATATCTTTTACTAAAAAGCTAATTGTAGGCTTTTTTAAAGTACTAATCTTCGATTGTGTTGATTTATTTTCTGTTATTCAACATTTTTAACATTTTTTGGAGAAAAAGCATTTCCTTTTCTATCAGATCGAAGAGTTAGGTTTATAATTCACATAAAATTGAGATGTCATATGAGAACAAAGAGAATCTGTGCCTTCTCCACTCTCCTCTGCACATCAATGCGGTGACAAAAAAAGAAAAGTTGAAAAAAATGAATAGGTGACATTACAACCATCCATTGCTACTATAAATAACACAGATCTATATCAAATGTCACAGCCTCGATGTGCAACATGGCTTGTTCTAATTGTAATAGTAGGTTGTAAAGACAAAGAAGATAAATGATCTCATGATACCTCAATTAATAAAATCAAAAAGTTTTTTTTTTCTTTCTTTTTTTTTTCCTTCCCATTAGGGAAGAGCAAAAGCCGTTGGTAACTTTAAAGGTTTTCTTGCTAAGGAACGATGCATGTGGTTTGATTGTTTGTCCTGCTCCCTCTCAGCTCATGCCACCCCCTCACATGAAGACCTTACTTGCTACATTTGCATTCTGATTTTCTTTTGCGGCATTATCAGCAATAACAAAGACAAAGAAAAACAAAAAAAAAAAACGTACTAGCAATAAGTTCCTCCAAACCCGAAATTTAAATCAAATAAATTAGTTAGACACATTTTACTAAAACGCTGTATACCTCTTGAAAGCATCGCTATTTTCCGCGAGTCCCTGACCTCTCTCTAATTTTCTTGTTAATTCGATTTGTCATCACCCACTGCTTTATCTTTTATGGTATATAGAGCAAATCAGATGAGGGCTCATCTCAATTGGAGTTGTGTTCATTTTATTCTTTGTACTGTTCTGCTTACTCCTACTGACTATTTTTTTTAATACTTATTTCATATCCCATGTTAATATTTGTGTTGTGATTCCGACCCTATTTGAAAACTGATAACTCTCCTATTAACACCAAAAAAAAAATTTATCTCCTTAGATTTAACTTGCTATATTTAGATGACAGGCTCCTTGGCTCTAAAAAATCTATATTGGGAAATGCTGTTTCCCTATTCAGAGCAAGTATCTCATACAAAAAGATAAATCTGTAGCGTGTATGCAGTACATGTTGTTATGTCACCTTCGACACGAGAAAATGTAGTGGCCCATAAGCACAGGAACCTGCATATAATATAGTGGCGGCTACTAATTTTGGTAGATACATATCCCGATAACATGCAAAGTTCCCATAGCCGATAAAAAGAGTAGCAAATAAAAGACTAATTTTATTAAGGGTCGTGCACTATTTTTCAATCAAAAATTTTTTTTTTTAAACATTATTCATTATTATACATTTGTTTTTGTTATTGTTGTTGTTGGGAATGTGTGCTTTGTGTTTCAGTGAATGTTTAATAAAGCAATGAACTAACATTTAGTCAATGAGTTGTAAAAATTTTTCCTAATCGTAAGTTTAACAAGCTTTTCTTGAACAATGTGAATCTTTTGTTAGTAAGCTGCAAATAATATAAAAAGACAGCTAGATCTCCTTCTTGTTAAGAGATTATTGTAATCTTATTTTTTCTTTTTACCTTTTTTTTCCTTCTTTTTTTATTTGTTTTACACTTTATCAAACAGTCAAACCTTTTATTCACTCGCTTAATAAATTAATACTTAACAATGCAATTCTCAAAAGTCGCCGTCTTAGCCGCTGTTACTGGTTCAGCTTTAGCTTCATACAACTCAACTGTTCACGAAATCGCTACAACTGTTATCACAATCACTTCATGTGAAGACAACAAATGTACTGCTCTTCCAGTTACCACTGGTTTGACCACTGTCACTGAATATGACACCATCTACACCACTTACTGCCCACTTCCTACTGAAACTGAAGCTGAAGTTGCCCCATCCCAACCAACAACTGTCGCTGCTGAATCTTCTTCAGTTGCTCCATCATCAACTCCTGCTTCTAACAATACCATTGCTCCAATTGAAGGTGCTGGTAACAAATTGCAAGTTGGTGCTGCTTTGATTGGTGCTGCTGCTTTGTTATTTTAAGTCTTATAGTTTATTGATGCTCACTTAATATATATTAGATTTTTCTAGCAATAAGTTTTTTTTTCTTTCACATCTGTATAAACCCCTCTATCTCTTTGCATGTATATCTACATCCAGGTATATATAAACATTGTTGAATAAATTGTATAAACCAACTGAGATAATTTTGTTTATATTTATCACATAGCTAACACCTATAAAAGCAAATTCAAAATGAAAAAAAAAATCAATGACTGCACCTTTTGCCTTCACCACCACCATCACCACCACTTCTCCTTCTCCTTCTCCTTCTCCTAACATCAATCATCTTCTATATCTGTTTCCAAGTCACACATTGTTCGACAATTGGGACAATAAAACTGAGGATAGCTCTTGATAATAATTGGTCTAATACATTTATAATGCCAGGAATGGGAACATGGACTTATAAACAATGCTTGACATGGTTCAACCTGCATTAAACAAATGGCACACTCACTATTAGATGCATCCATGCTTCCATTACCCCCAGAGCCCTTCATATTAACATTGGACGTGTCTGTCGACTCGTCTCCTTGAAGATTCAAATTCTTGAACTTTTTATGAATTTCTAAATTAAATTGATTCACTTTTCTCTGCCAACTCTTGTTGAACTCACATCTCATTTTAACGCAACGGTAAACTTCTTCAGTGCCGCCTCTATAATCCATACCCAATTGTATAATATCGCCATCTATAACTGGCATCAATGTAGATTCTTGTGACGCTGGGGATAATCTAATATGGTTTAAAAAAGTTCCCAGTGAACTCTTGCAATCCTTAAGAAACCATTGTCCTTCTTCATTGCAATCTAGTAAGGCATGGGTACGCGAGACAACTTTTGATTTGAATACAATCGGTGCTGAGGAGCCCTGAGCTGCATGAGCTGCCGCTTTGTTCTTCTCAGTATATCGACCTATACTCAAACTTCCCTTGGGTTTAACTTTACGAATGACGGGTGAAAAGTATAAACCGGAAGAAGAAGAAGAATGGTCAATCAAAGGTGTCAAACGAACGGAAAAAAATCCGTCTTTATCTCTACCATTATTCATTTTCTCCGCCTCGGCTGATGATGATGCAGTTGTCGTTATAGTTGTTGTTGTTGCCGCTGCCGCTGCCGTTGCAGTTGCAGTCGCTGTGGCAGCTGCCGTAGCTTCTTGCGGTGGATGCAAAAGTGAAACATACTCTGAATTAGACTCAAAATCAATCATATTATCTTCTTGTAAAATAGATGCTGATTGAGTAGATAATGGCTCTTGGTGCTGCAGATTAGCTGGAACAGTATCTAAAGTTTGATCTGGTTCTCCTTGTTGAAGACTCTCGTGAGTTTCATAGAATGGAGTAGATGTCGTGTCATTGATATTGTCTTCAGCATAGCTATTTATATTACCAATAGTGGGGCTATTGGACATCAACGGTTGTTGCATTGATTGAATATATCGATGTTGAGGAGGTAAAAATGAGAAATCTTGTTGTGCTGTTTGATCTTGAAGGTGTACCGGTTGTTGCAAAAGTTGTTGTTGTTGATGTTGTTGTTGTGGTGGTGGTGGTGGTTGTGCCAATACGGGTGTTGCTGTATCGGATTGTGATCGCATACTAAAATTACTAAGAAAATGTAATCCAAATGATGCTTTTCTACCAGTCGAGCTTGAATTATTAAGACTAAATGCTTGATGCGGAGAAGCAGGCTGACTGAAGGGATTGTTTGAGGAAAATGACGACGATGCAACGGGGGCAGGAGCGGCGGAGGAGGCAGCGGCAGTAGTGGTAGTAGTAGTGGTAGTAGTAGCAGTAGCAGCAGCAGCAGCAGCAGCAGCACTACCACCATTGCTACTACCAGTAGCACCAGCCGCCGCTATTGGTGGTGGACGGTGCTGTTGTGATTGTGGGTGCTGCTGTGCCATGCGACTAATATTATCACCTATATTTGGTGATAAAAAATTGGTGTCTGTTGATGTGGTAACAGGCGAGGAAGAACTACTTGAACTAGCTGAAGAATGTATATTAGAAGCATTTGATTTAGTGATTAGCATTCTGCTTTGAAACTGTGGTATATGATCTCTCGAAACAACCGAGGGACAATCTGGCATGGTAGCTATAGGTGTTGTAGGTTGTCGTGGTTGTTATAGTCGTCGTGGTTTGTTGTAGTTGTTATTCTTGTTGTAGTTGTTGTTGTTGACGCTGTGGATAATGACGATGTTGTTTATTAGTTGACGAATGCTAGCGGCAGTGGTTGACACTTAGTCAAATAATGATTCTGTTTAGTGTATTTAAGAACAGTAGAAAAAAGATAAATGATTTTGTTTGCTAATATTAACTTACAACTTTATTACCAGTACGATACTGTAGTAACGTTGGAGTAAAAAGGTTATAAATAAACACAAAGTTTATATCGTGAATCAAAAACCATATAAAGCGAAAGAGAAAGAGAAAGAGAGAGAGAAAGAGAGAGAGAGAGAGAGAGAGAGAGAGAGAGAGAAATAATACATCTACGTGTAACTTCATAAGTTCCTAGAGGTGTCACCCGCCGGGGAGTATTCAGAGGCGCGGTTGGAAAGAAGAACTACTGCCGTATACCACACACACCATGTGAGTGAGATATGTAGGATCGGACGAGACAGAGGTAAAACACACTAGGAAGGACTTTATTTTGCCTTGTGAGAGAGAGGAGAATGTAGTGTGTATTGGCTAAAGCGGATTTCTCTTTTTTTTTTTCTCATACTAAAAAAAAAAAAGGGGCAAGTTTGTGTGATACAATAAGGAATATCGATGGTATGTGAGAAAGAGAAAGAGAGAGAGAGAGAGAGTGGGGAGAAAGAAAAAGAGACTGTTAGTCCGGCTTGAAGGACGACCCTTGAAAAACGCTCAATAGTATATAGAAAGAAGAGAGAGTGCAGCTTGAAGAACGACCCTTAAAAAACGCTCAATAGTCTATAGAAAGAAAAGAGCGTAAATATAGACTATTTCGCTTTGCTCGATAGTTTATTTCATCTCTCAGTATAAAGTTTTTTTTTTTTTTTTTCCACCTTGCATCTTCAAGCTTCAATATTCCTGCTCCCCAATTAGTCTTAATAATAAATCCTGCAATTGTTTTCTACCCTTGGGGCTTCTCCATATGAAATGGTCACTATTTTCAGCAATAACCCACTCTGCGGTCTTTGAACTCAATTTACTAATTTCTCTCTGCCATTTACCCCAATTCAACGATTTCTTGATCATAAAGTCCGATGATATGACCCCAACTGGTATTTCATTAATATCAGCTTCTCTTATTTCATTATAGGACAAAATACTCAGTATTAGTTGTTCCTGACACCTAGCTCTAATGTACCTTGAACTATAGTACATATCCCTACCGAATATTCTGCTCTTGCTAGAATACCTCATTGGATGCAAGAACCAATGCAAATTTGGAATAATACCCAATGGTGAAATAAATCCTTTCATCCAAAGCTTGAATCCTGTAATGTTATCCATCACTTCCAAAGAGTTTTTAAATACTTTTGTAGACTCGTTTTTCTTCCCACTACCACTAAATGGCCATTTCTTTAACAAATCTGGAGACCACGAATCAACAAACAAAATCGAATGTATTTGGGCTCGATGTCTACTCGAAAACATCCTTGCGTATAAGCCACCAATATCAAAGCCAACAACAGTGAATGGTCCTTCAATTTTTTCTGTTTGCAATGCTTCCGACAAGTACTCGGTTATAATACCTATAGAATCGGGTGGTGGGGCAGAATCTGACCATCCATATCCTGGTCTGTCCCATATGCAATATCTCTCAATCTTGCCTAGTTGAAACAACTCTTCGATCCACTCTTGAAACACTTCACTTGAAGTAGTTTGGCCTCCTTCAACTAAGATAATGGGCTGTTCAGATTTCTTGTGAACATCTCCAAAACATGCCAAATGTACTCTAAATTGATTATTATCAACCGGAACCAATTTGCCCCACGGTTTTTCATGCTTATCGAAGCAACTCAACCATAAAGTCAAACTAATACACCAAATAGTCCAAAGAATGAAAACCTCAAACAAAACCTTGACCATGATGATTCCTAATTCAGTAATTGATTTCCGTTTTTCAATTCTTCCAGTTAACCTGATTTCTTGATAATGGCGACCCTTTTCCACCCAATAATCAATCAATGAGTTAAATGTTGAGTTTAAACATGTCCACAATATCAACAAACATCCTAATAAGCCCATTAATTGTCTTGTTTCCTCAACAATCAATACCAAAACTAAGTCAAACAATAAGAAACCAGAAACAATATATCCCATAACTCGTTCGTAATAAGACGGAACAACAAAGAATATATTATTAACCAGGTTAAAAAACAAACAAATCAAAGCTAAATCCATCTCCAAAAATGACTTGCCCCGATTATTGAAACCTGGAATTGCAAAGAATTCACTCAGTAACAATACAATAAAAAGGAGCAAATTGATAATTACCAATACTAATTGTGTAAATTTCAAGATTTTGATCTTTTCCAAATTCAATGGAGAAACTTGTGGGTCATCTGGATCAAGTAGTGGTTGTGACTCTAATCCTGCTGCTGATGACGCCAAGTCTTCGCGCGGAACTAGGTCCAGTGGAATAGGTTCTGGCTCTATTTCGCGTAGACGCTGTCTATCCTTATAGTGCCTATCTCTATCCTGATAGTGCCTCTCTCTATCTCCATAGTGCCTATCATCCCCATTCACAGGCGTCGCACTATGCTCACCATTAGATCGAGCCCGACGAGACTCCTCGTCATTATCAGTGGCCTTGTACCTTGACATTGTCACTGGTTCTGGTGTCAGCGATATATATATATTGCTAGTAACTAGCTTAAAGATATACTTTGCTTTTATAAATTAAATTTTGTCCCCTTAATTAAATTTAATTCGCAGCAATCATGAAAATTATATCCTTGTACCAACTCGATGTTGCTCACCACTGATAAATAAAAGCAGAAAAAATGATGACGACTCCTATTTGGTAACTCTCACGTGAATACATATCTTTTGGAAATCGTCTTGGTACAACATACACTATCGAGTAGTGTATGTTGTACCATAGTGGAGCACCATAGAAACACTATCGAGCGAAGCGAGATAGTGGAGTACTATTGACTACATAGAAAACTATCGAGCGAAGCGAGATAGTGGAGTACCATTGACTACATAGAAACACTATCTGGCGAAGCGAGATAGTGGAGCACCATTGACTACATAGAAACACTATCTGGCGAAGCGAGATAGTGGAGTACCATTAACTAGTAAGACGGGTTTAATTGGAATTAGAAGTGGAAAAAAAAAGAACCCGATACAAGTAATAAGCACCTGTCTTTATCTTACACTCTTTTCATACACTCTTCATACACTTCCTACACTCTTTTCATACACTCTTTTCATACACTTTTTTTATCTTTCACTCTTCCAACACTCTTTTCCAACACTCTTTTCCTCTTTTCCTCTTTCCCTCATTCCCTCTTTTCCTCATTCACTCTTTCTCTCTTCTCTTTTCTTATTCTTTTTTCTCTCTTGTCTTTCAACTCAGCTGGATATATTGCATTGCCAATTCTCCGAAAATAAGTTTTGTTTATAAAACTGCAAATGTTTCATTCACACATAAAAGGTAATCGAGTTTAAATGAAAAAAAATAAATAGGTATCAATCAAAAATAAATGGGTATCAATCAAAAATAAATAGGTATCAATCACATTGGAAAAAAAAAAAGACAGGTATTCCACTTTATTAGGTAAAGTAGAGCTTGATAATAAATCGTTTATTAAACAAGACTACTTCTTTTTTTTTGTTTTATAACCTGTTACTTATGTCGATAACAATCCCTTCGGAAATAGATATAGATGGATCAACATACTACCAAATAGATATAAAGCTACCGCTTCGCTCATATCTGATCAAAAGAAGATATTCTGATTTTAATCATTTGGTTTCTTCACTATGCCATCATCTTGGGATTAATCAAAAGGATTTTCCTCACCTATTACCAGGCAAGAGAATAAATTGGCTCAACAAGGGGCATGTGGTGGAGGAAAGAAAACGTGAATTGGCCCAGTTTCTCAACAACATGATTTGCGATAAATCTTTGCACAATGAACCCGAGTTTCTTTGCTTTTTACAATTGCCAAAAAATTTCAGATTTCAAGATAAGCCAGAAATCACCAATGATAATTGGTACGAGATATATAGAAAATTGAAAAACGATTTGATTAATGAAAGCGCTGGTGATGAGAAAAATGTCAATTTGGTGAGACTAAAGGAGAGAATGCGAAATAGCTATCAACCAACAATTGACAACCTTTCCAAAGCTGTCCGCGGAGACAATAAAGAGGAAACGCTGAAAAAGAAAGCATTGGTAACTCAGCTTCAGAATATACTAGATCAATTACAGATTTACGAGCATTCTAAACCTAGGGACAACAATACAGAGAGAAGAGTTCTTGGAGGAGGAGGAGGAGGAGGATCCAAAAAAAATCTGGCAACGGAGACAGAGGAGACAATATCACTAAACAACCGCGAACTATTACAACATCAAGTACAAATTCAAAAAGATCAGGATAAAGAGTTGGAGCATTTGAGAATGATGATTTCAAGACAGAGACAAATTGGCGAAACCATCAATACTGAAGTTGAGGAGCAAAACTATATTTTGGATAAATTCAACGAGGAGGTGGAGAATACAACAAATAAAGTACAACAAGCCAGAAGAAGAGCTAGAAAGATTTTATAAATCAACCATACTTTCTGTAGAAAATTAGGGGGGGCGGGGGGGGGGGGGGAAAAAAAAAAAAAAAAAAAAAAAAAAAAAAAAAAAAAAAAAAAAAAAAAAAAA